AAGCGCCCAACCTCGAATTAGCGCCCACCTCGAATAAGCGCTCACCCCCACCCCAACCACTTGAGTGAATAAATTCTAATAAGAGACTTCCCCGAGGACGGAGTTTTCTTCAGAAAATTTTACAGAAACCTTGCTTTGTTACTTTTTTGCGTTTTGTTATTAGCATTTATTGTTTTGTTGCAAAATAAACATACTTCACTTGCCGAAAATGGTGAAAATTTAATAAGCGCCAAGCCTCGAAAAAGCGCCCACCTCGAATAAGCGCCCACTCTCAAGGTCCAAAAATTTAATAAGCGCCCAGAGCGGTTAATCGAATAAATACGGTAGTTGAGTTGAGTTTTGGTGGCTTTCCTTTTCTTCTTAAAATAATAGCAGTTCAAAAACAGATCCTTGCTTAAGTAAACAGGAAGTTTTTATAAATGCCGAAGAATGGTAATAAAGCAAATTCTTGATTGCAAAATACGCAGCGGAATGTTAAAATCCAAGTGAGGATAAAGGCCAGTGAATTAATCCCCCATATTGGCCCTCTCCGCATCGTAATTTTTGGAACGTGTCGGTTTTACGGCGGATAATATCTCCTCGCGCGTTGGGTGGAAGTTTCGTGGTGGGGTGAAAGCACAAAAGCATGTCGGGAGTGCGGGAGTTGCGATAAATGCGAAACGAGAGGATAAAGAGGGTTTATCCTCTCTTAATGGTATTTTAGGTATTTAGGTATTTTGTTTATTTGCCACACAATTACAATAATTTCTTAAAGATGCCAAAAGAAAAAAAAATGTAGGAAGAGATGGCGAGGAGGCCTAAAAGAAACTATAGAGCTTATGTTAATTAGGCCTCCTCAATTACAATTTTTCGAAGATGGCATAAAAATTACGGCGACGGGTACAATATAATATCAGGTGAAAAATTAAACTAATCAATATTACGGAAGTTTACAAATGTTGAATATTAAAAGGCTTTTTCCCAAGATTTTTGTTGAAGTATACTAATAATTATTACAAATAAATGCCTTAAGTGCTCTTTTAAAGGAGAAAGGTGAGGAAGCGTTGATGATGTTGGTGTTTAAGGTGTTGTAAAATTTAGGTCCTTGATAAAAAACGGAAAATTGCTTGGTTCGAGTACGACAGAAAGGCAGACGAAATTTACACGAGTTTCTTGCATTATACGAATGAATTTGACTTTGTAAGGTAAATTTACAATGACATTTTAAAGGTAGAGTATGGTTTTGATAGGAGTACATGAATAAGCCTAGTTGTATTAAGTATATATCATGAAATTTTAAGATACCAAGATTTTGAAAGATTGGATCAGTATGTGCATCAAAAGTGGTTTTAGCTATAGTTCTGATCACTCGTTTCTGTAAAATCTAAAGACGAATAAGGCTACTTCTGTAAGTAGAGGCCCAAACTAAGTTGCAGTAAAAAAGGTATGGATAGACTAGAGAAAAATATAGTATTCGTAAGGTTTTCGTGGATAAATAGAAACTGGATTTACGAATAATTCCTGTGCATTTAAAAACTTTATTGGCGACATGTGAGATTTCAGATTTCCAATTTAAATTTTCATCCATGATTACTCCCAGGAAAACTGTTTCTTTTACTTGATCAATTTTTTGACTATTAATTAAAATTTGAATAGTTTGATTAGTACGCTTTTGGGATGGTTTAAATGCAACGAATTTGGTTTTTTTCAAGTTTAATAAAAGCCTGTTAGCTCTAAACCATATTGACAACTTATTTAGTTCAGCGTTCAGTAAATTAGTAAGGCAGTCTTTATCCCCGTGAGACACAAATACGTTTGTATCATCGGCAAATAATATCAGTTGTAATATTGTTGACGTGTTGATTATATCGTTGATGTAGAGCAGAAAAAACAAAGGCCCTAGTATTGAACCTTGGGGAACGCCACACATGATATTAGCACGATACGAAACATAACCATTGTATTCTAATGCAAATGAGAATCGTTTTTGAGAGTTTTGAGCATGTCTCAATCGGCATTGGCATCGAGAAACAGAAATCGTCACAAGATTCACAAAGGAAATTAAGCATGTTTGAAATAAAGTGTTGACAGGCTAAACAGGACTCATAAGCTCGTGACCCAGGGCTCGTGAGTGTGAAACGTGACCGCCTTAGAGTATGCTTCAAAACAACAACGGTTTCCTTTTTTTCTTTTTAGCCCGTAGGTTATGCAGAGCATGGAGTATTTTAATTCTTTACGGCGCAAATTTTAATTTGGCGGCTCTAATGAGTCCCCGTGGAGTCATACATACAGCTATTTCGAGAAAGGTTGTCGGATAAAGTGCAAGCGACAACCCCGAAAGGTATTGTGGGTGGTTTTGAGTTCACTCTTTTTCAAAGAAATTTGAAAGAATGTCAGGAGAGGTCATGGACATATGTCCGCCAGTGCTAAAGGAAAGCAACAAAAGTAGGTTCGACAGCAACGGTGTCAACACAGGGAGCCCGCACAATCTGTTTGTGTAGCCGATTGTTATTTTATAGTAAATGTTCTGGATTTACCGTTTGCCTCACCTATAGCGATATGTCGCTAACTATGTATATAAACTAAAGATAAATAAACGTTGAGTTACCTTACCTGCGGTATATAGTCGTCCTTTTACCTCAAAAGCGGTTTTTTGAGCGATTTTGAAGGAGTTTGAATTCGCCGTTGACTGTTCCTTATAATAGAAGGACAAGGGTGGAATTCACGTTCTGAAAGGGCTCCAGTGCCGGAGCGATTCCCTCCCAAAAATCGCATCGCTCCGCTCTCAAGCTCCGTAGCAAAAAGGTCGAAAGATTCACGTTTCTCCTCGTACCTTCCAATCGAAAATCCATCCAAACAGCCCGGAGCTAGCCGTCGAAGAAAATTAAAATCCCACAGTATTCTAGCGGTAGGAATGCGTAGCAAGATTCATACGTGCCAGCCACAAACCGTCCCGCTGATTGCCTCTTTTTGATTGGATGTCGTTAAACAGCAACGCTTACCAAGTCTTCTTCATCAGTTATTATTTAACCATTTGTTTAACGACATCCAATAAAAAAAAGGCAATCAGCGGGATGGTTTGTGGCTGGCACGTATGAATCTTGCTACGCATTCCTACCGCTCGAATACTGTGGGATTGTAATTTTCTTCGACGGCTAGCTCCGGGCTGTTTGGATGGATTTTCGATCGGAAGGTACGAGGAGAAACGTGAATCTTTCGACCTTTTTGCTACGGAGTTTGAAAGCGGAGCGATGCGATTTTGGGGGAAAAAATCGCTCCGGCACTGGAGCCCTTTCAAAACATGGACTCCACCCTTGTCCTTCTATTATAAGGAACAGTCAACGGCGAAATCCAACTCCTTCAGAATCGCTCAAAAAACCGCTTTTGAGGTAAAACGACCTCTATATACCACAGGTAAGGTAATTCAACGTTTATTTATCATTGATTTATATACATAGTTAGCGATATATCGCTATAGCTGAAGCAAACGGTAAATCCAGTACATTTACTACAAAATAACAATCGGCTATACACAAACAGATTCTGTGGGCTCCCTGTGGTGTCAAGAGCAGTGTATTGAACATATCCCATATTACCTTTCGGGATTGTCGCGTGCACTTTTTTTCCGACAACCTTACACAGGAGTAATTTGATCTCCGATGCAGTTGTAATTGTTAAGCACTAATTTTGTTTGACCTCTTTAAAGTCTTAAGCTTTTCCCTGCAGCTAAATAACCTTTCTGTAAAGATTTTAGTTTCTTAGGTTTCTTCAGAATGCATGTATCTGAATAGCTACATGCGTGTACTTGAGCTTCTAGTCCGTTTTCATTAATATATAATGTTGTCATTGCCAACGAGCAAGCCGAGCGAAGACGGTCAGCTTGCGAGGCGGCCAGCTTAATGCCACGCGAAGTATTGCAGCAAGCAGAAAAATTCTCCATCTAGTTGTGAAAAGTATAATGTAAGTGTAATGTAAGGTGTAGATTCCCTGGGGATTTTAGTGGCGTTAGAGTTGTTGTAAACAAACCTTCAAAGTTCGGACATTGTTCTCTGCCACACCACTGTAGTTGTACGACCTACAACTCGCTATTTCAAGTTCGCGCTAACCTATAAATGTTATTTCCCTTTCGCTGTCTGAAACTCAATAAGTTTAAGGTTCAAAAATGTCTAAGCAGAAGAATAAGAGCGATTTTAAGGCCCAGAGCATGGCAGAAATGTGGGAACGAGGAGTGCTTGTAGTGGAAATTCTCGCCTCAGCAGCTGAAATGGTTTTATAAACAATGGAACTAAAACCGGTGTTGTAGGCAAATTCTTTTTCTTTCGTTGGCACTTAGCGAAAGCTACGGCTAGTTATATTGATTTCAGAAAGGTTGTTATCATAAGTGCGTGAATTCTCAGAAACACAGGAAGTTGATTATGTAATAGGGTATTTCCCGAGGAAGTTGGCCATGTGACTGTCATACTACAAGAAACAGACTTTGAAACGTTGTAAAGTAGCTTAACCTTCAAAATAGTTGAGAGTGAAACCTCTTTGTCTGATTTAATAGATGCTTTTGATTTTCAAGCGATCTGCGACACTGGTTATGTTTGTCTGTTATCAAAAATTTTCAGAGTCATCCAACTGCAGCATTGCTATGGAGCAAGATCCCATTATGGCTCTTACATGGAGTCATGATATGAATTGTACCTGTAAGGAGTGTTACGCTGGGCCGTGACCTCATAGTATTATTTATTATAAATTTAATCAAACCAAAAGGTTCGCTTTGATAGAAAGTTGGTGTGAACTTCTGCTTTTGTATAATTATATCATTAAAGGGTTTATCAGTGTATGGCATTGTATGTTGGTTGCCTTCTTGAAATCAATATTTTTTCTTAGAAGGATATACCCAGCACTAGTACTTCAGTTTGGGTGTTGTCATTTCTTGGAAAACATGATGCGCCGGCACGAACATATGGGTCAGCCGCATGCTATTTAATGGGAGCGCCGAGGTAGTCGGCGTATTAGCCTTGCCAGACGGTCAACCTGAAGAGAAGCTAGCTACTTTTTGACTGATGTGAGAAGGTAAACTTCGTTTTAAAGCAAATCTACAGTAATTATTTTAAAGTAGAGTCAATTTGTCATTCATGATACAGTAAAGGATAATTGTAGTGTGTCAAATCACATCAGTACAGTTGTCGTCGTCGTCAACGCACGTTTAACCCTTTTTCCAGTTGTTTTTCTCCACCTCTTCGAATTCGCCCAAGTCACGTCAAACGGATTCCTTTAAAAGTTGCTGCAATCTGAAGATAAGATTCTAAAGGAGGTTTAAATTGGAAAAAACTCATCAAATCCCTTGTTAACTGGCATGGGCTTGCCCTTCAGTAAAGATTTTAGTTTCTTAGGTTTCTTCAAAGTGCATGTATCTGAATAGCTACATTCTTGAACTTTTGGTCCGTAAAGGTGATGATGATTTCCTGCTGCGGTATGTTCTCAGGACGCTAGACGCTCTTACTGTTTGCAGGGAGTTGAATTCTCACGGTAAATTATCTTCAGATCCGAATTGTTGCTTAAACCGAAGCCACTCCAAGAACATTCTTCAGGCGCTGATACGATCCATTTTGTTTTTCTTGATATAATTGAGTCTTTAGACTGGAGCGTAGCCTGCGTAGCAAGCGTCACCCATCACTCCCCTCCCCCTCCCCCGTCATTCCTTTTTTTGCTCTCGTTCCAGTTTTCTCGACGAACTCGCGCGGAACCGCTTGCTACGCAGGCTAGTGGCTTACTAATTCTCAGTTCGAATTACGAGAAGAATCTTAATTACCGGGGCCCAGCCGAAGGCTGGCACCGGTCATAAAATGCAACGCGTTTCTGTTTTTTCAAAGTTACATTGTTAGGGATATATCGCTGACTGAGATATATCGCTGGCTCGTTACTTTTGGGACTGTTCGCTTAGATCTATCGCTGGTCATTGAAATCTTATCCGCCATTTTGAAAAGCACCAGGTATGGAGGAGAGTCAAGAGAAAGATTGAACGACACGTTCCCCAACCTTTACGATGTACTAGTTTATGAGCGAAAACTTGAGAGTGAATATTTGGAGAGACAAATTTACGAGCGATCGCTTAAGAGTGAACCTTCCATCGTGAACCTTATCGAGAAAATAAGCGACTTATCAAAATTATCTACATTGAGTGAAAATTATCAAGAATCAATGCGAACACTTATCAAAGCTAACTTTACATCATCTTAAAAAAACGTGCTACAAGACGATCTAGACGTGCTCGTGAACCGAGGAGAATTCCACTGCTATTTCTAAGAGGTCTCAATAACAAGAATAGCATGTTAAAGAAATTTGTCTTCAAAAAGATTTCAACGATTCACATACCGAAGTCTTCAAAGCTCCATCTCTATGTTAATAAGGTGAGAAAACTTTATCATGCACGATGTAAATGTAATAGGAAACGGGATGCAAAGATAATTAACTTCAATAAAATGGCTATACCCAAGAAAGCTTATTTGTTGTCTTTCTATACTAGGAGGCAGTATCACAGGATAATGAAACTAAAATGTAAAGCACGTCGATATTTATCATTTTTTTCTTGTAATTGTGTGAGTCATATGACCAATTATGTGAATTTCAAACTAAGTAAAGATGTTGAGAAGAATCCAGGACCTACTCAATACAACACTGATCATCGTGAAGTAATAATTAGACCTTTTGTGCAAAATCACAGCTCAACAATGCGGTTGATTTCTCCTATTTCCTCTGAGAATTTGATGCAGTCAAGATTAGGTGAACTTGGTTGACAACCAATAGATGTTGGTTGCAGGTGGTTTTTTCTTTGGATCTGTATCACATCAATTATATGGCAATAGCAACCATCATATGTATATACGTACTGCTGGGGTTCAATTTATGAGAGACGACCCAGAAAGATTTATTGAGAGCAATATCGAAAATTCATGGTTAAGATATCTGAATAATATGTGTATTCAAGGTACATGGGCTGATGCACTTATCATTCAAGCAGTTGAAGATGCATTAAATGTTACTATACAAATAGTAGAATCTAATCAAGGCTTTGCACCACTTACTACTGTTTATCTAGTTCAGGAAAGAAATGCTTCCTCTACAATTACTATAGGTCATATTGATGAATGCCACTATGTATCAACCACTGCTTTACAATCAAATGCCTCCATTTCAATGTGCAATGAATTAACAAATGATACTCAGTCATCAATAAATAAGCATTTTATTATGTCCATATATGCAGTTTGTTTCTCTGTCATCAAATCATGCACTTACTGGGATCCTTCAACACTACAGGCTCTCCATGAACATGCATGTTTGTTCTATGAGAAGTGTAATGCAGACCGTGTAGGCAAAATTGTGATAATCCTGTGACAAACTTCTTTGCAAACTTTGTTATTACCATTCAACCCAAAACTGTCAGTGATTTTTGCTCTTTCACTCAAACTTAAAAACAAATAAAAACCTTATACAGATCACACTGATTGACATCACAGGGTAAAAAACGGCTTGGAAACTAAAATTTCGAGGACGTTTTTGGACTTTTTACATTTAGGGCATGAATTTTTCGTCATTTCAGGCCATGGAACCTAAAAATGAGCCTAGCTAGCTGTAAAAAGGGGCAATACGAAGGCAATACGTCCTAGCCGGCATGATCACATGCTGTTTACGGAAAATTCCCTCATCCACGTCAGGAAATTCTGTATTTTAAAGCCTCCCCTAGGGCATGGCTCAGCAATTGAGGACATTTCTGCTATGTTTTCATTGTTGGTTAGCATGCAAGGATTTTTCGCATGCCTATCGTCAATGATTTGCTCACTGGTAAAAGAGGGGGTGGCCCCAAAGTGGTTTTGCATTGAAATTGGCATGCAACAGAATTTCGCATGCCCTGTAAGCATAATTTGAGGTTCTGTGACCTTCTCACCCAGGCCGCGAGAAGCCTAGGTTCTAGTAATAAGTAATTCATACCCAGCAAAATCTCCGGCATGCCGGGCATGCCAAATTTTCTGACATGCCCGGCATGCTAAATTCTCTGGAATGCCGCGCGTGCCATAATCTGGGTCATGCCGGGCATGCCAAAATCGGTCTCTGGCATGCTCTCAACGCACAGGTTATAATTCCTTGAATCTACAGATATTTTAAGCCTGGCTAAAAAAAAAAAAAACTAAACAGATCACAGTGCTTATCTTTTGATGTACGGTTACACGATGACGTCATTGCTATTCCTTTCATTTTCATAGATTTGGTTGTCCCAGAGAACGTTAAATAACAAAAGCTCTAATTTTGACAAGCAAGTAAAACCCTGAAGGATTCGCCCGTAGTAATAAAACAGCGTCATCGTGGAGATGACCTGTTGGGGGATTGTAAAAACTCCTCACCCCTTTTAATGAGTCTTTAATGGGATTCCCATTTCACATTGCGAATAAAATGGAATTGACTGAAATCAGTAAAAAGAGAGACAGAGACTATTTTCATTGTATAATAAAATGCATCTATGTTCCATGAAAGCTTTTAAAAATACAAGGTTATAGAATATCTTTCAAAGTTCACTACAAACTGGGCTAAGCCCCAAAATCACTGTTCATTATTCAGTAAATTATGATGTTTGACAATGCAATGTGCTTGAATATAACGTTGCAATTACAAATCTCTCTAACGCAATTTTCCCTACGTTAGAAAAGCTGTTAGAAAGTCTGAGTTCCTCTTTCTTGTTTTGTAGGCTTGCCAGGGATTAATGTTTTTGTGTCATTACCAGTGTCTGTGTTCTTTGTTTTTAACTCAAAGTAAGTCAGTAATAACTGACAGTATAAAAGAATTGCTCTCTAGAAAAGTAATTATCTCCTCGTCATGTCTGGAAGTTACCTGTAACAAAAAAGAAATGGAATGTTAACACATGCAAGGGCAATATGAAAAAAAGAAATAGAACATGTAGACTAAGCTTCTCTTAACATATTTTCATACTGGCTTGTTGAGTCTGTTAAAGGTCGCAACTAATTGTCTTAGGCTAATTTCACAAGAGTGTGCAATTGAGATAAATGCATGGTAAATAAAGTGAAAGAAACGTGGTTTCACATTAGCCAATTTACATTACGCTGTTCGATGATGTTTACACGCTTTTCTACTGCGAAATAAACCTTTGCATTTGGATTTGCAAGTCAAGATTATACCGAGTTTGACTGACACTTAATTGAACAACAGTTTCATTTTTAAGCAGGTAAGGTGTAGACCCATATAAAGCCGGAATATGTAAAGGAAACTCAGCGAAAACTTTTTCGCATCTTTTTGTGGCGATATTCTCTCACGGCCCGTCAACTGATTAGGGGTTGCGAAGAAAAAATAAATTAGGACCAAAGGTTAAACAGTCCGGAATATCCCTAAATTTAAGGACAGGGCCAACTGGTCACGCGACACTTTTCAACCAATGAGAAGGCGCGCTTGTGTTTATCAACAAACAAATCAAAACATCGCCCCAGTGATTAAAAATTTTCAAAACAACGGACGGAGTCGGACAGAATCAGTCATCGTTTCGAGGCTCTCAGGCATATTTTTAAGACTTTTCATGATGAGGCACACATTTTTTTTAAGTGGACAGCGTATCGGAAGCCACATTGGAAGTGTCTCGTGAAATATTCAGCACATTTTGTGGCTTATTTCTTCTTTTATCTTTTAAACAACGCGTTGTATAGGAGAGATTTTGGTGGGTTTTCAAGGTAGGTGAACAAGTATCTATTATTTTTTCGATTCACAGATTTTTTACGAAGTTCTAGATATTTTTCCTCGATTGTCATATCGATTAACTTTTATCATGTTGAATGTGGGGATGGTAGACAACCTAGAATTTTGGTAGACAATTTTTGAATTCCGAGGTCCAAAACACGTACGTTTTCCACTCCCGGGTTTCTCACAAAAGCCGTGTTATTACTTTTTTTCGCATTAGTACGAGCCTTTGCCTTTTTTCTTTTCAAGGCCAAAACAACTTTATTAGTCTCATGGATATTCACGTCCAACATCTCGCCTCACTTTGCCGAATTTGCGGGGATGAAATTGAAGATCATAAGCGCAAGGTACAGAAGGTAGATACTAACCGCTTTGTTTCTGAAATTCACTAATCTGGAAAGATTTAATATTAATGTTGTTGGATTCTCCAAATGTTCACCCACCGTTAAAAAAACAATCAAAGAAACAAGGCAAATCTCAATTGTGAATGCTGTATTTCGGTATTCATTGAACATGCACTGATTATCTGGGATAAAATTAAAATATTGCAGGTACTACAGCAAGCAAAGAAAGCACCAGATGCGTGAAGTCAACACGAAACAACACAAAAAAAACAAACAAGAAAAATTAATAAATTTGAACTACTTTCTATTCTTGTTATGATGACTGGTTCTTTGATTCTTGTCCTGTAGAAGTTAATAGGTAGTACCAATCCTGTTTTGTACGATCTCAACAAATTTTCACACTCTCTCTAAGGCTATTTTTCACGGGACCAGTTGCCTCTATCAAAAATCTTGCAAGCCATGCCAGTGAAGCCACGACCTCTGCCATCGGTCAGGAATCAGTTCGAACACCCCAATGATTCCTTGCAATGGTTAATGCTCTTATTCTCTTACATGAAATGTTTTCTTTGAAATATTAAATGTGAAACCTAGACGAGTACTGTAAGCTCATCTTTAATTCTGTCCGACTCAGTCCGTTGTTTTGAAAATTTTTGATCACTGGGGCGATGTTTTGATTTGTTTGTTGATAAACACAAGCACGCCTTCTCATTGGTTGAAAAGTGTCACGTGACCAGTTGGCCCTGTCCTTAAATTTAGGGATATTCCGGACTGTTAAAGCCTGTCCGGTTACATCATTTCGTATGTTACCTAGAGTTCTAATAAATAGGTCATAAAATAGGATTTAAAGAGAGCGAATTTGTTTCTCAATCGGTGTATAAAAAAGTGAGGCTATCAAATGAGAAGTTTATAGAGTATCAAAATTATTAAATTAAAAGCTCATATAATTAGGAAAATTCCTATATATACGAAAATAAAGCTAGTGACATTAAATTGATCAGATAAAATTCTCAGAAAATATGTCGAATAAAAGCCTCCTTGTTTGCTTTTGTTTTTGCGTAAAGGTAAATTTTTCGGCCCACAAAGCAAAGTTGAAAAAGCGACTAAATCTTAGTTTTTTACATTGAACGTGTTTATTAGCTTAGTTTTCGTCCGTTTTAAAAGCTTTATAACCCAATCATAATTTAATCATAAAATAGTACAAAATCATTTCAAAAACCATGTTCATTGAAAGTAGAGCCGGCAAACGTGAACATTTTGTAATTCAAAAGTCGGACCCAGCCAGGTTGTTTAAGCTTAGAATTATTTGCATTTTAGCGTCCTATAAATTTACCAGAATCGCCTCTCAGAGGCTTACTGTAGCAAAGCATTTTGTAGTACACTCGTAGACAAGCAATGTAAGCCTTAAGTCTTTGCTTGGATGAGATGTCCAAAAGAAAAATTAGTTTTGTGGACCTAAACGCACATTCACAGACTGCTTATATTGAGTTGTTTACAACTTTGCATTGACACACGCGGCATGTTCATTTTTTTAAAGCGAAATCCAAATCTGATTTTGGCATTTGATTTACGGATATTTTATTTTGTCTCCAAAAGTGATTGTAATATCCGTTTGATTGTCTTTCAAACAACAGTCAAACTATGCAGCAAAAATAAGTAACTTTACCAGTACAGTGAAAAAAATATGATTGTAGGTGCCAAAAATAATTATACTCGAGCTATAAAATTAGATCTGACTTTTTTTAGCTTTGGTTTCTTATTATTGAAGTTTTCTCTAGTCTTCTTAGCAGCAGAAGAAGATTACAAGACATACAAACAGAAACAATCCGAAGTGAACGAGATGACAACCACTTATGCCGGAGTTCTTAGGCATGCTCAACAGCAAGATAAACTGAATGCCTAAAGGCTAATTCACGGTATTTGTTCAATATTCAGGCTTTTTCTTCACCAAATTAATACTAAATTTGTACTTACAGTCTCTCGCAGAATCCATTTCTTGTTCAGCATTCACCAACATCTCAACCATGCACCGCAGAAAAAAAAGACAAACAAGTGCGAAGAGACATGACGACATCGTGACGCCACAACTGCCACGCTACAACAAACTAGATTCATCGTCATCCGAAAACACTTCTGCGGAAATTCGGCCGATTTCGTGCGTGCTCGGGGTATCTTCGGATGACGCAGATGACGTTGCTCAAAGGACTATCGTCAGCAAGGAGTAAAACAGTTTGCGAGATTCGCATAGCCGACAAGGAGCGCACTGAAAAACTAAGCAAAATCTCTCTGAGAAGGCAGTCCAAATTCACCAAATCAGAACTTCTTTGCAGTATTAACGTCGTACTCTCGTACTGACTTGAACGACCTGGCCGTGGTAAGCTTAATTTTCACCAGTCTTTTAATGCTGTTGGCCGGGAAACATTCCGACGCCATAAAACTTAAGCATGGATAAGTTCATACTGAGAAGATTTGTTATCTTATTGTTTAAGACGCTTTTCCCCGATCAAATTTAAATCTGGACCCAGAAATGTCAGTATCGGTTTGAAATAAAAGGATTAATCTTTGATTGCAAGTTAAGTATTCTATTTTATGCATGAATAATGTTGTTTTGTTGTGCTTTTTATCTATAAATCCAGGCTTCTGTCTTCAGTGTTGCCAGTCGATCCCGTGACACACATTGTGACAAACATGACTTTTTTTGTTATAATCTGCATTTATTGCCAGGCATGAAACCTGTAACTTCAAGCTCCCTAAGATATATTTGGCGATTGTATGTGATTCTCAGGATATGATGCTGAAGCGAACATCAAAATCAGTCTCGCTGGGCTGGGCATGCCAATTTCTTGCCTGGCATGCCGGGCATGCCAAACCAAGTGGCTTTACCATCGGCATGCCCGGCATGCCAAACCAGAGGAGCAAAAACTGGGAATGAATTATCAACCCGGCGAGAGATCTGGGACCTAAGGTTGGCTGGATCAATTTTGGGTCGCGAGGGCATGAACCCATTTTTTCCATACCTATGAGATGTTATTTCTAAGTACCAATGTTCCCTTGAATTTTGTCATGCCTAAATATATAATATTTTCCCTCCCTCATTAATCCTCAGACTGGATGCGATTTTTACGCTCGCTAGGCATGTTCAACTGAAAATCATGCCCATACCCTCATTCAAAACAAAATGCTATCAAATTTTAGTTTCCAAGCCGTTTAAAAACACTACTATAACACAGACCGTTAGCTGTCATAACACTGAACAAACTTACAACAACATCCTCCTTTCTCATGCATTTTGTTGCTTTTCTTCTGCATGACTTAATTCAGACTAAGTATTAGCCTCCATAGAGGAGGGCGAGGGGTGCGAGAGGTAAACTATACCTATGCAATCCCGTGTCCCACTGGGCCCCGGTAAGTTCCACATAGTGGTTCTAGTTTTTTTAAAAAAATCTATCGAGCGGTTTAAAAATTATTCACTAATTTGTTAAAGTAGACTGAAATTTTTACAAAACCGCTAACAAGAGCGCCATACATACTAATCAAATCCTTCTTTGTAGCAATTGGCCAGAGCTATCTCCATGATCTTTCACACACGTTATTAAAAAGATTGAAACTACTATGAGGTGAAATTCCATGTCAAAAGCGCTTCGTTTTCTACAGATAACGGCCAAACATCAAGATTTTCCTATTTTTACCGTATTTCTAACGATAAAAACTTTATCCCAAAATATCTCCGCAACGCTCTTACAGATTTCGTTTTAACTTCACGAACATCGAGGCGACTATTGGAGGAAAATGCTCCCGTGAATGATTTTGGAAAAACAGTTCCCAGTAAGGGACGGATCATTAGAAAACTTATGGGGGGGGCGGGCGAAGTACAAAAAAAAAAATTCGCGCAAGGGAAAATTAAATGAAAAAAAATTCTTGCACGCCAATTAACCCTAAGAAATATTCATGCAAGGGCCTGAAAAAAATTCATACAAGGAATTTGATAACGAAAAAAAATTCCTGCAGCTCGAAAATTCCCCTCCCCCCCATAACTTTTCTAATGGTCCGTCCCTAAGAAATGTTGCTGCAAGTACAATAGGTAAGGGAGTCATTTCGTTGCTATGACAACTCCGATGTTATTACAACCCTGATCATAACAATTTTTCATCTTTATTTAATACAACTGTGGTGGCAATTTTTTCAAATGTTTGTTTATGGTAACGTAGTTTATGCTCAAACTTGGCAGGTATTGACCCTGAAAAACTGTATCGAGCCACTTTCATATGCCAGTACGGTCTATGGCTGTTGCATCGTATGGCCCTGGTTTCTGTTAGACTGTTTTGTAAAATTTGGGCAACTTGCAAGAATTTTTTGGGCAAATGGTTTACTCTCCCCGGCAAAAACTGATTGCCCGTACGCCTATGGCTTTAACGAAATTACCAGTAAACTGTTTTGTGAGAACATGACCTTCATTTAGTAAAAGGTCTTCTCGTTTATTTTGTTAAAAAAACACGAGAAAAGAACAGAGAAATCTACTGCATAGTCTTGTTCACTGGAAAGGTCACGCTTTAGAATTAGGTCAGTATTATGACTACAAATTGCGCGTTATTCGTTGCTTTTTCACAAAAATGGAGTCAGATTATCACGTATTACTGTTCATAAACTTAGTAGCTTTAATCTGTAATTACTGGTTAAGATTTCATTCACAAACAACATCTCTCCGCCAGGGGAATCTGAATGGACACGCTCTGGTTAGCCGACTCATTCACAAGGTCAAGAGTTATACTTAATTATCTGCCTTCATCAGAATACATAATAAACAGCTACACAGGGAAGAGAAGCTCAATAGCATGCCTTATTCATCTCCATTTTTTTCTTTGAAAGCACCTCAAAATATCATGTTGTTACACTTCATCGTCGTAGACTCAAGTACGCATTACGGGCCTATATTTTCAACATAACAGGCAAGCTCCAGAATTTTTAATAATTGTCGAAAAAAAAGTCACGTAATTTTAAAGTGGAGACCCAAATCAGCGCATTTATTTTAAGAACATAAGGCAAATATCAAGGGATTCAAAGCCTTTCCCTTTGAATTTACGCCCCTTTTTATGTTCAAGTTGACGAGACGCTTATTAATACAACTGATTAATATTACCCCAAAGGACAATGAATTTGTGACACTTTACAAGGCAGGTCAAGCGTATCCCCCAAGATTCTATTAATGAATTGATTATTTGAAAACTGAATACGTTAGTCGTTCCGGTAACTAGTGTCAAATTCAAATCGGCATTCCTGTTAGACTGCGATGCAGCCGACCCCACGCACTTGTCTAAACCATTTCTATAGTCTGTATACAGAAGGTTTAGAGCGTCTGCGACGCAGGCAAGTTCCTGCATTCCTGCATGCGTAATGAGCAGTGAATATTTTACGACAACTTCTCTGTATTTGGTCAGATTGAAAATCTTTGAATGGGTTAAATTTCATAGAAAACATTTACATCAAATTCAGGGAAACCGAGCTGGTAGAAATTTCGTAACTGACTCGCGTGTGAATTCACGGCTCATTACGCATGCAAGAGTGCAGAGATGAATCTACCAACGGATTCAACTTTCGAATAACAAATTCCTTAATGTAATAATCTTGGGGGGTACGCTTGACTTGGCTTGACTGTAATAGTATGGATCACAAACACAAAGAGTGTTGACCGCTTTTCTGGATTGTTGTCACGAAGCAGAGTTATTAAACGTATGCAAATTCACGGCGTCGTTCTGAGCTCGTAATGGGACTTTTCCGTCGAAATTCATAGCTAACCAGCAACAGTCGGCGCCTCCTGCTAGCCTGAGTATCAGGCCTTCCTAAGGGGCCAGGGGAGAGGAGATTTTAGCTGGGGGAAGGGGGATTTTAGGTGGCCTTCAGCTCTCTCCCTTTTTCGCTTCCATCTTTCCCCCTTTCCCCAGAAACGCCTGATACTCAGGCTACCTCCTGCGAACGCTGCAACTCAGTCATTTTCGTCCGAACCGGCAGGAGGAGCTCCGCAGCAAGTGGCGGTCGTCCCCGGAGACAACAAGTTGAACAAGTCCCAACCACCCCGTAAGTTTGTGTTCCTGATCCTTGTGGTTGTTGTTGTACCATTGTGCATTTGTTGTACCTTCCTGAGGGGTACACACTTTAGAAAAGTCTGTTTGAAATGTTTCGGTCACCTTATTAATTGGCAAGGCAAAAACTTTCTGGCGAACGAGCGAATGATAAATATCACAAATATTACGGCGTTGCTAAAACGAGGATAAGGGTAACACCAAGGGTGGGGGTGAGGTTAGGGTTAGGGGTTAGGGTGAAGGATTATAAGAAAAAACAAGGAAAATATAACTAATCGAATGGCAAAAGGATTAATCTCCAATTGGTTTCCATGAGTAGAATTAATATGAGAACTCTGAGGCCAGACCAGGGGAGGGAGATCAGTAGACAAATTTCCGGTCACTGATTTCTGGTCTTCCTCAACTCTAGGACCGATGTTTTTTCTACAGGCTTCGTCTGCAAAAGAACGCAATTTCAGTGAGAAAATTTCTTTTTTGTGCTTAGCAAAACCAGTAAGAGTAACGGATGAATGACAGCTGCATGATCATCGGTACAGTTATGTTTCCATACGCTTTCACCCTACCATTAAACTCATCCTCACCCTCACCCCCAAACTCACCCTCACCCTCACCCTTACCGTCACCCCTCACCCCCACCTTGGTGTTACCCTTACCCTCGTTTTAGCAGCGCCGCAAATATCACAAACGTTTTGACGCGAGCACATGTGTGTCGTAATCTTAAACGTCGATTAAACGTCTAGGAAGCATGTGTATATTGCAAGAAATATTAGGTATGTTATGTCTATGAAGCGACCTTTAATAAGCAAACAATATTAACCCTTCACGGAATTTTGCAATTGATACATAAGCTGGAATAAGACGGTGAAACGGCAAAGTAGAAATTTTCTGTTTAATCTGAGTCAGTCATGTTACTTTTATGGGCATCACGTTTTGCCTAAACACATACCAGTTGTTGTTCGTAAACTGTTAAGTTTTGTCTTTTAAAGTTATCGTTGTTGAATGAAGTAAAAAAAGAGCTATCACCCTGTACATTTTGGTGAAAAATTTAGACGATTTATACAATGTCAATGTTTTTAACCTCGACGTTGTTGCTAATGAGCCATTGTAATTAGAAACTTCAGCTTGGAAACCAAATCTGTATTTTGCAAACTTTAGTTAGAAACACTTGCTATGTAGGCTAAAATGGGTATCAAATTTGTCGTGATTTGCGAAAGTTTGTAATAAAGCAGCGAAGTGACAACATGCCAACGAATAATGCATCAGAATACCTTCTAGAGACTGTGTTCAGTGGTTGTCGAGTTCTCTCTGCCGATATAACGTTTGTTATTAACACAGTGATTAACATACCGGTAAATTTATTACAGTGATTATCTTGAGCTGTTGGTCTTTCAAGTTTGGCTATGTAAAAAACAGTAGTTCTCACAACCTGAAACTGCGCACTTTGCTATACCGGAATTTTCCTTCTGATCTACTCTCATTTTTCCGGCCAAAAAAACCCCCGAAAACTTGAAGTCCCCTTAACTGCGCCAAAGTTGGCGACTTAAATGACTTGAATGTAGGTACGTTCGCCAGGCTTGCTGACCATAAGAATTACAAACGCTTTTCCTAATGACTTATTAAACGAGTTTCCTGTTGATAACCAAAGTAGAATGAACAAACCTATGAAAACCGATACAAGCGTGACAGCAGTATACCCACGAGGCTCTACCTTAAACCGCAAAACAGGAACTGTGATGTAGGTAACAATCAAGGTCAGCGATGGTCCCAAAACGTGCTCACTTCAAGGACTGATACTCAATTTTTGCGTTCGAGGTACGAGAACGCAACCCCTAATTTGTGTTGGGTGTTCTGTGCATTCTTGGGATTCCTGTGCAATTAATAAGGGAGGTGTCTTTTGGAGATTGCATTCGTCGTCGTCGTCGTCGACACACTTTTGCCTCGCTTTGAGGCGCTTGCTTACGTTGTGTTTCACTTTGACGCGCCAACTCACGTGGTGATTCGTGTGTCCTCGGCGTTCATCTTTCAAACGTTTGCTGAGGTCTGCTATTCTGTCTTCGTAAATCGTTCATCTTTTAAAAGTGTGCTGAATCTTCGTAAAGTGTACATATTTAAGAGTTTGCTGAAGGTCTACTATCGATCTGTGTTTAATGAATCTTCCAAAGCGTTCATCTTTCAAAAGTGTGCTGAAAGTTTACCGCCTGAGTAAAATTTTACTTTGGATTACTGCGCTTTTCACAAACATGCAAATTCTGAAGTTCAAAAGCCAACTGACGATTGCGTTTTTCGCTGCCGTCAATCATCTTAACGGACCTCTTAGGAAACAAAACTTTACTTTAGCGGGCACAAAAGGTCAAGGTTTGTGATTTGTGATTGGTGGATTTCGATCCGTTCAGTTTGTGTTTCTGTGTTTCAAGCTTCTTTGCTTGTGATCGTAATTATGATTGACGGCAGCGAAAAACGCAATTGTGAAGGCGGCTTTTGAACTTTAGAGTTCGCATGTTTGTGAAAAGCGCAGTAAGCCTTCGTATTTTTCTATGGAAAATGCGTGCTACTCCTGGTCATGGTGCACGCATCAAACCGGGTTGTTTAGCTTGGCGTCCGTTGTGCCACAAAGCAAATTTACCGGCGAGTTGTGAAGCTCAACGTCTGTTGTGCCACAAAGTAAATTTACTGAGTTGTGTAGCTAGGCGGCCGTAGTGCCACAAAGTAAATCTACCGAGATGTGAAGCTCGGCGGCGGCCGTTATTCCACAAAGTAAATCTACCGAGATGTGAAGTTCATCATGACTTGTGATATTTTTCGGCACTGGACAAACGAACATTTTAGCTCTATGTTATTTATTCTGAAAAATGTGACCAGCCCACTGTAGCCAACTCAAGCCACTGAAATCAATACACTCAACCAAATTACTGGAAAAGTTATTGACGTGAGCCGCACACACATTCCACTGAAGGCTTTGATGATTCCCTTGAAACGTGTCAAATTGAGAGATGTAGTGTAAGTGAACCAGTGTTCAAACACAATCATTGTGCCCCAGCATTAACCACAAAAACGTGGTCTTGGGTCGTTCTCTAATATCATCACAAGTTAAGAAGACTTGCTAGTAACGGTTTTCGGCATTTTATAGTAAATTTCAGTAATTGTCTACATGTGGAATTCCCAATATTAAATAAAATTAATGATTACATCTAAAACTTTGTTAACTGTTTGCTTTTTAACAGTACCTGGGACGGGTTGTTCAAAGCTGGGTTAACATAACCCAGGCGAGGAGGGTTAGTGCGAAATTTGAACTCAGATGCGAAAGCTTCATTTTGCCAACAAGTTGATGATTGGACGCTCTTAAAAATAACTGAGAAAATTATCCAAAGAAATGTTTTTTAACAAAAGAAAAAGAAACCCAGGTTAAGCGCTGATCGGCCTTCGAACAACTGCGCCCTATAGAACATTTATTGCGCCAGTAAAACAAAGAGTTCTTTTTACACGCCCGAAGCACTCTGGTCAGTGTCTCCTCAAATAACAAGCACTTGAGACGAACCATACGATATCACGCTGATCACTGGCTTCAAAACCTTTTCATTATCATACACAGTTTCGAGGTTTGGCTGTACGCAACCCTTACGTTCAAAATATGCCATAATCATAGTTATCTATCGCAAGAACCATCCACCCTTTCCCCTCAACTGCTACCTGTACGCCTAGCAAACATATCGAACGTACTCTCCTAAGCTCAGAGTACTCCTAGTAATAAATGACATTCATGTTGGAAAAAAGTCTTTAAAAGGTAATATAATTTAAAAACCTGTCGATACAAATACGGATTAACCTTGATCTACTAACTGATCATAACAAAACTCTATGCACGAGTGAAACGTGAAGTGCAAACATGAAATGAACTAAAAGTAGCCTACAAAATACTTCACAACAGCTGAAATAATCATATCTAGCCTTTAACAATGAAAGGAAATGGATATTAGGTGTTTTATATGTACATCAACATAGGTTAATATGTAATTAGTGTTAAGTTACTATATCTTCTTCCATAAAACATATAATTTACAAAACACGAAAACAAGATTTTTTTTGGAGAGTTAAACCATGAAGAAAAAGGACCGTTTTAACTGTAATAGTGCGTCCTCTTAAACGTTTTTCGGTCCAAGTACTGTAGTTCTTTATGTCTTATGACCACTTGCTCGATGGAATCAACCATTGTTCTGTAAAGACCGCAAACAAATATTGCCCTGATATTCGATTATTTTTGCTATTGAGATAGCAATATTGAAAATGCGATAACTTCGTAAATATTTAAGATTACGTGGAGTTTTTTCAAATGCACCGACGAGCTTTGTGCCGACGGAACTGAAAATTAAATTCAGAAAGACTTCATTTTTTTTTCGATTTTACAAGTCCCGTTGGCTAAATTTAAATGGGAATGAGTAACATATATAATGTTAAGTGAGTGGGATGCGGGAGGCTATTACTTGTAACTGAGTACTTCTTATATGAACGTATATATAATCTTTTTTTTTTTCTACATTCCCTGATATATTCATTGTTTAATTGTTTTAATCTTTTTTAACAATAAGTATTATTATTCCCATGCATTTTATACATGAGCTTGCGGCTTGGTTCAACCCTTTCCTGTGCTATGAAACTAATAAATTGATCGATTGATTGATTGATCGATCTTTTTGCAGGATTTTGTTCCAGCTAGCTCGATAATCCGAACAATCCGGATGTCTAAATCCGAAAAAGGGTTTTGCTTGGAACGCAACCTTTGATCAAGGGAAACGAAATTGAGTTCGAGTTAGCGGGGAATTCGAGTTACTCGAGATCTATTGTCCGTCTTCTACAAGGTTGTTTAGTGAACATAATTACCGGATAAAACAAATGCCAGCCCTTTCCACATAAAACAATAATGTTAGCAAGTACGTGGTATCTCGAGGGCAAATAATAATTAACTTATCTCTCGGTTTTGTGGCTAGCTTTAACTGTTCATCGTTTCCACCATACTAAGTGGAGAATACTGATTATTGGTAACTACTGCTGTATGACATGCTGTGTAATCACGCCTTCCCTAGGTTTTCGAAGGAAACCATGTGTTTCCCGAGTTAAATTGTAAGCATGAAACGGAAAACGACGTGAGAATAGTACACAATGAAATGCTGCAAACATCAAAGATAAAAACAACAGTTGGATTATATGTCGGCCGCTCCCAACCGGCGCAAAAGCCTTTGCTTTTTGTTCAAATATTGTGACTGTGACTGAATAAATTAAAGGCCCCTTTCTTTTATTGGCCAATCAAGTCAAAATGATAGAAATGCTATTGTACATTGTGAACCGTCCCGTCCAAAAAAACATAAAAAGTGAAAGTTCTAGAATAAAAAGTATCATTTACCCAAAAGCAACATGAGAGGCACTTCCTCAAAGACGAAGACCCACAGACACCGGGCCACAGATGTACCAGCAAGTACATTCTATCTAGTCAAACTGGTGGAAGATAATGACTATGTTGCCCCCGTTATAATTAAATGGCTCCGTCAGGACCTTGGGATCCTTTCCTTTCTGTCAACGGCCTCCAAAGATTGATGGGATGACTGGTACAATTACAAGCATAAATTTTTAGTGCATCCTTGCATTCGACAGGGGACATTGTTCTCAGTTACACTGAGCAGGGAGAAGCCATGTCTAGTAGGCTCTAGCCTGTGTACAGCCGCCCCCTCCCTTCAAAACAAAAAATCTCTCTCTCCCGCCGATTTTTAGGGGAGGTGGCGTCTGTACACAGGCTAGTAGGCCCAGAAAAGAAGAAGAAGGGTGGCTACATCAACTGACTTTCATTTCTCTTAGAACAACCATTATTACTTCGCTAACGACTAATTTTTGGTAAAGTTATTAGATAGGCTTCGAAAAATGTACATCAGTGGAAAGGTCATCTTGAACTTTTTAGCCGTCCTCAATATAATTAATTGGAAAATTCTAGGTGATATTTAATTGCTTCTTTTACAGGAAAGAGTCGTTGGGTGCCCCTAACATAGCCTAAGTTAAAAGGTTCTTTAGACAAGCTTATGACGCAAAAAGAATCGTTAGTTCGCAGCCTTCACTTGAAACATCTTTCAACTCTAATTACTTCTATTTTAAGAAGCACCATCTCAGCTATTACAATATCCTGAGCACAACATAGGATCTCAACCTTTTTCAGTAACTGAACTTCAAAAGTAGCTTTATGTGAAACAAGTGGCAAAGTAATTGGGAGGCGGCTGATTATATGCAAATGCCACAATGGTTTTCTGTGCATTAGAAATGCATGATGAGAAACTTTTTAAGCAAAGTACCAGGTTTTTGAGAAAAATCCACTTTTCAGCATAAAACAACCAAATCTGGCTATTTAATGTAAAATCAGGTGAACAAATAGGCAAAAAGCGATTTTTAGGTTTTTTGATTAAGCCCCAGGGGTATATTATAAATAGATGCCTTTTAACTAAAGTAATATCCTTGTTTGAAATTTCCATTCGTACTTAGATTCTCTTTTTTTGTCTCTGTTATAAGGAATGTTCTTATGAGAGCACCCTCTTTCCAGTTATTACCGATTTCCCTTTTTTTTACTTTTGATTCATAAATGTCAAAACATGTTTATGAGAATAAACACACGTCATGAGCCTCAAAGCGCGCGTAAGTGGTTTTTCTTAGTGAAACGGTCAGCAAGATCCCTTTATCTCGAATGAAATTAGCTCTAAGTGGGAGATATTGGACCGTCGGTGTTAAAAGGCAGTTTGATACAATAGTACTAGTGAGTTTGACTCCCTGACTGAATAAATTAAAGAGACGTTTTTTATTGGTCAATCAAGTCAAAATGATAGAAATGCTATTGTACATTGTGAACCGTCAGGTCCACAAAAACATATAAGAAAAGAGTCTCACAGGCTTCATAATCATTCCACTGTATCAACCGTGTTAAGACGAAGCTGAAGTTAGATTTTAATTGTGAGGCCAGGATCTCTATCAGAACGTAAGGTTCGTGTTAAATTTTCATCCATTCAGTTTCCGCCCGGTGTATCATCACCGTTTTGACAAGGTAGCTTAGTTTTATGCAGTAGATTCTCGTCCAAGCCCCGGCAGGACTGTTGAGACTCTCAGCTCCAAACTGGGAGCAATCTGACTTGGTTATGATCGACAAATTGATAAAAATGTCCTCATATGTTAGTTGTCTCCTGAGACTAAATCTAACACGCTGTTACAAGAAAACTCATGCATATGCGCAGTAAGCAAAGAAAAGCGAGAGCGCCGATAGCTTACAATAGTGGCCGTTAGGAATTTTTAATGTGCTTTCTTAGAGAACTCAACATAGAGCCAAATTTTAGTTCACATTGATTTATCAGAGTGATCAATTTGAACTCACCCTTCCCATATTATTTTATTTCTTTCGTTGAAAAAGATGTGTGTAGATGTAAGTAATATTAATTTGAAGCATAAGCAAGGCTACCCTGGGTTCCAGAGGAATTTTTTTTTCTTATCGATACTGACGGTTCGCGGCGAAGCCGCGTCAACGAGACGCGAAGCGCCGAGGAGAGCTTTATTAAACCGTAAACACGTTTTATTTCATCTTAGGTATTTTGAGAACGGACCTCTGGAGCCAGGGTAAAGCAAGCCGGTCAGGCTTACTATAAAAAATATCAACCATTTTCATAAATTCACAAATTTACGTTTCTTTTAATTATAACGTCTAGAATGGCAGACAGCAAACTTGTAGTTGAAAGAAAGAAAGATCTTCAAAAGAAGGTGGGATGGCTTCCTATCTTCCTCATTGAAAAGTTTCAAAATTGGGGCGAAACGCAGAAGATGAGTGTTCTTTCTATCAAGCCAAGAAGCGTCGAAGATGTTAAAAAAGTCGTAAAGGCAGTTTCCGACTATAACTCTGAGGGAAGAAATCAACGAGTTTCGATCCGTTGTGTTGGTGATGGCCATTCTTGGTCTCCTCTCTTTCCTGATGACGGAAGTATTTTAATGTACACCTCAGAACTGGTTCCAAGCTCTGGAAAGCGTATTTCCCTGAAAGAGGTTTGTTTATCGTATATATGCTACATTCTAGAAGTGGATGTTGATTTCTTGCACGCTAATTAATTTCAAATGACACCTCAAATCACAGGATAAGAAGCTGGTTACCGTAGAAGCAATTAAGACTGTTCAACCTCACATCTGTGCGTTGTGCGGCTAATTTTGTAAAAATTAAAAGATTTGTTCTTAAATAGTGTCACACACACACACCAAAAGCTTTATTTGCATGACCATAAAGGAATTACAGTATTGCAAAAGCTATTAGTCTAAATTTAAGTACTAATTCAACTAATTAGTACGTGCAAAACATTACAAAACGTTACAGTTCTCATTTATTCATTCATTGATATTCATTTGGTTCTTAATTCAAAGTATTGCGAGATAAATGAAACTAATTGACAGTTAATTAAATAATCAGAAGAATTCATAAGAAGAGATATTAAAGTATCGTGTGAAAGTTATTTGAACTCAGGTATTTTAGTTTCTAGTTTGGAGAAAAATATGTCTCTGATCTGAGAATAAGCCTTACAATCTAGTAAGAAATGATTTTCATCTTCGATTTTGTTACTTGTACAAAAGTGACATATCCTTTCATTGCGAGGAATGTTTTCGTATCTACCTGTTTCAATTCTAAGTTGATGACTACTTATTCTAAATCTAACTAATGCTTTTCTCGAAGGGTTTTTTCTTGTTAAAACTAGGTACGGCGAGGGGCTATAGTCGTCTTTGATTGTACAATAAACACTGAGTTTTTGTGATTGTTGAAGGGTCTGATTCCAGTCAGAGACGTATTTATTTTCCATTATGCCGATATACCTATTAACTATTGAGTCACTCAATGAATTACAGGAAAAGTCATAGTTTAGATCATAGTAGTCAACCATTTTCATTAGATTACAGGGGCACCCAAAGGGAAATTTTGAGAAAAAGACCTAAAAACAACAACAAAGCGTGAATAAAGTTTTCTGAGACTATTTTAAGCATTTTGGGAGATTGCTGGAAAAAAATTATCTGTTCCTCACTCCCAGCAAGACTGATGGAAGAGTTCCCAGCCAGCAACCTTACAACCTGCAACCTGACTTACTGGGAAGTTTCGTAGGGCACAATTCAGATCTTGAGTGTTAAGTAACCCATACAAGTGACCCGTAGCAGCTATTGTAGACTTCAAATCTCCTCTGACACCCTGAATTATCTTTTTCCCAGCAACACTTTCCTTCCAAGGACTATTATTTCTTCCACATCTCCCAGCCAGCAAAAATGTGCCTGAAGAACAGATATTTTGAGGAACAGATCCATTGGGTGCCCCTGAGATTAGAGTAAAAGCTAGTTTTTCCGTTATGATGAAGGTCAATTGAAATTTGTAAGGCCTGTTTAACTATAGAATCTTCATCTTTACCTCTCAGATAGTCTAAGTAATTTAGAATCTTTTTATTTATATCAATGATCATGGGAAATTTACCGAGTTCAGCTCTACAAGCAATGTTGGATGCCTTGTTATGTACTTGTAAATAACGTTTACAGAATTGCAAATGGGTTTTTTCAATTGCAGAGCTGTCCCAGGACTTAAAATCTGATTTAACAAAAGCACCCCAAACTTCACTGTTGTAGGTTAGAATTGGTGAAATCATAGAGTCAAAAATTTTACACGCAAGTGAGGGCTTAAGACTATTCAAATCCGTGTGCCGCCTGAGGCTGAAGAGCGCGTGAAGAGCTTTTTGTCGGAGATGTTCAAGCGAAAGTGTAAAATTTCCGGAAGATGGAATGCGAGTTCCTAAGTAAGTATAGTTTTGGACAACGTCGATTACTTCATTGCCTATGCGGAAGTTATGTTCACATTTTCGAGTGCATCGTTCAAATATCATTATTTTGGTTTTCTTAGGATTTATTCTAAGCATCCATGAGTTGCAATATGAAGATAGTACGTTAAGGCAGTTTTGTAGACCAAGTTTGGATCGCGATAATATTATCAAGTCATCTGCGTAAAGGAGAGAGTTGAGTCTGGTGTCATTTGGTAACACGAAGGGGACTGATAAAACATTGTCAAATGAGAACGCTAGATCGTTAAGATATAAGTTAAAGAGCAGAGGGCTTAAAATGCAGCCTTGCCGCACTCCTCTTGCGTATTGAAAAGATCGCGTTTTGTTATTTCCAATCCTGACAGAGCAGGTAGACTTCGAGTATAGACTCTTAATTAGACTATAAAACTTTCCTTGGACATTGATCTTAGATAACTTATAGAGAAGCCCATCATGCCAAACCGAATCAAAAGCTTTCCTAAAGTCAACAAAACACGCATATATTTTCTCCTTGTGACAATGGACATATTTGTCTATTAATGTTCGAAGTGTGAGGACATGATCTGCTGTTCTATTATTTGCTAGAAAAACAAATTTGAGACTTGTGAAGTATATTATCTAAGTCAACGTGCCTTAGAAGTCTCTGATTGAGAATTGAACAAAATAGTTTTCCAATACAACTGGAAATACAAATTCCACGGGAGTTTGATGGATCGCTTTTAGTGCCACATTTAAAAATTGGTGTAATGAGGCCATCACACCACATTTAGGGCATAGTTCCTAAGTCGAGGACCGTGTTAAATAGTTTTAGATAAACAGGCATTAATTCGTTTAGGCTAGATTTGATCATTTCGTTTTTTATTTTGTCTGAAAAAGAAGATTTGTTGTTTTTCAGTTTTCCAGCTGCAGTGCGAATTTCACTTTCAGTGATGAGGTAATCCAAGGAGTGAGATCGTGTCGTAATATCCTTTGATTTCTGCAACTCATCTATAATTGCCTCCTGCTGTTCATTAAGGGGTTCATTCGAGTGCAAAGATTGAAAGTGGGACATCCATTTTTCTTCAGAAATTGGAGGGGTGTAGGTTTCCTTCATAGTGTCGTCCATTGACTTCAAACAGTTCCAAAAGCTCTTATTGTTCGAATTTTCGACCGTATTTTCGAGTTCACAGATCTTATTGCTATAGTATTCGTTTCTCTTATGTTTCAAAAGGTTTTTATATTGTTTTAAGACGTTGTGATACTCTTCCCTGAGAGTATTGTTTAGAGGATCTCTATGTTTTTGATTAGAAAGTTTCCGCAGTTCATGTCTTTTATAGCGGCATTCTTTGTCGAACCATTTTTGTTCGAAGATATTTTGCAACGTCGCTTTTTTGCTGTTTTGATCTTCAAACAGCGTTTGGCGGTTGAAATAAGAATATTTTCTACAGCATGAAGGTTCATGTCAGCATTTCTCGTGATTGTTGTAGTATTCATAAAATCGTGGATCATTCTTTAATGTCTTCAGACTGTAATGTAGCTCTAAATTTTTGTGACGAATCGTTTTCCCAGTGTCATACATTATGAGTAGGTGACTTCCTCTCCCTCCCAGCCCCACGCGAAGCCGACAAGACGACGACGAAGTTCTTAACTTAATACCATTAATTGTACAAGGATTCTTCATCTCCGCCGTTAATTAACTAAAAGCAAAATATACATAAATCCAAGCATAGTGGACAATATTGTATACCTTTCTCGTATCATATGATATTAACCAAAACCTGAAAGGACGATTATTTGTTGTTGTTTTTTTGTTTTTTTGTTTTTTTTACAGGGAGATGATACGCTCGCAGTGACTGTTGCACCTGGTGTGACTACTGGAGAACTAAGCGAGTTTTTCAAAAGAACTAACGTGTGTTTTAAAACAGATGTTATCCTAGACAAGGTGACATACGGCGGAGTAATTGCACCTGGCTGTCATGTAAGATAATGCTGCATGCTATCTATAGCCTGCGCTATTTTTTCGCTATTTTCGGGTGCCAAGCGGACGTGGAACGCGGGACACGCGCGACGGGTACGCCGACGCTGTCGTGCGTGTCTCACGTTCAACGCATGCAGGCTTCTCTCTTGACTCCGCTCGCTCGAAAAAAGCCAAAAAATAGCGTCTGCTCTACAAGCCATGCTATCCATGGAATAAATACCAGCTTTCACCTGCCCTCCCAAAATTAATTCAGTGTCTTTAACTTTCAGGGCGTAGGTAAAGATCAACTGGCGGTGTCTGATTACGTGTTAGGAATGTCCATCGTGGGGGCTGATGGAGAGGAAAAACGCTATGATTTTTCATCAGAAACTGACGACAAAGCTAACGCCTTGAAGGTAAAGACAGTCCTGACTTGATACCTGCATTTGGCAATTTACTCTTTGCCATGAGTAATTACATCGTACTTCCTTCACGTAAATTTTAGGCGGGGAGTCGGATATTCAATCAAGACTGTCCTAAAAGGAACAAATGCTCGAAGGGGCTGCATGTTCAGCGGAGATGTTGAAGCGGTTGAAGTCTTTGAAGTGACCTGTGTATTAATTCATGGCGAAGGAAATACTCTTAAAATGTTTATCACGAAGACCAGGCATTTATCAAAACCGCCGCTGTGTCTGTCACTGAAAATTTATTACATCCATTTTGAAATCACTGGTGATCCGCTCTCAGCAGTGTGATTTATTCAAGAACTACACTTAATTTATGCTTTAAGACCTCTAAATCAAATCTGTTCTAAATCGCATTATTCTTACTCCAAATCAATTCATTCTGTTCAAAATCGTGTCATTTTTGCTCTAATTCCCATTATTTCTGTTTTCCATGCGAAATAAAATAAAAGCGTTTCCGATTCCACTTTTCAACAAACCGGCTACTGGATCTCTCAAATATTAGTATTCAATGAAGTTTGCGAATTCAAAAAGGCTGCAATAAAGAGCTCGAGGTAATTGAACTTTGTGTCGTGCAATTTATATCTGAAATCATACTTGTTACAGTGGAACCAGATATAACGATCATCGCTGTAAAAATGCTCGCGGTATAACGATGATTATTAAAAGCTGAATCATTGGATAATGCAATTCTAGCGTTTTGATTGGCTTAGCCATCATGGTATATGAGCCACTGCTATATTCCTACACTTTCACTCAACTAACTAGGGACAACCATTGGCTGATTCTTGGTCACATGACCTTGACTAAAATCAAATTTATCCCGCTCGTGATACATTAAGGTGGCAGAACACAGTTTTGGCAGTTTGTGATTATATGTCATTTGCCAAATCATGGCAAGAGAAAGGTTGCAGCTCACAAGCTGAAACTTGGCAAGTGAAAAATAAACTGATGAAAAATTTTGAATGACAGGTAAAATGTGACGTTTACGTAGTTTCCATGGCAACATGTACGATTGAATACAACCTTAAAATTTCACTTTTGCTCAGTTTACATAAAATTCGCTCATTAGATTTTCTTATAAACTTGCACACAGCTTACTACAATTAATCATTACCATTTGAAACTTATTTGACCAAATTTTAATGGACGGGTTTTTAGATAATCAATAATATGATTGTACTGTAATTATTAAATGTGTCACAAAATTCGTCCGTTCAACTTCCATTTTAAAGTTCTCATTACTAAAAGTACGATAAAAGTAAAAAAATTCTGCCAAATATCACAAAATTTCAGTGGGTAGATTTTGAGAAATTGTCTTCTGTCTACCATTGCTTTTTTCGCCGCCATGTTTGTTTGTCTAATTTAAAACACGCGCCGTCACGCGAGTTACCGCTGACCGCCCGCGAAACTGTGTTCAGCCGCTTTAAGCAATGTACCCCGCTCAGGATACATTACAGCACGTGATCAAAGCATGGTGGAAAGTGGCGTGACAGAAGGGGGGAAAAACACGGCCAGTTTTCTTTTTCGTGGATGAACACAAAAACACAAACATGAAGCCTCAAGCTTAAGAGCAACGATTTTCAAAGTTATCCCAGAAGAGAAACAGCAGCTAGTGGAGGAAAAAGATGCAGATAATATAAGCAAAGTACTTTTTAAATCATTCATTCAGTGGTTTTGAGAATTAAATTTGTGTTCTTATAAGTACCGAGCCGACTGTTTTGTTTCGTTCCTCTTAAGCGTATCCTTTTGTTGCTGTTGAGGTACTTTGAAGTGAAAGTCTAGAAATATAACAAAACACTTAATGTCAGGTCCCTCGGGAAACCAGTTAGTTTTGTTTTCCCGAGAGTCCTGATGTTGGCCCGAGACGAAGTCAAGGGAAACATCAGGACTCAAGGGAAAACAAAACTAACTGTTTCCCTTGGGATCTGACATTAAGTTTATATTATACCATGCTCTCCATATATGGTCAGTGTACGCGTCAGTTCGAAATTAGAAGCTAGCTGAGACTTTTTTTCGCGAAGGATAGAATGGCGCCCAAAGAAAATAGTTTTAATTCTTAGAATAATAGAAAATGCAATTTCATCGGGAAAAAAAGAAACAGACAAACAAAAAAGCCACAATAGTTTGATGAAAGTTTATCGAAAAACACATGAAAATACATGAAACTAAAATTCCTTGACCAGCTACGAAAGAAGACAAGTGTTGTTTCTTCATGATCGCGAAGCCATTTGCTGATAGATAACTGCAGCCTGTTCATCCGACATAAAGAATACAAATCACAAGCAACTAGCTACAAATAAGACTATGCAGCCATACACTAGAACAATCCAGGCGTCAGTGTACTGAGCTTCTTCTCTCGTTCAGCAAAACCAGCTGGTGGCTTCAAACAACTTCATAACAAGCTTTGCATGAATTTCTGAATGGCGACCGAGGGAACAGTTTTCCTCCACTGTTCTAAATTTTGTAACTGCACCAAAGATCCAAATTAACAGTACTTTTTTTTAGCTGTCCTGCTGTGTAAAATCCTAGCATCCCGATGAGTTTTTAAAAGTGTTCATCGCCATTAATCAGGGACCGCGGAGGGGGAGGGGCTGGTAGGGCTATAGCCCTACCACTTTTATTGCTGGGATTTATTATCTAGCGCTCCAGTTGACATGGAAAAAGTATGGATTTTTCTACTTGAAAGTAATATTAGGTGTCTACTCTTGCATATTTCATGCCTCACGTCAAAGGCCCGGATGTCACAAACGAGACGCTCACAAAAATGCGCACTGATCAGAGCTTCGACCATTGCTCTCCTGGTTGGCGAACCGACGCTTCCAAGAAAGCGACGCGCTCCGGCCAGACTGGAGGTTGGTGTTGGTGCACCTAGGCTATTTTCCCAAACTGCCGAAGGTCACTTTTAAGATTTTAAGAAGGGTCTATTACGAGGCTATTAATCTTATCGTCAGTGCTATCGATCAGCGCCTTAATCAGGAAAGCTTCAGCTCCTACGCCCAGATGGAAACTTTCTTGGTTAAAGCTGCTAATGGTAACGACTATGAGGCAGAGTTCAAGATTCTTGAAGCATCATACAGCAAAGATGTTGATAGCCTGCGAACGGCAGACGTTTCTTCTCGCTCATCGCCGCAGACGTTCCTCCTCACGACACGTCCTTCAGCGGCGATGAGCAAGGAGAAACGTCTGCCGTTCACAGGCTAAGATGTTGATACATGGGCGCTACCTGGGCAACTAAGCATTTTGGAAGATATGTTAAATGAAGAGAAGACATCGTGTTTTGACGAAATCCTGTTGGCAGTGTCAAAGTTTCCAGAACCAGAACAAATAATCTGTAAGCTGCTTGCTGTAAATCCTGCTACCAGGGCTACTATACTGACGAGCGTTCATTCTCATCTGCACGGCGTCTGAAGACGTGGCTTCGATCCAGGATGGATCACGAAAGGTTTAGCCTAGCAATGAACAGACAGTGTCTCTATAGGGTTGCACAGGAGTTTGTTTCCCGCAATGAGAACCGCAACTTCAAGATTAAGTAGGTTTATTTAACATATTGACTATATTGGATAGTATAACACGTGTCGACCTTTATGTTACATTCTTTGAGGCTGTAAATAGGATGGCGCGCAAGTGCACTTTAAGTGGCGAAACGCTGACCTTAATGTTTTCTTGTACTGGCCAGATTTTTTAGCCCTACCACTTTAAAATGGTCTCCGCGGTCCCTGTTAATAATGTTTTGATTTTTCATTCATCCAGTCCGTTCGCTCGTTGACAGTTTTGATAGACGTGTAACTCGTGAAAAGCGGAATTCCCTTGTCTTTTCCGGTTTGTTCTAACAAAATAAAGTCGGGGAGATTCATCAAGATTTTGTGGCCGTCTTTAATAAAACAATTATTTCACTAACAACAATTAACAACAATTAGTATATACACACTCAGTGATCTTGGTAATTCAAGCAATCTGATTGGTTAGCTATCTCGGACTACGACGTTATATTCACCGCGCTAGGCGGTGAATATAAAGCAGAACAAAATCGCTATCGTGAACTGGGTGTTTTGCCAAAGTTTCATAGTAAAGCCTTTTTGAAAATTCACGAATATCCAAGTGCTGATGATTTTGAAGGCAAGAAAAGACTTCATGGTGTTTAAACAGCGTGTTTTATTGTGAAGTGGTTTACTTTAGCTGACTTTTTGTACGCTCGAAGCTATGTTTACCACTACAGAGGAAAACGAGGTCGCTTTGTCACTGTTTTGTGATTTCGGGATTTTCTCGCAAGACCAATTTTGCCTACAAATAGAAGTTAATTTATGGAGATAAGAGGAAGGCAAATAATTTCGAAAATTGTACGTGCCAGCAAGTTAACAAGGCAAAGAACTTTGGAGAGAAACAACGCTCACCTTGATCGTAGCCGCTGTTGACAGCATTTGCAAGAAGCGAAAAAGAAAACTTTCTCATTCACGGTGAGTTGGCAGAAGGCCTAAATGTAATAAACGGTCCTAAAAGTAATTAAGTCCTAAATGTAACAACAATTTGCCCTAAATGTAATAAACCCTTAAGCTGCCAATTACAGTAATTACTCGAATAAGCCCCGCCCTCAAATAAGCGCCGTATTTGGGGGGTGGGGGTGGGGGAGTTAATTAGCGCCGCGGCGCTTATTCGGGTAAATATGTACTAAGCGGTATTGCTATGGTATTAGACTCCGCTCTCAAATAAGCGCCGCATTTTGGAGAAAAAGTTAATAAGCGCCGCGACGCTAATTCGCGTAAATTCGGTACATTTCCTTAAGCACTGTGAAACTTAACGTTTACAAATAAATTGCTTGTAAACGGCAAAGTAACAGTATTTTTGTAAAAAAGCAACATTTAAGCAATAGCAAACTTTTTTCCTGTGTTTGAATAACCTGTTATAAACACTAGAGGGGTTGGGAGAATTCGAGACAGTTATGCAAACCCTCGACGTCGTCTCAGGTTTGCATAACTGTCAAGATCGAATAAAGAATAAAGTCCTAAATGTAATAACATTTTGCCCTAAATGTAATAAACTCTTAAGATACCAATTACCGTATTTATGCGAATAAGCATCGCTCTGAAACAAGCGCAGCAATTGGGATAAAAAGTTAATAAGCGCCGCTGCGCTTATTCGCGCGCGCAAGGACGGTACATTACCAGTTACCATATTTACACGCATAAGGGCCACCCTCAAATAAGCGCCACCATTGGGAGAAAAAAGTAAATGAGCGCCGCGGCCCTTATTCGAGGAAAACAGTACTGATATATTTCCTTAATATGCAACGTTGAACTTCACGTTTATGAATAAATTTCTTCAAAGCGACACATAACAGTTTCTTGTCTATTGAGTATACTTATTCATTCATTCATTTTATTGGTTAATCAATATTGTTTACAATTATGTAAAACATAACAAGTAACAAAAATGAGTTATTGTAGCATTCCACAACGGCCACCTTGGGGACAGGAAGAAAGTGGCAGCGGTGAAATACCAGCTACAAATACAGGCTATGCAGCCATTTACTAGAGCAATCGAGGCGGCAGTATAGCTTCTTTTCTCGTTCAGCAAAACCAGCTTGTGGCTTCAAACAACTTCATAACAAGCGACCGAGGTAATAGTTTTTCTCCGTTGTTCTTACTTTTATAACTGCACCGAAAATCCAAATTCACAGTAATTTCGACGGCTGTCACTTAAAAATTCTTTTCCTTCACATTATCTGCCAGGTTTTTTTAGCTGTTCTGCTGTGTAAAATCCTAGAATCCCGAAAAGTTTTTAAAAACTAATGTTCATCGCTACAATGTTTTGATTTTTCATTCATGCAGTCCAGGCGAGTCCGTTCGCGCGTTGACAGTTTTGATAGACATGTGACATTTTTGATAGACGTGTGACATCCCTTGTCTTTTCCGGTTTGTTCTAGACGGGAAGATTCAACGAGATTTTGTGGGCGTTTTTAATAAAACAATTATTCCACTCGCGCTTGTTGGATATGAGATGAGTATAGCCAACTCGGCGCTACGCGCCTCGTTAGCTATCTATCATCTCATATCCATTGCGCCCTCGTGGAATAATTGTTAAATATTATATGTCCCGGCAAAATTACAGTAAAATGTATGGGACAGCGCCCCGATATAACGATCTTTGATATAACGATATTCTCGATATAACGATGAGAATTTAGCGGACCGAACGTAAAATCTTTGTCCCGATATAACGATATTATCAGTAAACACAGTCACAATTTAAACAAAACAATTAATTTTATACAACAACAATACAGTAATCGAGTAATTTCTAATGTTCTTGTCAACTTGATTGGTCTATTTGGGGTGTACATAACCCTGATAACAGCAAGTGTGTCATGCGCAATAATGCATTACTTGCTGGCCAGTGTCTGTTTTTGTTTTTGTTTTTGTTTTTGTTTTTTTTTTTTTTCAAAAAACAACGAACGTACGAACTCGATAAGTAAAGTAACAGTGGCAACTGTAAATGTTTAAATTTAGTTTTGTTGTACTTTAATTGTACGATTCACACCATAGAATTTACTGTGTAAACTTTGAAAACTTCTTGACTAGTGCTTTGCAAACTGTTTAAGGATACTGCTGCGTGCTTGAATTGTTGCATTTGTCAAATCATTTTATACCCATTACAAATTTCATTAAATAATGTATGTAGTAACAAAGTACATGTCACAAATTATATGATACAACCAGTTCTCTGTAGCTTTAATTCTTCACTCCATTGAAAGTACGTTTCTTCACATGTTCATATTTTAGAATTCTGTACGCTGTTCTACACTTGAAGAATTCATCAACATCAATTCGCGTAAAATTTTGATGAGCTACACTCAATATACACACTCGATCAGCTCCACGACTCCGAACGACTACACAGTTCCTAGACTCTCGTGCAAAGTTCGGTTCTCAGATCACGTGACGAGTTTTCCCGCCACAATGACGAAATAATTTCCTTAAACACTCTCGCCTTGATTGACACAGGTCAATCAACAACGAAACGAATGAAATAACAAATGAAAGCAAAACAGTTCGTTGTTCTTTGACTTAATCTTAATATTCACTAAAATGCTACTGTTCAGCATTTCCCACAAAGGTAATAGGAAAATCAGTGTTTCGGTTCTCCATTGTGTATGACATTTTCATGGCACTTGAGGATCACCAATCTCGTAAAGTAATGTTCTCTAAGCAGAAGCACAGGAAATTTGGTATCATAGGATAATGATGACAAACTTATTCTTCCTTGACATCTGTTCACTGTGCTGATAAAGTGCCAGGGTCGACTTCATTTCCTGGTACTTGTCACTGTTCAGGATACCCTTTTGAACGAGATTAATCCACGTCTTCTCAGCTTGCTTGTACACTTGCAAGGATTCTTCTTGATCAGTTGATTCGTCCTTTCTTCTTTTCAATTTTTTGACAAATACCAACACAAGTGAAGTAACTCTTATGAGCTTCGTAAAGGAAACGGTAGGATTCAGGATTAATGATGCTCTCGAGATTTGCTTCTTGTTTTTCGGTACACGTGTTCAATGAGCTGGAGACTGTAGATTTGGCTGATTTCAGTTCGCAGAACTCTTCCTTGACTTATACATTTACAGGCTGGACTGGCCAGTAGGCGCTTTCCTTAGACAGGAATTCTGGACAATGTAACCACAAACTTCTTTCTTCGGGTGCAGTGCCTTTAATTCCTTGTAAAATTGCTTGTATTCCTTGCTGCTTTTAAAGCAAAACGTAATTTTACTACCCGTCTTATGAACAAGGCTCGGAGGGAGTTTTACAGTATCTTTATAGATGAAAATAGCGGTGATCAAAAGAAACTATTCCGTGCAAGTCAGCGCTTATTTAAGCGCACAATGGATGATGGTCTCTGGAAATGACTTTAGTTTTAGTTTAGCTAGCTTCACTTTCGAGCCCTCATTGCTTTTGACAGTGTTATTACCTTGAATGAAGCTTGATGAAGTTTGCACGTGTCTGCCAGTCAATTCTAGCCAAAATACGGTAAACGTTTGTACAAAACTCACCAGAATCCTCGACTTCGTTCTTAATGTCTCTCCCCTTAGTGTTTTCCAGAATTGTTTCCTCCAGCTTTTGGATAGTTTCTAGCCTTTCATTCAGGGTGAAATCCCATAAGTTTTTCCCTTGATGAATCTTCCACGTGATCGGCAGTCTGCTCGACTAGGATCCTCGTTGCACCTTCCATCGTTTTCTGCACAAAAGCTCTGTGGGCATTTCTAATTCTCTTTGCTTTTTTGTTGTCCATTGTTTTCTTCTTGTACTGTAATCCTGTTCTTGAAGATTAATTGATTCCACTTGTTGTTAGCTGATCCAGCGACTGCGAAGGACCATGTCACAAATTATGTGTGACACAACCAGTTCTCTGTAGATTTAATTCTTCACTCCATTCAGGTGTCCATTGAAGGCATATTTATTCACATGTTCATATTTTAGAATTCTGTACTCTGTTCTATACTTATAAAAGAATTCATCAACATCAATTCGCGTAAAACTTCGATGATCTACACTTAATTCACACACTCGATTAGCTCCACTACTCCGAACGACTACACAGTTCCTAGACTATCGTGCAAACTGCAGTTCTCAGATAACGTGACGAGTTTTCCCGCCGAAATGACGCAATAATTTCCTTACAGTAAATGTTAGGTTTACCCCGATATAACGATAGTTTCGGTTATTTTACGGCGATATCGTTATATCGGGCGTTTTGATACAACGATTCCTCGATATAACGATATAATTTTACTGCTCCCTTGGCATATCGTTACATAGGGGTTCCACTGTATTTCGAATCATTCGTATGATTTTAGAGCAACTTGTACTCCACAGCTCCAGTTCAATTACCAATATTTTAATGATGATAATCGATAAATTATCAGTTCTTTGTAATGATGACATAAATTTTCCTTGCTTTAGTGCAATATGGGTCTCTTTGGGGTGATGACTGACATAACTTTCAAGGTGGAGCCGATGGTCATTGTGAAAACAGAAAACGATTTTAGCCTCACAGTTGGAGACTTGTTCTACAACCCCGATCGCCTTAAAAAGCTACATGACGACAACTGGTCCGTTGAAATCTTCTGGTTTCCATTCAACAGTTTGAGCTGGTTTGAATTGATGTGTCTGGGGTTAAGCTACGCGTTCAAAGGTAGGTCTACTAAAACAATATGGAACTTAAGATAGAGACGTTTTCGGGGCGACGGCTACCGGACTGGAGGAGCAAGCCTGGAACTGAGGCAGCCGTTTCTTCCCGCCAAAATTCGAACATTAAGATGGCAGTGAACATAGAAGGACAGCTCCTTAATAGAAGACTACCGAAGAGGAAAATATGGCTTCACATAAAGAAATAAGAGAATAAATGCTTATCTGCTATGCAGACAAAATGTTATCGCATGAAGAATTTCTGGTTTTGTAGGAAATGCTACCAAGATCCTGCTAGTTATAAACGTTTGATCTCTAGAAGAGATCTAATCAGCCAAAATATTAAGAACCAAAAACGAGAAGGCCAAAGACTACTGCAAAGCTGATCAGAACAACGTGTATCGTTTTTTCATAACGATATTTCGGCTGGCCATACCAGCCTTCTTCAGGTTTACAGATGTTACTGAACTTATGATAGGAATCACAATATTATATAGATGGAGAATGTCGCAATAAAAGTTGTTTAAAAACAATACACGTTGTTCTGATCATCTATGCAGTAGTCTTTGGACTTCTTCGCTATTGGTTACCAAGGAACCGTTGGTGACGGAATGGAGGGATTAAGTATGCATGCTGCTGAATTACTATTCTAATAATTTTCTATACGTTTCATCTATACGATACTCTAACGAAAACAGTGAGCTAAAACCAGACACAAATAAACTATCGGAGTTCACATTTTTCGTCTGGATGCTTTTATTTGGCTCGTAGGACAATTTTGTCCGTGTAAAGCTCACTCACAGATTGCTGTTTGCCATGTTGGATCTTGACTCTGTGACATGAAACATAGAAACATTATAAAGATGTAAGTTTATATAACAGAGCTCGGAAATCGAGCTTGAAATGTGACTCAAAGAAAACAAGGACAATTTAAGAACGATAATCTGCAAAATTCTGGTTGCTAAACGCAACAAACCTGATGGAAATGAAAGTTATATACTCAAGTTTTCACCACAACGCCAAACAGACCAGTTTCACTTCGCAGACGAGACCACGACGGCAAGGTGATGAGCAAGAGCAAGCGCAACATCGCACAAATCATGACGTCACATCCGTTTTAAGTTGCCTTCGCCCCGAAAACGACTCTATCTTAAGTCCCCTAATCCTTCTTAGCGGCAAAACTAACCGATCTGGGCGCCTTAAGTCTTTTAGGTCTGTGTTATATATGTTGCGTAACGGAAATGTGACACAATGGCTCTGTGATCGTATTAACCATTGTTTGGCAGGTTTTCACTTTCATGCCATCGAAAACAAAAATAAAAAAACCTTTCAATCTGGGAAATGAAAGGAGGTAAATAGACAAGACTCTCGCCAAGATTCAGGTCGGTGCAATTTTTCATATGCTAGCTATTCGGAGAAATGTTTTACCTAAATTTATAGAGTTTGTATGGAGACGCCATGTTGGTTCCCTCTGAGGGGTACCAGCATGGGGGCCGTAAACCAACAGAAACATCTGCTATCGAGTTTTGCTACGAAAGCGTGAATTCATCCCTCGAGGAGCTCATAAACATTAAAGTAATACTGTTTTACTAACATAAGGACTGTTTAGATAGCAAAATCCCACCAAATAAGTCACTTTTTAAACCTGCACGACAGCTCTCTCGGCCGCTGCGTAAATGCCGCGTCACGCAAAAGGTTAGAAATTCAAGCGTACTCTATCACAAAACGAAGAACCCTTTCGAAGTAAAAACTTGTAAAAATATCAGTTTTTAGCTGCTCTAATATTTCATGAATGTAAAAACTCTGGAGGATTGATAATCCTTTAGTTTGAATTTTGGTGACGTCGCGTGAAAACCAAGAATATAAATCGCACATTAGGAACCGAACCTGCCCCCAGAGAGCTTGCTCGAAGGCTGACGCAGACGTGTATCTGGCTGTCGTTTCTCTGTCTAAAAAGAGGGGGTAGAAGGGACAGCCGGAATTAATATGTCTGTGTTCGCAGGCTACTAGAAAAGACTCTCCACAGAGATCAGATCAGATCACAGAGATCAGATATATTTTTGAGATTGCTCAATTTCAACTGATTTTTTGCTTTAAGACAATGAAAGTCTGATCATACAAGCCATAAGACATTTTCTGTTCACATGGGACCCATGCAAGGACAAACTGTGGATCAGGAAGATAAATATCGTAGAGATGCCTGAGGAACCTTGCCCTAATGAAGTGGATTATGCCATCCAGGACGCAAAGGGTCTTTTGTCTACAGGATTTGGCAGAATTGTTTCCAAGCATCTCACTGAGCATGAAATTTTGGTACCATCCTTTCTGAAGGCAGGATTCGAGATGGTTGAGCGTTATAATTCAAGTTCCACATTTGAACCCATTAATAAAGCCATTCATTATCAGAGTTTCATTGAAATCATGCCGGTTGTCGACGTGGAGTTTGCTTTTAACGCCACTCCAGGCACGTTTCCTGAACAGGCTAAGGCTATGCAAGCGGTCATCGAAACCACTAAAAAGTACTACAAAACTCTTCAATTCCCATTGAGTGTCGCCATGGAAATGAGATGGATGGCGTACAGCAACTGTCTAATCTGCCCTGCTCGAGCTGTTCAAAAGAACGAACCATCAGGTAAGAACAAAAATTATTAAAAAGAGGCTTTGCACAATTCAAGCACCTAGATCAACAAATCGGTTGAATGCATGGTGTTAACTCGCCCGTTCACCATATTCGCCAAAAATATTCACATCACTTTTTTCATTTAGTTCCTATGGATACATAACAGTCAGAGGCACCCAACGACTGTTTGCTGTAAAATATCTGTTCGGAGAAGCAAATATTGCCTAGAATTTTCTATTACTTAAAGAAGGCTAAAACTTTCTAGATGACCGCTCAACTCATATAAAATTTTTTCGAAGCTTTAATATCTTATAAATTCCCTACGAAATTTCTGAAGTGCAATTTTCACTTTTTACTTCCCAAGTTATGTTATTTTTCGTAGAAAAAAGGGAACCTAAAATTTTCGAATTCAAACATGTGATTTCGAGAGGAATCAGAAAATTCTCTCTTTCGTAAAACGTCAAATTGCATCTAAAATTTTCGGGAAAATAATACTGAAGCCCTTGTAATTCCGAAAAGACTCTATTTCCCGTAGGATGACCTCTGAGATACAATTTTTATAGCGCCGCTTAGATTGCATTTCTAAGAGTACTCTGGATAGCCTAAAAAGTTAAGTGTTTTCAAGGTATTTTGGAGGAAACCATCGTTAGGTGCGTAAGGTGCCCTTGAATGGTTATGTTGGACTCTTTGTGACTCGAAATCCACTTTACCTCCAGCGATGAAAGTCAAACACATCAGGTATATTTCGTTACAATAAATACTGAGTACTACTGACTAGATTACGAACAATCTGTTAACGCGGTTTTTTTGCTCGCGGAAAATGATATTCCTCCCCTGGCTTCGCGGTTTTCGCTTACTCTACAATCTTAACAAAATGCGCGAGTCAGACTACTCTTTAGTCTAATTATTTAATACTGTACTGCATTTACACCGACCTCTGTCTCCCTTCAAAAGAAACCCGGCAGACGCTGTATTTAGAGGTGCTTGGCATAGCTGGTATTCCAGGCTGGGAAACCTTTACGCAGGAAATTGCCACCAAATGGATGGAAAAGAAACCGAAAGGAAAAGCACCTGTTCCTCACTGGGCCAAACAATGGAGTTACCTTGAGGGTATCGACAGCTACATCAAAGAGGTAGGAAATCATCGAACAGACTGAGTTGTTTCGAGAAGAAAGCCGCCGCTCGGTTTCTTTGCAAACCCTCATTTCTTCTCCTTGTAATTTTGTAAGGACTTAAACGAGTTGCCTTTATTTCTATCCTTTAATCGTCAGGCGTACGGCGAAGACCTGACGAAATTCCAAACCCAAGTACCCGCGGAAGCTAGGCAGCTCTTCTCCAATGAAACCCTCGACAGGGTCATCTTTCAAGACAAGGTATTTAGTCCATAAGCCAATTCTCAAAAGGGGTCTAAAAATGGATTTTCGTAGCACTCCCCTTGATACCTAATGAAACTGGTATCAAATTAAAGTTGAAGGTCTAAATTTTCTAAATCTACTTGTTACCAGGACGGTAACTGGTGCATAAGGGAGATAGAGTAAGGTTTTTAAGGGAGGAGGGTGGGGATACTTTTTCCTTCGGGATACTGGCAAGTCACGAAAGGCCACCTAAGCCAAATTATTTCTTTTCTTCATGATTCTTTTTTGTTTAGGTCTAGCTTTTTCATAAGGTTTTAGTAGCGTCTGGTTGCTGGCCATGATTTCCCATAGATTTTTCTATTCGGAGTTCCTGGGAGTTCGCCAGTTTTTGCCGAGCACAGCTAGAGTTCAGTTTTTTTTCTTTTCTTATCGAAAACACCTTGACGATGGTAGGTTAAATCGCGTAAATTTCAACTCGTACGCTTGACGATTGGCGTTGAAATCGCGAAAATATTGTCCTCGTCGATCGACGACTCGCTTTTGGCATGGATTGGACTTCTGGATGGGACACGGATCAGGACATGAGTAAACTTATTATACCTTGGAATCAGGGATAATCATTGGAACTATGTTAACTTTGAGACCTTGGAAACACATTGCAATTAATTTTTAACCGTGTCAAGAGCATCTTGGAATATTAAACTTTCATCTTGTATTAAAACATTGGAACTTTGCCGAACTTTGTAACCCTGGGTTCGACCCTGGATAAAGCAAGCGGATGTTTTATTTTGTTTTGTTCCATTAACCTAGATAGAACGCCATTATGCTTCCATAGACCAACGCATCCCACGGAAACGACTTTGGGCGTCTTGTTGCCTTACCACCCGGGCCAAACGTAACATTATGAAACCCATTGACGGCCTCGCAACTTCTTGAAGTTGTAACTTCAAAAAACGATGCCTCGTTGACCTTCTGCACAGTAAACTTATACTGCAAATATGCTTTTAAAATTCTTATGTTAAAAGTCTAGAATAAACAGTGAAAAATATTTTCGAATAAAATTCTTTAGCTGCGTATCGAAAGTGTCCAAAACATGAACCTGACATCTTCGCAAAAAGTGATGCTTGTAATGAATGTGAGAAGCATTTAAAAGCTTAAATTAGTTAAACTTAGATGTAGTAGTCACGACCGTGTTTTGAGCTAATTTTATGAATGAACAAACTCAAAGTAATAGACAGAGAAGCCGTTTCTTGAAAATTTTTATTCAAAGTCCAAAAAGTTAATCCTTTAAAGCAATTCGGAAAACGCTATCTGGATCGTGGATCCGTTCACGCAAGTGACATCGGCTAAGCACATGGCAAAATTCAACACAAAATCCATCTCAAATCAGGGCACATTTTGTAATTTTTCTTTAGCGCCAAAGAGAAAAATTTATAAAACGCCTATGGAACATTTAAAAATACATAAATTCCCTTTCAAAAACGTAATTGTCTTGGCCATAGAGTGCAAAATGTACCTGAGAATTTAGCAAAAACTTCGCTGACTTGGTTGCATTTCAAAACAGACCATGGGCTCCGCCGTGAAGAAAACGAGGTTGAATTCCTCGAAGGACGATTTCTTGATGAAAAGCTTCCCTTTCTCCACAAAAAGAAAGCTGAGCATTCTTTTGAACTTTCTCTTTCCATTTTTTGTCTTTTAACGGTGTATTTTTAACCTTGAAATGCAGAACTCTTGTATTAAAACATCTGCATGGTGATCGCGCAGCAGCCATTTTGTTGAAAATGGATATCCGTCACGAAGATTTCCAAATATGGTCAAAATGAATATTCACAAGCATTGAACGCGAGTTACACGTTTCAACCCCTTATGGGTTTCTGGTTCCAGAGTATGACGAGTCCTCCCTGGTTTGCGCGCGCCAGTAGGCTGTGACGCTGTGACGCTGTGAGGACGTTTGAAATCAGGGCGGATAAAGGTTGGGCGGTGAAACGAGCGCGTCCGAGCAAAAAGGCGTGATGCAGTGGACTGGGACTCTGTTTAGAAATGTCGCCTGTTTTCGACTTCGGTCAGGGCTTGCAATGTGGTTTGTCCATTAGACACTGCCGCTGTCACTGAATTATGACAGCTTGAGTTGTTTTCTTGCACTTCTTCCACGTTCCTTTGTGTTGGTACGCTGTCTCCAAGAGGCAAATGTTGCTAATTTTTTGCGGGAGGCTTAGTTGGAGTAACGGAACATCTCTTTCAAATGGTTTCTCTGGCTACTTCCATGACTCTACCACTGAATTATATTTTTGTCATATTACGCAAATGTTGATGTTATTCCAAAACAAAAACAACTAAATACTGTCTAAAACACGAAGGAAAATCTCATCCATGTCATCCATGGCAAAACTAAAAGACAGCAGATGGTTTTTCATAACTAGATGACGCAGGTATTTTATAAATGCGTGCAGCTCGTGCAAGGTGTAATTATGCTAATTTCAATCACCGTCATACTTCTTTTTAATTTTGAAAAAAACATCTCATACGTCTTTCTGTTTCTTCGGAACTTCAAAATTAGTTTCCCCTCAGTGTTTACTGCTTACTCTGTTTTGTTTTAGAGAGAAAAATGGAGAAAAGACCTTACAATTAACCTCAATAAATTTTGTTTACATGAGGTTGCCGGATTTGCGACGCGTTCCGCGAATCGCCATGGCGCGTTGCTGCCGAGAAGCAATAGGGAACTTAAGATAGAGACGTTTTCGGGGCGACGGCAACTTCAACCGGAAGTGACATCATCATTTTTTGGATATTGCGCATGCTCGTGCTCACCACCTTGCCGTCGTGGTCCCGTCGGCGACGTGAAACTGGTCTGTTTGGCGTTGTGGCGAAAACGTGAGTATTTAACTTTCATTTCGATCAGGTTGTTGCGTTTAGCAACCAACATTTTGCAGTTTATCGTTCTTAAACTGTCCTTGTTTTCTTTGAAGCACATTTCAAGCTCGATTTCCAAGCTCTGTTATCTAAACTTACATCTTTGAATGTTTCTATGTTTTCATGTCACAGGGTCAAGATCCAACTTGGCAAACAGCCAACTGTAAGTGAGCTTGACATTGACAAAATTTTCCTACGAGCCAAATAAAAGTATCCAGACAAAATATATGAACTCCGATATTTCAATTGTGTGTTTTTAGTTCGCTCTTTTCGTTAGAATATCGTATAAATGAAACGCATTGAAAATTATATAGAATAGTAGGTAATACCATGTACTAACTTGGCGTGGGAATACTGAAATAAAGTTGCTGCCGTTGTTGTTGTTGTTGCATGCAAGTATTTCCCGGGAATTATTTCAATACCAAACTAAGAATACGGTTCCTTGGTAGCATTTTAATGTTCCTGTAATTTGCAAGGCTTCGGCAAGCCTGTGGAGATCTTTTTTTTTTGTCAACACGAAATTCTGCCTTGAACTCAGCTGCATCCCGCATGTTTTTTAGCGTGAACGGGTCGTAACTGTCCCGAGGAAAATCGGGATTTTTGGACTCATAATTTTCCCACAAAACGAGAACCTCTTCACCCGATACATGTTGTCTGCATAGCAAATATTTATTCTCTTAATTCTTTATGTGAAGCCATATTTTCCTCCTCGGTATTCTTCTAATTAAAGGCGCCGTCCTTCTGAGTTCACTGCGATCTTAATGTTCTATATTTGACGGGAAGCGACGGCTGCCTTAGTTCCAGGCTTTCTCTGCCAGTCCGGTCGCCGTCGCCCCGAAAACGTCTCCATCTTAAGTTCCCTAATGTTTGAAGTAATACAACGCCACTATACCAAAATATATCAAGCTAATTTTTTGTTATGTTATGTAAAATTTATCCTCCTTTAACATATGTAAAAATTAAGAAGTATGGACGCCCGTTCTGGTCAAAATCATGACAATATAATTGCACTACAAGTCAATTTTAATCCCACCGAAGCAAATATTATGGACCTGTCGCATGATATTTTGTCATCAATAAACAATACCTTTTTCAGCATGTTACTAATTATTTTTAGCAACACGAGTTATTTTGTTTTAATTATACGAATACTTTTTTCATTCATACCATGAATTATTTTTCAGTGGTACTTCGAATTATTTTTCTAATGTGTATCGAGAAAAAAGTATTGTTTAGTGATGACAAAAATACACAACATGTCCATAATATTTGCTGCAGTTGCATTAAAATTGACTTGCGGTGCAATTTTATTGCCATGATTTTGACCAGAACGGGCCTCCATAAAGAAGTGTTAAGCTTTTGCAAACGAAACGGCGAAAGACGATTAGGTCATATTTAGCGGAAGGAGGAGGCACTCAACACTCTCAAATTGAACTCAAATTTTGGCATTAAACGACCAACAAGTTTGACTTTTAGGCATACAGACATTAACATATGAAACTGTTTATTAATATTGTTATGAAACAAATTTATCTATTTAATATTGTAGCCTGAAATTACAGAAAGAAAATAGGACTTCCGGTTTTCAAAAAGGAAAATTTCACCGGCCTTCAAGCGTACCGGAAGCTCGGAAAGAGCGCTCGTGCCAGTCCTACTCTACATCACACATTGAATGAAGAGCGGAGCGCTCGTTTCACCGCCCAACCTTTATCCGCCCTGTTTGAAATGGTCAAAGATAGCCAGTTCATGAGCGAAAGTGTCTATGTTCATGGACAGAACCTTCTCCTAAGTGTCCTCTTCGTTATTTGTCTTTTATCTATTTGCTGACGATACTAGTATAATACTTGCAAATGACAACCTAAAGGAACTCGAAACACTTGTTAATCGCGAGCTTGGCAACGTCAACGAATGGCTAAAGGCCAACAAACTGTCCTTGAACATAAAAAAATCAAATTTTGTAATCTTTCGTCCCCGGCAAAAGAATATGCCCTTCATACCTAGGATTAGAATTTTTGACTCCGTGACTAACACCTACGCAAACCTTGAAATGAAAGATTATGTAAAATATCTTGGCTTAATGATTGATTCAAATCTTTCATGGAAATACCCCATCGAATCTATCTGTCACAAAATCAGCAAGTCGATAGGAATTATAGCTAAGATTCGACATTATGTCCCGCGTCGTGTTTTACTTTCAGTTTACAACTCATTAATTGTCCCTTACTTGACTTATGGTATTTGTGGTTGGGGAAATTGTGCCTTGACATTTCAAAGAAAGATCGTAACTCTACAAAAACGAGCCTCACGTCTCATTTACTTCAGTAAGTCTAAGGAACACGCCGTACCCTTCTTTCTCAAATCAAATTGCCTTCCCCTGCCTAGCATATTTTTCAGAGATTGTAGCTATTTATTGTATGATATCAACAGACAGACTCAATCAGTTCGTTAAAACAAGTCAGATTCATAACTACAGAACAAGATCTGTCTCTAGCGACTCGTTTTATGTTAAGTTCTCTAGACCCGATAAAATGTATGCCTTTTTCACGAGAATCGGTGCCCAAATTTGGAACTCTATTCCGTATTCGATTAAAATACTTAAACGTTCGTCCTTTCGTAAAAAAATAAAGGAATTATTACTAAATTTTTTGCGGTCAGAAGATGATTATGTCGAAGTCTCCCGTCTTATTAAGTTATTTAATACTTTAGGTTAGCCTCTCTTCGTAATCGTTATGTACATGCCTTGTTTTATGTTAGTTTAAATTCTATTTACTGTATTGTAGTGTCTTCACTGTTATTTAGTCCATCTATATATAAATCTTGTTTTGTAATATGTCTTCAGCTCCCCCGCCTCGATTAGTTCATAAGCTATTTGCGGGTGGGAAAGTAATGTAATTAGTTATTTTCCAATTTTCAATAAAATTTGTTGTTTGTTGTTTGTTGTTTGTTGTTTTGTTTTTGTTTGAGCAGAGCATAACCAAGTTGGAAAAAGTAATTTGCAGATAATCGGTGCAAGCTGGTCAGTAATACAAAAATGCAAGTACAAGAAGAAAACACAAAAATAATTGACTTTTTCGAGATAATTGGGTTGTAAACATAAAAGAAAAGAACTAACAAAATAGTGGGAATGGGATTTATCTGCCGTTTCTATAGCAACGAGTGCAAAGGCTGGGCAAATAGACATTAACAGTGTGAAATATGCCAAAATGATAACTTGAAGTATATTTTAAAAGGATTTTATTAACGTTAGGCGAGTATTTCGTGATTCCTATTAGAGTTTTTACATCACTTTTATTTACAAAGCAAAATATATCCCCACACTCCTCCCGTAAAAACCTTACTCTATCTCCCTTATGCACCAGTTACCGGCCTGGTAACAAGTGAATTTAGAAAGTTGAGACCTTCAGCTTTAATTTGATACCAGTTTCACTAGGTTTCAAGGGGGAGCTACGAAAATCCTTTTTGGGGTCTTGACTCATTGTCGACTAATTGTTTAGTGTAATATCACCTTAGTATTATCTTGAGTCATCAGAATCACCTTCGCCATCACTGAAAAAAACAACAGCAGAGCTACGATGCCATTCTTCACACCAGCAGTTTCACCAGCCTCGGGGCCATCACTAGAAAAACAGTAACTAGTAGTTTCCAGTGGAAAGTGAAGTGCTGCGAGTAAAACATTTCGATTGTTGTTGATATTTGACATTACCCATGTCAAATAACTGTGCAGGTAATGCTACACGACACGAAGGCGATCGATAAAAAAAGGACTTTGACCCAAAATAAGGGTTAAAATCAAGCTACATTGCATAAAAGTCCGTGAGAATAAATCAGCGTATTATTTGTCTGAAACCTGTCCACGATAAAGTTAAGAGCACGCGGGCGTTGGAGTGAGTGAAAGGGTGAATTTCGAATGGAGTTCAATATTAAACTGGTTCATAAAGCTTCGCAAGCGTATCAAATCATTTTCAATTTTTGCTTCCGTCGTGTATAAAACGTTTTACTACCAGGGGAAAACAAACCTTGCCACACTTTCTAGAAAAACTCTTAATAACTAAAGCAATTTATCAATTAAGGTAATTCCCTTGAAATTGTTCTACTATCAAACTTTTTTTGAAACTTGGCATAATGAACATTCATGATATGAACATTAAAAAGATGCAATAAAAAGATGGGGTCATCGTGCTTGTTTACGCGTCAGCAAGCTCTTAAAGTGGGGTATTTTTACTGGTTGCGCGTTAAAAATTCGAATCAAGTTCTTACAGAATTAAGTCTTAATTACTATCAAACATTTTCCTTTTTCAAATATGTTCTTTATTAGACTGTTCTTAGCAAATACCTAGGAAAAAAATCGGGGGTTACCGTGCTTGTTTCCTCACAAACTGCTGTGAAAGGTGGACATGGTCAGGATGGATAATTTGCGCGGTGGGGACTGGGGCGAGATACAAAATAATGCCCATCGTGTTTGAAGTATGCACTCGAGATCAAGCTTGTTTTCGGTTGTTTTTCTGTGTTTGATATCGCCAACACAGACATTCAAACTTGAAAAGAGTACATTAAATACCAAGGAATGAGGTAAGTCAAGATTTGATGAGATTTTGGAGTTATGAATCTTCATTTTGGACTATGTTGTAGCGCCGGCGATCTGTTTAATTCCAGTGAGCCAGGCTTCGATTTTTTTGCCTTTGCACACTAATGCTTGACAAAGAAACTTGAAGAAAGGACTATTGATTCCTATTCTTCACATGTTCGCTTGTTTGGTTTCTATACATAGCAATATGTAAATTCAGCAGCAAACTTCGTGTTTACATCAAAGACTGGTCTCCCTCTCGTGGTTGTGGTGCTATGGTGGGTCTTATTTGTTCCAGAAATATAAGTCTCTCCACTCTCTGAGTTTGAGAAACATATTTACAGTAGCGATCCCGGGCCAGAAACTGGCTCGTTAATGCAGTTGGAGAGCCGTACAGCTGTCCCACAGGCTTCACAGGCCCCATAATGCAAAGCCTCAGCCAGGACATTTTAACAATTCCACAACTCGACGGCCGCGAAGTGAAAAACCACTGCAGAGTTCGGGATCACACACATTTCTTTCATTTTCTTGTTTTTGATAGCAGACCAGGAAGCTGTCAGCCTATCTGCGGCATTATTATTGCGAATAAAAGCTGTAGCTCTGCATTAGCGGCCCTTATTTGTTCTTTTCGCGCTTGTGGGAAGAACCGCTGCCATCTTGGATGTCACAATGTTATGCGCAGTAGAGGGTGCGCAGTGCAAAACAAGGGGATTACCTTAAATAAATACAACAAAGCGTGGATGAATACAAATTTAGCTAAACGACTTTATAGAGTTCCAGGAATTGCTTGAAATATTCGAGAAACGTATCGATTCAATTTACGGGAATTTGTGCCTTCACTTGCATTCATACTCTTCGCTTGCAAAAAGGTGGCTTTCTATAAGAAACAGGATTTCTCCCGGGCTTAAAGTTTTCCACACAGCACTTTATTTGTGTTCCGAGTGTGCGAACGAAAGAGCCTCGATTTCGAAGGCCGTACTTGAAATCGAGGCAAATGCGGTGATATGACAAACATACATGCCATACATCCAAAAATCTTTAATGAAGCTGGCTTCGGGCACAGGCAACCCAGGCTGGTCTGGCTTCGCAGCAATAACGTAGTATGATATAAAGTTTATTACTGATTAAAAGCTGAATCAGTAAAGACCATTTACGAGACCCAGTAGTTTTTTAATAGGCTACGGTGAGTGAGCCATCGATTGCGAGTAGAAACAACAGAGACTGTTTAGTGTTAACAATCACACAAAAATCTTACAAACCGTTTCCTCTTGTACCTACTCAGAAGAAAGAAAAGAAAACCATTAAAGAATCAAACTTCTCGCCCACCCACACGGTCCTCTTAAAACCTCCGAATTCTGAGATGACGTCAGAAATGCAGGAAGTATTGAATGAATTAAAGAAACACGAGGAGAGCTGGAAGACGTTTTTCATCACACTGGGAGAGCAAGTATGGAATGTACCCTGGAAAGTTCCTAAAATGGACATCCAAAAAGAATGGGAGTTTGCACGCGGACTGCTGGATGAGGTACTTCATTTTCGTCCGAATAAAATACATCTGATAGGCCATTTGCACGATGACATCATTTACTACTGCGACCAGAATCCTTAAGGGTTTTCCTTTCCTGTGCAAATTACGGCATTTAAATCTCTCCAGGATTACCAAATTTAAATATGAAAAGAAAAGCGAAAAGGATTCTGGTCGTAGTAGTAAAATGACGCCATCGTGCAAATGGCCTTTTATAAGCTTCCCTCTAGTTTCAATCATAAGTCCCCCTCTGAATTTTATTTATTACTAATAGTTTCCAGTGGAAAATGAAGTGCTGCGAGTAAAGCATGACATTTCAAAGAATTTGCATCAGTTGCAGTTTATTTCGATTGTTGATATTTGACGTTAACCGTTACAAATAATGCACCAGTCAATATAGGTATGTACCGCCTCAAAGGGTATGGTTTTTAGCCACTTTTAGTCTGAAAATGAGTAGAAACTTTGCCCATTTTGGTCTGCAATCGGGTATGGTTTTCGAGGGAACTACGGGAGTGTATGAACGTATTTATCGTTTCAATGGACCTTTTTACCGATAAGCCTTTCCCGATTGCGGTCGGCAACTTTTGAGTAACTTTTGGCGTTTTCCGCCACCCCGGAGTTAGCATTGCACTGCTGATGATAGTGTATATATACTTGTAGCTGCTACGTTATTGTTATTTACTAGGGTATCTAAAAGATAGTAGTGCTGAGGGCACATTCTGTTGATACTGACATTAGTTAGGCCGTGAGACTTAAAAGAATCGAAAATGACATTGAATGTCCTATTTACATGTTGGAAAGTACTAGAATAATTACTATCAGTCTATAGAAAGAACTCGTGGGAACTTTGTTTAGAAAATGATCAAGCGGTTATCAACTCTGGTTTTCCCACAGTAAATTGTAGGAAATGATAGAAATTCAGATTGTTTATCCATATATTTAATATACGGTGTGCTATCTTTTCTCTGGAAACACGATACTTTTCTTGCTGTTTATTGCACTTTATTAAGTAACAGTTAATTAGCTATATATTTATAGAAAACAACAACACAAAAAACGGGGAAAAAAAGAACCCTGCACCATCGGCTCGACGCGACTACACCTAACCACTACACCACAAAGACTGATTACGTAATTTTGGGAAAAGTCTTTCATTTAATGCCTTTTCCATGAAACTTCCGCCGGCAAGATGATCGCCAGCCGCATTAACCGAGCTATCAACAGTAAAAAAACAATGTAAACGCATATTCCATGGCAATAAATGAACGAAAGAACATAATTATGCTTTTCAAAACGCGGATACACGTTCTCGTCTGCAACGTAGGACACAAAACATATGATTTGTTATCTCGATTTCCGCTGTTATTTTGTTGAAGCGAATGGTCAAAATCACATCCATTTTCGGCTCATACAGGTTCTTAAGAATAGCATGGCTACTGATCAGTTATCAGGGAGAACACTGACTGTCTCATACACCTTTGACCGCGAGTAACACTTTAGTTCAAGTTAGAGCCCTGGAGCTCGTTTCTCGCAAGTCCCGGTAACTTTTCGGGCCCGAAATCAAATATTCAGATCGAAATAAAAAGAATAAGAGCGCAGGTTCTGGCTAGCAAACTACTCCATTTTTTTTTCATTAACTAATAGTTTTATCATGTTAGATGCAAAACTGTGGAAACCTCCATCTTGCATGTAAACAACGAGCCCGTTAATTATCGCGACTTTCGAGAAACGGGCCCCTGGCCCTGTTCCTGGAAAACAGATTAGTGCTAATCCAGGATTAAATATCGCTAATCGCGTAATAAATTTTAACCCATGATTAGACTCTATTCCTGAAAGCACGATTTATAATCCTAATCTAAAAACTCTTCGGGCCTTTCGGAACCCGAAGTATTTAATACTATAGTCAACCGCGGAAAAGTGTGTGACGGTTGAGTCCAAGTTAAAAAATTAATAAAAAACAGCTATTTCTTGAATTGCACGGTGAAGCTACGAGAAGTTTTTGTCAGTAGCGATAATTACATTCAATAACAATTTTTGTGCCTCCAGGAAACTGTGAGTGGTGAACTGAACAACGTAGAATTTTTGCAACTATGTTTCATATATATAGTTTAGCCAGGCCATCACCTCGAGCTGGAGATGACTCTCATCCAATTACTGGTATCTCATGATCAGTGAGATAGACATACCTCCTTTTCAAAATGTTTGGAAAGGAAGAAAAAAGCTAAAATGTTACTGGGACTACCTCACGTAGCACCTCCAGTTTTAACGAGTGTCGTGTCCTCGGAACCTATAAACCGACCAAACTTCGCAATTTAAACACTTTATTTTTTTTCTAATAAGTAACTGGAACAGCTTACCTTGGTTTGGATTTTTATGCCAATTTTTTAGAAAGCTTAATCATATTGAAAGTGAAGAATGATCAATAATCATAAAAAAAATTAGTATTCGTGTAATCAGAAGTAGTGTAGAGGTATATTGCATTAAGCTTGCAAGTACCGTTTTGACTGTTTCATTGGATTTACAAATTTACATTAAATCGAGGTGTTTAAAAGTCGTAGAAACATGTCTTTACATTTACTTCTTTTTGTTATAATACTTTTTGCTATTTACCGATTAGTAATCCTATAAAAACCAGATTAGCAGAGTTTTTTCTCAAGCAAATAAAACTTTGTTGTTCTGTAGACAGTTCGTAGCTTATTTAATATTCTTTTCTCACTTCAGTTATAATTAATTAGCTCATCGCAGGAATTTTGTATAATCCGTGCTCTTTCCCTCGGGATCGAGCTTGCTAGTGAGGGTTATTATGCTTTAAGTACTGTAAGTATTTCCAAAATTCTGTTTATTAAGTCAAAAGTTCAAAGACTTTTGCCTCAAAAAGTTTTAGCTTTTAGCGCTTTATTAACTAGATGATTTTGCTGACTATTCTTGAAATTATTGCGTTTTACATGGTAAAATGGCTATTAAACCGGCAAATCAAGAACCCACTACCCTTGCCATGGTAGCCGCCATTTTAGATTTTACCCATAATGCAATTCGGACGCTACTTTTGAGTTTTCTACGCTCTACTTTGGTTAAATTCAGAACAAATAATATTTTGGCGATAAAAAAACTTCTCATTTCTCTCTTAATAAATTAAACTTCAAAAGATATAGTACATTTTAAGTGCACGTTTAGTATCCTCAAAGGTCATTTCCGGCACTTTTACATGAAAAAAATATCTTGAAAGCTACTCCTACAGAAAGGTTATCATACAAATTTTCAATCTCCACCTTATGTGCTATCAATTCGCAGCAACCATGCTTTGTCCCTCGAATTGGTACCAAAATCAGGATTGGCCCATGGACTATAAGTGCACAATTTTTTCACCATATGGCTTGACTATAAAACCCGTTACGATGATATATATAAGCCCGGGGCATATATACCGGACGTTTACGGCATGCTTGCAGATCGAGGAAGGTGTTATCCACAGAGGACTATTCTTGCTATCATTTTTAGTCCGCTATTTCGTCTTCGCATGACCTCGAACTCTTTAGCATTTTCGTTAGTTCTGCACTCGCGCCAAAAAAGCGAGCTGATTATATAACAATTATTCACCGAAGTGGAGGTGGCTAGTCGTGGATATATTTACCGAACTGCGAAGCAGTGAGGTAAATATCCACGACTAGCCACCGACACTGAGGTGAATAATTGTTTTAGTATATACTAAAACAGTGAGATAATTGAACACAAAAATGATGATTTTTAACTCAAATACTGTTGCCAGCGATTACAATTTTGGCGCGTTATGACCGAGCGGTCGCGGCTGTCGCTTTTTCTTGCCGACAATTAAAACTTTTGAAGGCATTTGTTTAGCTCTTGCGGGAAAATTTCTTCAAATGGAGTTGTGAATTCTTTTTGTATTTAAAATCATTCTATAAAAAAAGATTATTAAATTTAGTTTTAAGCTTATTTATGAACAAGTCAACTAAATAAAGTAACGCAAGACTTAAACTTAGTTTGCATTTGTAAACAAAAAACTTTTTCACCGGTTTTATCGATAAATTCGTGTCAAAAAGACAGTTAAAACTTCCAATCCGAACTTCGTCACCTTCGTGTATTTCGGAAACAGCTTGCTTGATTAGTTGTGAAATTTCTTTGTTTGTTTACGGCAGCAAACCGGGAAGACATTTTGCTCGCAACTTACGCGAGTTTGGCGTCGCTCGCTCGGAGGAACTGGAGCTGAATCAGTGAATAGTACAGGATATTCACTGATTGAGTAGCCAATCAGAGCGCGCGAAAAACACTTTCCACTGTTTTAGTATATACTAAAAAGAATTAGCCGGGGGATTAAGACCAAAGAGGAAAAAGAATAAATACTTTCAATGAATGAATAATCATAATCATAATCATAATACACAAACAGTCTTTTTGTTTCTGTTTGCAGCTGAATAAAAAGTTTGTACCGGGCAAGAACATATCTGTGGACCAAACGTTGTATAAGAAGTTTTTCATGTAGGGTAAGTCAGACAGAACCGATTGCTGGTGATTGAGTCTGGCAGACTGGAGTGAGATGTGGTACAGAGTTAACGAGCGGATCTTGGACATTTGTAACTTTCCTAAAGTGGCAGCATCCCTTTTTCGTGGGAACTACGCTAGACTGCTGATTAAGAAAGAATGCTCGCTGACGAACAAAATGTCAAATATATCTTCATTCAAATTTGCATTTCCGCAGCTCACGTCATCTCCATTCCATGTTTTATTCCATTCACGGGTGCAGATGAACTCAACAAATTGGTCTGCTTGCGATGTACGGGTCTTCATAGATCAGTTGGTAGAGCACTGCAGCGCTAACGTAGGGGTCATGGGTTCGAATCCCGTTGAAGTCCAGACTTTTGGAGGGAGGGTTAATTTGCCATTGCTTAAGGTGACTCGACCCAGTTTTTTGGGGAGGGTACCATCCTACTTTGAAGCTCTCTGGTATCCCCACCTTTACTTTTATCGTAAGTCTAACACATAGAATGGATAACATATAGATCAGTCTACAATATAACATAAAATTTTTGGCGATCGGAGTAAATGTCACGTGGTTATAATGCCACGCCCCTTTGAGGTCTGAGTCGAAAATCTGCTGTTGCCGGCATTTTTTCGTGAAAATCTCTCGGCTACACATAGTGCGCATTAGTGCCTTGCGCTGAACAGAGTTTCACCAAAATCGCAAAGACCCAATTCGAGAACTTCAGCGGTTTCCAAATTTAGGTCATTATTTATGCGAAAATGACCTAAATTTGGAAACCGCTGAATTTCTCGAATTGGGTCTTTGCGATTTTGGTGAAACTCTGTTCAGCGCAAGGCACTAATGCGCACTATGTGTAGCCGAGAGATTTTCACGAAAAAATGCCGGCAACAGCAGATTTTCGACTCAGACCTCAAAGGGGCGTGGCATTATAACCACGTGACATTTACTCCGATCGCCAAAAATTTTATGTTATATTGTAGACTGATCTATATGTTATCCATTCTATGTGTTAGACTTACGATAAAAGTAAAGGTGGGGATACCAGACAGCTTCAAAGTAGGATGGTACCCTCCCAAAAAAACTGGGTCGAGTCACCTTAAGGTGGCTCGACCCAGTATTTTTATAGGCATACCTTTCAGCTTTGGACGTCATACGTAGACAGCTTGGTCATGGATTACACGAAGACTGAACTTTATTAATATATTTCGCGATCAAAATGAATATCACGTGACAATGACGTCACAATGGTTTTTGCTCTTAATCGAATTGCAGCCCGTATTCGCATTTTCTCCAGAAATGCTCTACGCTACGTAAACTTTGGGTGCTTGCCTTCTGAGGTGCAAAGTTTAACAAAAATCTATAAGAGGAATTTCGAGATATAGTGAAATTTCTACATGAAGGCTATAATTTATGCGTATTCTGAATACTGGACTTTATGCAAGCAAATTTGCTGCTTGCTGGATGTTTCTGGAAAGTTTTTGTCACTCAATCTTTCAATTAATGTCCCTTGTACATTCTCCAAACCGCTAGAGGCAGGTAGACTTACGCGATTTCGAACGACAGGAAAGCATATGCGTCAGGGTGAAACACAATGCTGAGCGCTTATTGTAATTTGCAAGTCTACTTTCACAAAAACAACGATAAAATTAAAATTCGTCGATAGAGTTCTTTTGAAAGTTTTCAGAGGTGCAATTGATTAGTATTCTTTACAATCCCTGAATTTTATGACCGTTGAAAACTTATAAAGTTGTCCAATGTTCTCTTAAAATTTGGTACATATTGAAACCTTGTCAGAGAGTCGCCAACATGCTAAGAACTAGAGAATCGAAAAAGAAAAGAAGCCGCTGTCCAGAAGAAAAAGCCGAAGCGAAAAGTCCTTTAGTTCTAGAATATTACCATATTTCGGAAGATTTCAGAGGGCCACAAAATGCGGTAGATTCACACGTGCTGCATGGGAATTCCATTCCATGTTGCGCTAAGTTCGAGACAAGAGGAAATCTAAGAGAAATATTATCCAAAACTCTGACAAGGCTTCAATATTTACTCAGTTTTAAGCGAACATTGCTTTTTAAATTTTCAATTGTGATGGAACAAATTAATGGAATGTTTTTATTGATCAATAACATCAAAATGATAGGAATGCTATTGACCTTTTAATTTTTAATAACTGCGGGAGAACCATGAATAAGCACGTATTATACTATAGAGGCAGTAAACTTGACAACGTTAGCAATTACAAATATCTTGGCCTACAATTTAGTACTTATGAGACCTTCACGTACGCTAAACAGGAAATAAAGAAGGTTGCCCTTAAAGCTTTGTACAAACTCAGGAAGGAAATGGGCGACCATTTCAGAGACGATGTACAGCTCACAATGAAAATTTTTGACACGGTTATTTCCCCAATACTCACCCACGGAAGCAAGGTCTGGGGGGTCGATCACGACGGAAAGCTAGAAAATGATCCAATTGAGTTTGTTCAAACAAAGTTCATAAGGTGGCTATTGGGAGTTAACAAATTCTGTAGCTCAAATGCGTGCAGATCGGAGGTAGGCCGTTTCCCAATGCGAACGAAGACAAAGTGCCCCGGGGGGGTACTCCCATACATTACCTATACGGGTATGTGCCGCCCAAAGGGGTCTTGATTTTGAAGCTCCTGATTTAGAACGGGGTATCCATTTCAGAGACGTTTTCTAGAACGGGGTATAAAATTTCGAACGCACGAAAGCTCCACTTTTGTAAGCAGCCATTTGAAAGTATTCAAGGACAGATTGCTTTTAAAAATACGGTTCAATGCGTTAACAAGCAAACTGTTTTTGTACTCTTGTTGCACCCTAGAACGGAGTATAAAAAATTGGCCCATTTCAGGAGGGCTCCTGCCCATTTCTAGAACAAGGTATCAGTTTTAGGGGGAATACTAGAACGGGGTATAAAAAATTGGCCCATTTTTAGAACGGGGTATCAATTTTAGGGGAAATTTTTTCTAGAACGGGGTGCCCATTTGGAGTCCCGGGCGGCACATACCCACCCAAAAAATACCCAAGTGCCAACCCCCTCCAAGGCAAAGTGCAGAGCCATTAAATATTGGCTGAAATTTTGTGAGCCGGAGCACCAAAATAAACTCTCTGGAATAGCATTTACAGACCAAATTGGTCAAGATAAAAAGGAACTTTGGTCAAGCAAATTAAAACGACTATTAAACCTCGCAGGTCTTGGCGACATATGGTCAGCGAAAACTAACACTCCCGCAATCATGAACTATATACGACAGAGACTCTTACACATAGAACAGCAAACATGGATTAGCGAAATACACAATGATGAACGAAAGGACCCGCATCAAAAAAACAAACTAAGAACTTTTAGGAAATTTAAACTTACCCATGACTACGAAAATTACCTCACAAATGTAAGAAACATCAATCATAGAGTAGCAATCACAAAGCTAAGATTAAGCAACCACAAACTAGCAATTGAAGCTGGACGATACGTTAAACCCTATCAACCACCAGACCAAAGAATCTGTCCATTATGTAAAACTGGATTAGAAGACGAGGAGCATTTTTTGATGAATTGCATAGCCTATAGGGATCCTAGGAGAGAGCTGTTCAATACGCTAAAAAAGGAAACTAATCTTATTCTTGACTCTATGACTCCAAGCTCTGCCTTTACAACGTTGATAAGTATGAAGCAAGGAGACAAAACGCAAAAAATTGTGGCTAAATACGTATATGATCGCTTCCGTGAAAGAGATAGACGCGTTAAATATAACCTTGTTTAATAGTTGTATAAATTTTACAAATGTACACCTCTGTAATTATTGCACGAAAATCTTTGTTATCATTGTAAACACATGTGTCTGTAGGCGCTCTGTTGATAATAAAGCACTTATCCTATCCTATCCTATCCTATGACAAAGGAGTCTGACGGGCTTCATAACCATTCTACTCTATATCTATGGTACAAGAGAAATTTGGTTAAATCAATACAAACATAACTTCGCATTACCGAAACAATGTTTCTTCTTAAAGGTCCTGACCAATTTTTCTGTCATCATGTCTTATTGCAGGTCCTTCGACGGCCAGGAAACGGAAGGCGTTATTAATTCCAGACATTTTTAGAGGTTGAAACCTGAAGATCGTTTAATTATTACTGATTTTAGAATTTGAAGTTTTAGAAACTTTTTAAACAGTTTATATATCGATTATGTTTAGCTATCGGAGAGTGATATCTTAGCCTGGAGGAAGAGGTTTTTCAGATGTCTTGGTATTTGCATGACCTTGCATCGCGCTCGGCCTGACTTTGCTTATCCCTCTTTTTAAAAATTTATAAAACTAATGTAACTGACTGGATTTGTGCTTTATCAGTATGCTGCTTCCTGAGATTTCTTTTAATATTGCTACTGATCAGTTATCAGGGGGAACACTGACTGTCTCACACACCTTTGACCGCGAGTAACACTTTAGTTCAAGTTAGAGCCCCGGAGCCCGTTTCTCGAAAGTGCCGTTAACTTTTCGAGCCCGAAATCAAATATTCAGATCGAAATAAAAAGAATAAGAGCGCGGGTTCTGGCTAGCAAACTACTCCATTTTTTTTTTCATTAACTGATAGTTTTATCATGTTAGATGCAAAACTGTGGAAACCTCCATCTTGCATGTAAACAACTAGCCCGTTAATTATCGCGACTTTCCTGGAAAGCCGATTAGTGCTAATCCATGATTAAATATCGCTAATCGCGTAATAAATTCTAACCCATGATTAGACTCTATTCCTGAAAGCACGATTTATAACCCTAATCTAAAAACCCTTCGGGCCTTTCGGAACCCGAAGTATTTAATACTATAGTCAACCGCGGAAAAGTGTGTGACGGTTGAGTCCTAGTTAAAAAATTAATAAAAAACAGCTTTTTCTTGAATTACACGGTGAAGCTACGAGAAGTTTTTGTCAATAGCGATAATTACATTCAATAACAACTTTTGTGCGTCCAGGAAACCGTGAGTGGTGAACTGAACAACGTAGAATTTTCGCAACTATGTTTCATAGTTTAACCAGGCCATAACCTCTGGCTGGAGATGACTTTCATCCAATTACTGGAATCTCATGATCAGTGAGGTAGCATACCTCCTTTTCAAAATGTTTGGAGAGGAAGAAAAAAGCTAAAATGTTACTCGGGACTACACCTCACGTAGCATCTCCAGTTTCAACGAGTGTCGCGTCCTCGGAACCCTATTAACCGACAAAACTTCGCAATTTAAACACTTTATTTTTCTCTAATAACTAACTGGAAAAGCTTACCTTGGTTTGGATTTTTATGCCAGTTTTTGGAAAGCTTAATGGTTAAAAGAAAATCAGTATCCGCATAATCAGAAGTAGTGTAGTGGTATATTGCATTAAGCTTGCAAGTACCGTTTTGACTGTTTCATTGGATTTACAAATTTACATTAAATCGAAGTGTTTAATAGTCATAGAAACACGTCTTTCCATTTACTTCTTTTGTTATAATACTTTTTGCTATTTACCGATTAGTAATCCTATAAAAGCCAGATTGGCAGAGTTTTTCTCAAGCAAATAAAACTTGGTTGTTCTGTAGACAGTTCGTAGCTTATTTAAAGGGAACCTCCACTTCAACAAAAAAGATAACTTTAAATCACAGGAAATAACTGTTACAGTCAAGTCAATCTAAAATATTTTTAAAGAAAGCGTTTGTATCCGAAAGAAATAACTTTTAGATTCGCCTATTTTTGTTTTCAAATTTTGCGGCCGTCGCCATCTTGAATAATTGTGACGTGTAATGGTTGCCCTATTGTTATTAAACAAAAGCTCTTTGTGTCAGAACAATAGAGCAACCGTAACACGTCACAATTATTCAAGATGGCGGCGCCCGCGAAATTTGAAAGGGAAAATAAGCGATTTTAAAATTCACTTTTCCTGATATAAACACTTTTTTAAAGACACTTTATTTTTCTCTAATAACTAACTGGAAAAGCTTACCTTGGTTTGGATTTTTATGCCAGTTTTTGGAAAGCTTAATGGTTAAAAGAAAATCAGTATCCGCATAATCAGAAGTAGTGTAGTGGTATATTGCATTAAGCTTGCAAGTACCGTTTTGACTGTTTCATTGGATTTACAAATTTACATTAAATCGAAGTGTTTAATAGTCATAGAAACACGTCTTTCCATTTACTTCTTTTGTTATAATACTTTTTGCTATTTACCGATTAGTAATCCTATAAAAGCCAGATTGGCAGAGTTTTTTCTCAAGCAAATAAAACTTGGTTGTTCTGTAGACAGTTCGTAGCTTATTTAAAGGGAACCTCCACTTCAACAAAAAGATAACTTTAAATCACAGGAAATAACTGTTACAGTCAAGTCAATCTAAAATATTTTTAAAGAAAGCGTTTGTATCCGAAAGAAATAACTTTTAGATTCGCCTATTTTTGTTTTCAAATTTTGCGGCCGTCGCCATCTTGAATAATTGTGACGTGTAATGGTTGCCCTATTGTTATTAAACAAAAGCTCTTTGTGTCAGAACAATAGAGCAACCGTAACACGTCACAATTATTCAAGATGGCGGCGCCCGCGAAATTTGAAAGGGAAAATAAGCGATTTTAAAATTCACTTTTCCTGATATAAACACTTTTTTAAAGACAAATTTCGAACAAATTTGTTTATCAACATAATTTTATTCGATTTAAACTTATTTTGTAGTAAGAGTGGAGGTTCCCTTTAATATTCCATTCTCACTTCAGTTATAATTAATTAGCTCATCGCAGGAATTTTGTATAATCCGTGCTCATTCTCTCGAGATCGAGCTTGCTAGTGAGGGGTATTATGCTTTGCGCCCCTCGACTATAAATTTGGCCGCTTTAATTTGCCTAAGGCCCTGTTTACAAGGAGGGAGAGTAACCATGGTGCTAGGGTTCCCCTAGCAAGAGGGTCACCCTAACACTCGCATATTTTTTTTTTAAAACGAAGTGTTTACAAGGCAGGTAGGGTTACCATAGCGCTATGGTAACCCAACCTGAGTGCTAGGATTACCTAGGGATAACTCGCCTATACAGGTCAACTTTCCGCCGTCATGCGTGACCAGCAATCGTGCCAATTTGAGCGGTATTATCCAATTTCCGAGCTTAATTATAAACATCTGAAAAACAAAAAGTTATTTTTCTGTCTACGATGAAAATATTTTCCCTTTTTTCGTGAATTTAACGTGTTTTCGACAGAGAACTTCAAGATTATTTCAAATTTTGGACCGTTACGAATGTCACGCATGACCCGGTTGATAGGGTAACCCTACCTGTGAAATTTGCTTGTAAACAAGAGCTAACTTTAACCCGCTTGCAAGGGTAACCCTAGCACAAGGGTAACCCTCTCTCCTTGTAAACAGGCCCTAAAACGCGCTCATTCGAATGATCAGTACTGCGGGACCACACGGTCAATTTTTGCGACCCGTCGCACCTTCCCTGGTGGCGGTTGATTACTAAAGTGTTCATCCCCGTTGCAAGCCAAGAGACTATAAAGGGGACAGAGGGGGCATCCCCCATATACACCCTATTCCATAGGTAATTCGTCTCGAGTTATTTTTAGAATCGGGATAAAGTTACCTCGCGCGAGGCGTGGATGTTTCGTGGAGGTTTCGCATGACCAAACTCCGTGCAAAACATGTCGGGCGAGAGGCAATGAAAGCGTAAAAAGATCGAGAGCATTTCTGAATATTGAAGCGAAATGAGTCGGCGCTCACCTGGGAAAAAGGAATCGCTGGACTCTTTGGCAACCGGTGAAATCAGTGTAACTCGAAGTTGTTGTAACCTCAGTGCTTTAATAAAATGAGAAATTTCGGGTCTTTCTGCAGGTACCGGAAAGCTTTGTATTTTTGGTCACTTGCGATTAGTCTTTATTTGGAGTTGTTTTGTTTCCTGTCTTTTATTACTATTGTATTACATAATCTGTGCTCCGGTACTCACAGAAGGAACCGAAATTTCGCCGGTCTATTGAAACCGGTCATTTGTACAATTTAGGGACGGAGTTTAAGATCCAACGACGCGGACGACAACGAGAACATCAAAAAAAAACAATAAGACTAATTAGCAAAACAACAACTTCGCACGTGCAACACACTTTTTTGTTCATTTCTTTCCCGTTTTTGCACGACTACGACGTGAAAATGCCTAATTTCGCGTTTTATGGAGGACGTAAATAAGCAATGACGAAATTTTATTTCTCTTTCTGAGCTTGAATATGGTCCCTTGAAATTCAGCTTTAGAAGGGTTCGCCTACAATTGACAAAGTAAGTGGGTAGGAATAATCGCTATAAAGACTGAAAAAAATAAACATCAAACCAGAAATTGCTCTCTTCAAACTGTAAATTATAAATCATCCTGAGAGAATATTCAGTGTGTTAAGGATTTCCCTGCTCTACTGTTAGCTCTATACAAGAGAGAAAGGGCGATTCTTTTTTAATTTCGGTTTCGCTGACACAGCTTTCGCAGAAATCTTGCCGTAGTCGTTTTCGTGGACAAAAGGAATAGCAAAATCGCTCTCCGCGTCTTCCCCCATTTTGTTCTGCGTCATTTCGCGAAGGACGCGTGGCTCTCAGCGTGGGTCATCCACGCGGAACACATTCGCGCTATGTGATTGTCTATTGTCTAATCCCCCTTGAGATCTGTGGTGTTAAAAATAACTCGAGACGAATTACCTAATGTGGAATAGGGTGTATATGGGGGATGCCCTCTCTGTCCCCTTTATAGTCTCTTATGCAAGCTTATTGCCTCAGCAGTCGCGGAATTCAGTATTAATTTAACTCAATATTACGCGTTGAGGTAATGAGCATGCAGTGAGGACATGTTACAGTCTTGAACCATTGACATAAATGGAAAATTAAGACCCTCCTCCCCAACTCCTCGTCCACACCCGTCCCCAAGTCAAGGAAGGAAAACGTCCTTCGCATCTGCGTGAGGTTTCATCCATTCCGTTAAATGATTTTTTCAGTACTGCTCTCACTAAGCATTCGCTAAGACTTCAACTGCTTCCGCTGACAGACTTTTACCTGACCGGTACCATTTTTGGGCGTTGAATACCAAAACGCAGGTGCCGTATTTACAGTACTAGCGATGATACTATTCTTGGGACTACTGCTCTCCCGCCATCTTAGACGTTGAAACTAACAGAGAGTTTTAACTCTCTTTTAATAGTGGGGGAAGAGAAAAGGTTCCTTTGTTATATCTGGTGACATTCAAGCAACAAAAACTGTTTGTATTGTGCATGAAACACAGAGAATTAAAAACGATCGTAGGAATGTCTTTAACGTGTCCACACGTAGCGTATTCGAATCGTTTTCATCAGTCCACACGTAAACCCTGAAACAACGGAAATACGATAGCATTCCTTATGGGGCATGCCCTGTATGACGTATTACATCATCATATTCGAAAACCACCGTTCTTGTTAGTCCACTCAATAACAACAAGCCGGCGTTTTCAAAAAACTACACTGCGGGGACCGTCTTCGATAACCTGGGTTGTTTCGTGGACGGAAGGCTAAAACGGAGAAAAAATCTCCGTTTTCAAAAATATAAGGATAAGTATGACAAGTATGGACGGGACCTAAAATGTGTATGTCAATAAGAGAGCGAATTCACGTCTAGCTTTAAATCTATCCTTTAATATTATTACAATATTTTCTTTAATCTATAATAAGTCACGATGTGATCAAAGGGAGAAAAAAAAACTCCAACAAAACAGCTGACAGTCTACAGGAAAATTTTTTTAAAACTCCAGGAATATTCAGTGTTTACGCAACAGGACGGCAGGAAGAAGAGGTCAGCAAAACGCTTGTTTGTGACAGGAAAATTACCGTTCCATTTGAAGTCTCCCCAGAATTACCGGGGTTTTCCGTACAAATGGTAAGCGCTCAAGGTCTTGGTGAAATAATGAATATATGAATTTCATTTTAGCGCGGAATGAAGAATAAAAGCAGAGAAGATACCCACAGTTTAAGTCGCAACTTATACAGTTGCGAAAAGAAAGCATGAAAAATTTAGGCTAGCTGGGATTCAAACCGTGACCGCCTCTGTGATGCCGCAGCGCTTCACCCAGTTAAGAGTCCGATTGTAAAACTGACCGCACAAAAACGTTAATCTATAGATTGCCACGATGAAAACACTCCAAGACCGCAGCTGACCTTTTACAGGAAAATCTTACAACAGTTTAGCTTTAAATCCATGAGTACTCAGTGCTGTTGTTTGGTAAAACGCGAACTCGGGTAGCAAGAATCCTGTTATAAATCTGACTGCACAAAAACGGAGAAACAAGTGGACATGCGCGGCTTGACTGTGCATCCGCGCCTGCGCCCTCTTTCGAGTCCTTTTGCTGCAGTTTATCTTTTTTTTTCAACACACTTCATTAATTTTATCGCCGGCATTTTTAGGTTTCCGCCTGTTTGTGGTATAAGCCACAAGACTGGCTACAAAATTGGCTGCCAAGATACACTATTCAACTGACGTTAAGGGAAATTAAGGGGATTGAGAAATGGTGACTGACCGATGGTTTAACTAGCGCCATAGACTGATTTTAATCGGATTTTTGTGAAGATTTTAGCGATAAAATAAACGAGAATAGATTTCAGACTTCTGACCTTGAAAATAGGCTCATTGTGGTATCTCTACTATGAGAAACCTCCCTTCCGACGTACCACGCGAAAAGGCCTATTGCATGAGTTGATCACGTGATCAACTTTCGCTAAACGCGAAAACAGTTCGCCTTTGAAAAATGTCGATAGCACGAGCTGAAAGAGCATATTAAAATTAGGTAACAGGTAAATTTTCAGCCGTATATCTCAAAAGTAGCCATCGCAACGGCCGCCGATAATTAGAAGGATTTGTATGAGAAAAACAATTTTTGCCACCCAGTTACGCTTGAATGGTTTTCCATACAAATCCTTGTAATTTTTGAAATGTTCAAACTGTCGTGGAGTATTTCCTTACGCGCATTACGGGGCTCAAATCTCCTTTTAATTCATAACAGGGACTTTGCGCCCTAAAATGCGTATGGGAAAGATTTTACGACAGTTTAAAAATTTCGGCTCGTGCCCACAAAGTTTTCCAAAACCGAACTGTTTTTGTGTTTACCGAAAGTTGATCACTCAACAAATGCAAAAGGCCTATTAGGCCTCGTCGGTGCATTTGTCCAAAAGGACGAAGATAAAGTGAGTAAAAGAATTTCTTGGTAGCTTCACTTTTGATCCAAAATGCGAAACAAAAACCAATACAATTTAACTGAGGAACGAGCCGTTAAAGGTTACGTCAAAAGGTCGCTTGGCTCTACGATACTATACCCGTCGGTCAGGGATGAGGCTTTGTTTTACGGTGCATTTCAAGATCCTGGAGTCCCGTCATGAAATTGCAACGAAAGGCACTTATGTCACGCATGCAAAGATGTTCGCTAACATAGGTTTTGCTCTCGTGGAATGAAGCAGGGGCGGATCCAGGATATTTTTTAGGAGGGGGTGCACTCTTCTCTTGCTCTACTTCAACACCAATAAACCACATAGTTTTTTTTTTTTTTTTGCAGAATACCAGTTGTATTAGAAAAGGGCAGGTCATCTCGGAAGGGGGGGTGAGCACCCCCCTGCACCCTCCCCCTAGATCCGCCCCTGTGAGGGGTATGAGATATGTAGAGTTCGAACAAGAATGAAGCGAGTAATGGAGGAGGAGGGTATCTGCCTCCTCCTGGTATGCTCTAAGAACCTGCCACTGAAGCAGGTTAGAGAGCGGCTTGGAGCAGTGGAGGGCCAAATCAAATGTAGCAAAAACTACCCATTGAGCTTGGGGATTCTAAGGATACTTCAACACCCTCTTCCACAACGCCTCTCCTTAACTATTTTTTGGCTAAATGTTAGTAATTGCATACACAACCTTCATAGGGTCTCAATGGGGTTTCAGCTGTCAAACGGCCTAAAAAGTAACCATCAACCGTCAAAGGTTACTTTTTACCCTCAACCGTCAAAAATCCAGAGTAATATTAACCGTAAAAACGTTTCAAGAACCTCAAACATCTCTTTTAAAGCTGATCTTCACGGACTTTTGGCTCCTGAAGAATCTCCTGACTGTAAACACCACCAGCCATGTTCTCAAACACTCTCTGAACATTACAAGACTTTACAGACTTTCTTTATAGAATGCAAAGGCTAGATATTGTAAGTTTTCTTTGCGACCTCAGTTAGCCTGCGTGAGTGTTTCCAATCGAGTTATTACGCGAAATTTAGAGCTCTCGTCCCAAATTTCTCGACGAACGCGCGCGGAAACGCTTGCTACGAAAGCTAGCCCTCAGTTAGACTGCCTGCTCAATACATAATAGGCCCGATTTCCGCCGTCTCCCGGATCCGTGCGGGCTCATTTTCCCGAACAGCGGCTGGTAATCGAGCCTAAATACGTAAACGAGTGGTCAAAATAAATGTTGTTGACGAGTTATAAGAACTGAAGACGATAGCATCCTTTACAGGGCATGCGCTGTCATGACGTATGACATCATCATATTCGAAAACCTCCGTTCTTGTCAGTCCACTCGAAAAGGATGAGCAGACTTTTTCAAAAAACTACACTGTGGGGACCATTTTCGATAATCAGCGTTTGTCGTGTCTAGAAATGGCTTGGTGGACGAAAGGCTAAAACGGAGGTAAAAAATCTCCGTTTTCAAAAATATCCAGATAAATATGGACGGGACCCAAGATGTGTACGTCAATAAGAGCGCGAGTTCAAGCCTAGCCTTTAATCTATCCTTTACTATTCTTACAATCTTTTCTTTAATCCATAGTAAGTCACGATGTGATCAAAAAGAGAAAAAAACTCCAACAAAGCACCTGACAGTTTACGGGACAATTTTACAATAATTTAGCTTTAAATCCAGGAATACTGAATGTTATTGGCCCGGGTATTGGTGAGTTTACGCAACAGGACGGCGGGAAGAAGAGGTCGACAAAACGCTTGTATGTGACAAACGTGACAGGGCTATTACATACGAGTTTTGTCGTGATCTTCACTTAACATTAATCTGGTGTTTTAAAAAAAGATCTGTCGAAAGGAAGGTGAAGTTTAGCGGAAGGTTTTTTCAAACAAAATTATTGTCACGCTTGTCACACAAGGTTCGTCGTCTTCTTCCCTCTCTCGCCCGGTTGCACAAGTTCACTATTATTTTGTAAAACGTGAACTTGGGTAGCAAAGGTTTTGGTGAAATGATGAATACATGAATTCCATTTTATTGAAGCGCGGAATAAAGAAATAAATACAAAGATGATCCCCGCAGTTTAAGTCGCAACTTATGTAGTTGCGAAAAGAAAGCCTGAAAAAATCAGACTGCCGGGATTCGAACTCTGACCTCTGCGATGCGGGTGCAACGCTTCAACCAGCTAAGAGTCCTATGGTAAAACTGACCACACAAACACCCTAATCCATAGATTGCAACGATGTGGACACTCCAACACAGCAGCTGACCTTTTACAAAAACATCTTACAACAATTTGGCTTTAAATCCAGGAAGACTCAGTGTTATTGTTTGGTAAAACGCGAACTCGGGTGGCGAGAGTCCTGTTATAAACCTGACCGCACAAAAACGGAGAAACAAGTGGGCATGCGCGGGCTGACTGTGCATCCGCGCCTGTGCCCTCTTTCGAATCCTTTTGCTGCGGCTTATCTTCTTTTTCAACATACTTCATTAACTTTATCGCCGGCATTGCTAGGTTCCCGCCTGTTTGTGGTATGACATCAAGAACAACGTCAGTGGTTGCCTTGGCAACATACGGTATGGCTATAACACCGCGCTTCCGTCCGTTGACGGCCCATAGGTTTGTGTCGGAGTCAACTTCGTAAAGTAATTGTGGGATGTTGGATGCATCTCCGTGGGATGATAGCCTGGTAAAAGTTATGTGCAACTTACAAGATGAGCCCGCCAAAAGGTTTCCGGACTCTACTGTAGGCTTCATTGTCGAGGTTATGGTGTATAATGTCTAAAAATAAAAAAAAATGTATCTTGGCTGTAAAAAAACACGACGTTTTCTCCGTTTGTGACAGTCACAAGGCAAAAGGCAGATTCAGCAAAGAGAACGAGACGCCAGCGACGCAGGCGTACGCAGATAAAAATCGACTTGACCAACGGCAAAGCGCAAATTGAGTACCGGAAGTCACCTTCAATCCCTTTTACGTGCTCTCGCGTTCTCACTGGAAGCTGCTTTGTTTTTGCTAAAATCTGCCTGTTTATTACGCTGGGTGCCAGAGGCTTTTCACGCGCGGTTTCCGGTTTCGGCTAAGTCTTAAAAAGTGACCCGCCGCTCGTGTATTCGGCCTTCGGCCAAAGACGAGTCGGCCTGCGGCGACGAAGCTCCTCGTCGCACGCGAGAAAAAACGTCTGGTACCCAGGGTACCTGTTTATGGGAAATTTAAAAGCATTCCGAGCTTCTGGTTGTCACTCACCTGAGTAATCCCCTCGTCAAAAAGGCAAAACCAACTGAATCGACCTCAACAACCCTACTGAATTTTATAGGGTCGAAAGGGACCCCTCTTGCAAGACGCGCGTTTAGCGGCCGTGGCAGGCTTTCGATGGGGAAGGGGAATTCGGTTGCCTGCGTCGAGCGAAAAAAAAAAGCGAGCGAAGCGAGCTACCAGGAACAAAAATTTTCAAGGACTTTTGGAAAGTCTACCTAATCTCGTACCCAAATCTCCTGTCAACAAGAGATTAGGGAACAAAGTGTTAAGGAGCGCCGGAATTATTCCTTTTCCCATTTGCACTACAGCTAAATTACTTGAACGTTAATTGGGAACAGATACATAAATATACTTTGCGAGCCATCGCATGCATCGAGAGGTTTACAGACGTTTTCAAAAACAGATGGGCGCGCCTAGTGCTGACACTCCCGCAAGACTGGAAATCTTCAATATTCAACTACCGCTCCGTAGCAATTCATTACATACAATTACCTGGGTGTTAGCCACATGAAAATCGTGCAGGTAAGAACTCGTCTCGGATGAACATGTTAACATCTCCTACAATTAAGAGAAGAAAACGGAAAAAAAACGCGGCAGGGTTAACTCAGTCGGTAGAGCGCTTGACTGGAGAGCGGGAGGATGCGGTTTCGATTCCCAGGGCCGAACCAAAACTCAGGGTTTTAAAATAACTGAGAAATGAAGGTACAGCCTTTGCGGTTAGACCTTCGCGTGGCACGGATGACTACGTAAAATGGCGGTCCCGTCTCAAGATTAGTACTTTCGTGCTAAATACATTCACACTCAAATAAAGTGCACATACTGGGGAGTTTCAGCAGCGACGTTTTCGAGCGACGCACATCAACCGGAAGTGGAGATTTTGTACTCTCCGACCGTGATTTTGAACAAATTCTTGGACAAATCGTCTCTTCAAGTGTAAAGACACTTAGCAATCCAAATTTGGTAAAGCCAACGTATATTTAAAGAGAAAAAGGCTCAGTTCCGGTTGACGCGCGTCGCTCAAAAACGTCGCTGTTCAAACTCCCTAATAAGAAAGGTTTCCTTTTCCAGGTGTTCAGACAGTATCGCAGTCGAAAAATTGCTCCAGTCTCCTCTCGTTTTCCCCACGTACGATTTAACTCGCTCGTCGCTATGTCATTACCGCGCTCTACTATCTAAACGCCTGAAACAGGCTAAAAGAAAAGATAACGGAAAGTCGCGCCATTTTGGGGGATTTCAGGTTTTGCCGACTGATCATAGAACCTGATTTTAATCTCTAAATATAATATCAAGTGTAGAATAATGTAAAAGAAATACAAAACCCAAAACAAATGTATAGATGGGCAAAACTGGCGAAGATTAAAGCACGCTGCACTCAGGTAAACTGGAGAGACATCGGTCAGGCATTTTTTAAGGCCATCTCGATCCGTATAAAAGTGCGAATTTTAATTAATGCTTAGATTAATCTCTGTTTCTTTTGTAGTCAAGATTTGGTTATTATAACTTTTACTTTACCAATCTAAGTTTAGAGGTTGTGACGAAAACAAACAGAACTACTCGTGACCAGGCCCGGAAAATATTACATTTACACGAGAACAAGAAAAGAGTTCTGTCTTATACTCTTCATCGTGAAAATTAAGGAGAGTTTCAACCATCCTTGATGACAACTATGCTACAAGTCAAACCTTTAAAACAGAATGGTTCTCGAATGTTCCAGGTTCTTACCGTGGCTTGTTTAGGAAAAAACGAGGTCTTAAATTCGCAGTCAAGTTCAGGCGGCGAACCTGCAATTTACAAGTATAAAAAGACAAAAAGAATCGCAATTTAGCTAAAACTGTGTACAATGAATTCTTAATCTAATGTGCTACAGGAAGCTTTTAATTACCTTCTTCAGTCTCTAGTTTCCAGAGGAAGGACATATCTTGCTGGTTAAAGATGACCTACAATTTAGAAATCAACAAATGAGACAAAAATCTGGTCATACAATACATCTTCTAAGACCTATTTTAGTTACGAACATCCTCTTTTAGCCAAAAACGTAACTGAAACAGCTCTTTTTGTTTTTCTTTATGCATGTAAATAGACTACTGAGTACTCACCTAGTTAACGCTCTAAGGGCGTCTTGTTCATAATTGAGATACTTCCAACACAGGGCTTTTGGCTCTCTGTTTGGGGAAAGGGGGATTAAATCGCGAGGAGACGGCCAGAGAAAAATAGCCTGCGAAAAAGCTCTCCGGGGCGCTCTAGAAGCGGGGCGGGAAAAGGAAGGAGAGCTTGCAACTACGTCTCTGGAATTTGAATTCCACCTCCAATTCCCTGTGGCTCCCCGTCGACTGAGCTTTCAGATTTCTGCCAATCAGCGCGAAGCGGAAACGAGCACGAATGTAAACAAACATTGAAAAACACGAGCAAAGGATAATGACGTCACTACTAATGTCACCTTCGCCAACCAGCATTTCGCATCTACTTTTCGATGCAGATATTCAAAGTTCAGAGACATAGTTGCAAGCTCTCCTTCCTTTTCCCGCCCCGCCGCCAGAGTGCCACAGAGAGCTTGCTCGCTTTCCCCTTTTTCTTACCATTAAAGCCTGAAACTAAAAGCCAAGTTTCAGGCCAGAACTTGGTGATGAAAACTGAGGCAGGCGTAATTGAAGGAAGGGACCGCTTTGCATCCCTCAAAATCCACATAAACCAGTTACTAATGAGGTAGGGACCCCAGGCGGATGAGGTAACCCGCTTAGGTGGGGTAACCCGCCTGTCCATATAATCTCTCATTTTAATTTGATCGCGTTTGAATGATAGGTGGGGTGACCCACCGCAGGTTACGTCACCTACCTGGGGTCCCCCATCTCCATGTAAACAGACCCTAAGTACTCACGTATTCCGAATTGCTGTGCATGGGAGTTAACTTCACAGAAGAACAGTTTGTGATAATCAGTTCAGGAGTCTGGATCACCAAGTCAACTGGGTTTGTACCAGTAACAATCACTTGGATAAAACGGCTGCAATGGAACAAGTGTAATTAAATTAAATCTTCAATCTTCATCTACTGACTCAATCAGATCAGCCAATAAAATACTAATTCTTCAATTATTTATCCCTCGCATAAAGGCAACAAATACCACTAAGCACATGGAACACGGAGAGACTCACGTGGTTTCAGACGAGTGCAGTATGTGTCGAGCAGCAAATGGACGGTGAAACAAGCCGGTAAGGTCAGCGGTAACCGCGGGAGACAACCACTTACAATTACATAAAAGCTGAAAAATGAGAAGACAAATAACGAAAGTTAACCAACAGATACACCGAGCAAGGACTGAAATAACAAGTCTCTCTCGACAATTGATTACAGTCACGCCACAGGTCAAGCGTACTCCTATAGATGCCATTAATGAATCAATTATTTGAAAACTAAATCTGTTAGTAGTTGCTGCAACCAGTAACAAATCAAATCTGCATTCCTGCATGCGTAATGAGCAGTAATTTTTTTGTTTGAAGACATTTACATCAAATTCAAGAAAACTGAGCAGGCAGAAATTTCATAAATACCTCGCGTATGGATTCACTGCTTATTACACGTGCAGGAATGCAAAGATGAATCTGAAATCATCTACAGCTACTATCGTATTCTTCAAATAATAAATACATTACGGGAACCTTGAGGGTACGCTTGACCTGGCTTGACTGTAATGAATAAAAAGAGAGGTGACAAGGAGTACCGTACATGGAGGGTATCCAGCACCGTAGGGCGCTTTCCATTTGTCAAAACTGACCGGCCTGACTGTTCCCGTCGTAATGAGAATTTCACTCTTAATCAAAACTATCCAGCCAGATCAGTCAAATCCTAAATAGTATGCACGAAGGAAATGGCTTTTCAGTAAAAACTCTTGGAAAAAGGTTATTACTTTGTCAAAATGACTGGTCCGGCCATGGACAGGCCATGGTCCGGCTGGCCAGTTCTGACCCTTGGAGAGCGACCGTAGACCTCAGGGCTAGGACGTCAGGCCTTACTTGTTCAACCGTTGCATACCGCTGTGTTCACTTGCTAAGTTACAATCCAGCGGTAAAGTACTAGGGGAACCAACTGCGTTCCCCACTGGAAATAGTTTTATCCAGTGGATAGCATTATCCACCATTTTAACAACTCGGCCTGGACTGTAGACATCAGTGTTAGTTCTTGACCAAGAAACGAAGAGTCTGAGAAACATGCCGAACAATATCAGAACTGTCATTTCTTTGTAGTCTTACTCCTACTACACACCACTTTTCTGTCCGTCACTATTGGTACCGAGTTGCTATAGATTATATCTAATTTTACTCTTAAAGAAGGTCAAAAGAGTTTACGAAGACAGATCCAGCCTAATTGAAAGTAGGACACCAGCTCAAGTTATTCTTGTTTTCTACGAATTACACTGTACATATGAGCTCTTCTTTAATAGCGATCAGACTCGACTATTTAACAAATAAAGAAGCCTTGACTGCGCTCTCTTCTGTGGTAAACCATGCAGGCTTTGGCTGAAGCACGAGAGAACTGTAGGGGGAAACACGAGACATAGTCGAGTGTTTCTCCCTATTTCTTGAATGCTCTAGCCGCTTTCTACGTGTATTACAACACAACAGAGCACAGTCAAGGTTTTTTTATTGGTTTTTGTTAAAATTTCCAACGCAATTCGCTTACTAACTTTCAAAAAAGCTATTGGCAGATGGAGTGACTGCTTTAGCTCCGGGTTTTATACTTTCATAAAGCACACTTTTTCAACCAATCAGAGTGCGCGTTATATCTGAACTTCATAAAAAAGACTTATGATAAAAAAACTAATAAAAACTAATGATGTTTTACAAGAACATACAACTGAGCTCGACGATTATGAAAGGTGACCCCACCTTGTATTCGGTAACTTCTTCCTGAAGACTTTGCTTCTGTAAAGGCGCCTGAATAATTAACTTTAGATCAATCTTAGCATAGGGTCCAATTGCTGGTAGAGTAACCATGGCAACTGAGATATCTGCTACGTCATCATCTCCGTGCACGGCAAGCACTTGAACGCTGTAAGGCGCACTTGTTTTGTTTTCTTCGTCCATTGAAGATTGAATGATGGCCTCGCCTGAGTGGATTGGTTCAAAAGTGATCCCCCTCTTCTGAGAGGTGATCTCCAGAACTGAACCACTGGCTATAGAGCCAGGTTCAACTGAAATGCTCAAAGTAACTTGCTGAGAAAGGCCAGAGATGAGATGAAGCTCTGTTGTTAAACAAAGAAGTTAAATTGTCTTGATTAAAGGAGCTATGTCACCAGGATATCCCTTTATTGATTTTTATCAATTTCCGATGTAATTAATGAATTGTTATCGATTGTATCGATTGATCGCGCCAGGGTTAAGACGACAGAGACAATTGAGTAAAAACACCTCAGATGCGATGCAGGATTATCTGGACGATTGGGGTAATCACAAGCGCCTGGAAAGAACTGAATTTTTTAACCCATTTAAGCCCCTATACGTACAAATTCTCCAAGCTGACCTCCATACACTTCTTAAACGAATAACCGTATTTATTCGAATAAGCGCCCATCCTAAAGGCAGAAAAAGTTAATAAGCGCCCACCCCCACCTCGCTCCCCTTCCCCCCCCCACCCCCCCAAAAAATTGAATAAGTACTAATAAGAGACTTCCCCGAAGATGGAGTTTTCTTCAGACTATTTTACAGAAACCTTGCTTTGTTACATCTTCGCGTTTTGTTATTATCATTTATTGTCTTTTTGCAAAATAAACATACTATTCTTGCTTAAAACGGTGAAAATTTAATAAGCGCCCAGCCTAGAATAAGCACCCTCTTTGGAGGTCCAAAATCGAATAAATACGGTAGTTGAGAGAATTTGATATCAAATAAAAGCCTTTTGCCATTGCCGATCACTTTATAAATTCCCATACCTCTTCTTTTAATAATGTGTGGATATTGTTAGGAGAAAATTGATGTTGGTCACTCTTCGGGTGCGGATCGTCCCAATCTTTCCAAAAACTCGAGGGATTCTAGACGATCCGCACGATTACGTGAAAACCAAGCATAAAAGTACAGCCTGAAAACAACAGTTTTAAAGAATTTCCTAAAAAAAGGGAACAAACATTTCCGGGTCGTGATGGCCCGAGTGAATACGCTCCGACAATATATCACATACCATTGTCATGAGACCACCGTATTCGCGGAGGATCAGCCACAATTGCGAATCCTCTGGATTCTCTTGACAAAGAAAGCTTTGGCCACACAAAATCCAGTTTCCCAATCTCTACGCAGAGCTGTTTTAGATGGTAATGCCCTATTTCGGCCAACTATGAAAAAAAATTAAGAACGTCAAAGATTACATTGTTTTGGCTTTCTGCGTGGTAAGCTTTCTTAGGTCATTTAACCAATCAAAAATTCATGGAATGTTAATCACTTCTTAGAGGAAACCTTAAGGCTTATGCAACGTGAGCTTTCTTTACTAAATTAATGAATTGACCTTCAATACGACATCTACAATCCTTAAAAAAAGACGAGGAGTTTTAATCAGTTCGATTTATCTATCTCTAACCAGAAGCTCAGTGGAGTATTAAGGATAGTGGAATCATTTAGGCGTGTTCTGGGAGGCGCAAAGCACGTCAAGTACCTGGAACGGTGTAAGTGTTACAAACCTGAGCTGTAAGAATATACTCATTAATGCCATATCTGAGTGGAGCATTAAAGCACTGCAAGCAACAGTCCGAGTCAACATCAGGCAACACATTCAAATCTTCTACACTCTTCACTATTGGTTTGGAGTCTGGTTTAGGTGTAGGGAGAGGTGGCCGTTGCATTTCAGCTCCGTTGCTGTCCGCTTCTTCCTCTGCAAAGATAGTAACCGTAAAATAAGCTATCTTACTTGCTTGCTTCCTGTTTGCTTCCCCCAAAATCCAAAAAAATTAAATCGAAGCTCAAGGAAAAGAAACTATGACTGACTGGTCTATGTAAATAGGCTCAGAAGTGGTAATCATCCCTTTACTTTTTTCTTGCACAGAGAAGAGCTCACTGTCCCGCAGAGTTACCGGCAGTCTTGGGTCAGACAATGCTCTGCCTGGTGACCGTCAGACGTGTACAACAAGGCGCTTGGAACGTTTCAATCACAGTAGATTTTTAAAGAGTCATAATACTGTATTGCAGTGCAGTTATTACATTTTATTGCAGTTATTTCATTGGACCTCGTAAAAAGGTCTATCCGGTAGTCCGGGACAAGTGGATTTTCTTGCTGGGCAAGTAACAGATTTAAAGCGGAATCCACCATGAAATTGAGTAATTTTAATTTTCAGTGGACAAAAACCTTGTACCAGGATAATTTAAAGCATATTGCATTCTTTTTCATATTTTTCAAGGGCTAAAGATGTAATTAGTCATCTGTAATGACACCAAAGAAAATCTCTTATGGGAGCCCGAGAAAATGAATGTCAAATTTCATAAAATTACATCTTACGCATGAAATTTTCAGAATTTTACCCGTGTTTTCACAATCCTTGTGAAATTTGACATTCATTTTCTCGGACTCCCATGAGAAATAGTCTTTGGTGTTATTACAGATGACTAAGTACCTCTTTAGGCCTTGGAAAGTGTAAAAAAAAATGCAGTATTCTTTAAATTATTTTGGAACAAGGTTTTTGTCCACTGAGAATTGAAATTACTCATCTTCCTGGTGGCGTCCGTTTTAAAGCTCACTTGCCCAATGGACAGGGGTCCAGGCAACTCATCTTCTAACAAAATCATTAACTAAGACGAGCAGGAAGTGGCACTGGCCGAACAAAATGTCCCAGGCCAGGGCTCGTAAAAACGCTCGTACGGTAGTCCGGGACTAGTAGATTTTCTTGCTGGGCAAGTAACAGTTTTAAAGCTCAGTTACCCAATGGGGAAGGGTCAAGGCAAGTCATCCTCAACCAAATTATTAGCTAAGACGAACAAGAAGTGGCACCTACCCAGCAAAATGTCCCAGGCCAGGGCTCGTAAAAAGGTCCGTACGGTAGTCGGGTACAACTGGATTTTCTTGCTGGGCAAGTAACAGTTTAAAAGCTCACTTGCCCAATGGGGAAGAGTCTATGCAGGGCTTAATACAGATCAGGGCGTGAAGAAACAACATGTTAACTGGCGTTTTCCAGAAATATGAGTTAGTTTACGAAACAGAAAGGCAGAAAGGAGAGGACTGCAAAACGTTTGCGTGTGACGAACGTGACAGGGTCATTATTTGCCTGTTTTTTCGTGATCTTCACTTAAATCTGGTGTTTTGCAAAAAGATCTATTTAAAGGAAGGTGAAGTTTAGAGGAAAGTTTTATCAAACAAAATTATTGACACGCTTGTCACACAAGGTTTGCCGTCTTCTTTCCCCTCCCGTCCTGTTGCGTAACTTGACCATTAGGGACTTTAATATCCAACAACGCGACGGCAACGAGAACGTCGCTTAAAAAGTGGATTTGCATTCTTCCAGTATTTATCGCAATTATTCCTACACACTTTCTTTGTCAAATGTAGGCGAATCCTCCTGGATTTGAATTGCTAGGGACCATATCCAAGGTCAGAAAGAAGAAATATAACTTCGTCGTTGCTTGTTTACGTAGTCCATAAAACGTGAAATTAGGAATTTTCACGTCGTAGTCGTGCAAAAACGGGCAAAGAAATATACAAAAAGCGTGATGCACGTGCAAAGTTGTTGTTTTGCTCATAAAACCTATTGTTTTTTAACGCTCTCGTTGCCGTCGGCGTCGTTGGAACTTAAAGTCCCTATCATTTCAAGATCGAGAATTCAAAGTCCAACTGAAAAACAACTCCGCTAACAACAAAATGACTATCACCTGTTGCTTGACCTTCTGGTTTATCAGACAGGTCCTCTTCAGACAGAGCAGCTGATGTGAGTCCGCTTTCCACAACTACGACGGGCGGTGATGCGGCACGGGTTCTTCTGCTTGAGCGCACGCTGCCCACACGTTTGAGTTCGTTTGTTTGAATACTGAAACTGATGCGTCCACAGGTAACCTCCTACAAGGAAGAAGAGATCAGGACAAATAAGATATTAGGAAATTGCCCCACCTACCCCTCTCCTAACCCAACGTTAACACTAACTTTTTACTTAGGTAAAAATGCTTGTTTAGGGAGGGATAGGTCGTATGTTTCCTGGAATCTTATACTGATTCTCAAGACAACGCCTACCTCAGCAAATTAAAGTGAATTCCTAGAATTCTTCACAGGGGCAGCATTCCTACTTCTTACCCTAGCTACTGAGACTGACTTCAATCCATTAGGACTCGATCGTTGATAGCTACCTTGTTTCCGTGCACAAACAGTTCTCTAAGACAGAGAGTCCTCGTTTTTAAGTAAGATCGTCGGGATCGAGCGCTTACCGGTAACCTTGTTTCAAATGTATAGAGGGGGCGGGCCCCGGTGTTTTAATCACTACGGGAAGGGATCCGAAAAAATTCCTCCCAAACGGTCCCCCTCACCCGCTAAGTAGACTCGGTACCTTTGAAACCAAGATGGCCACCCGTAAGGGTGGGTGTTCCATCCCGACGATCTTACGAAAAAATAAGGAACTGTTAAGAGTCTACTCTGTCCCGGCATTGTCTTAGAGAGGTTTCAATCATATATGGAGTTAAAGAAAACGACTGAAGAACGGCAGGTACTTACTCTATGTGTCCGTTTAGGGGAGATGACTTTCTTACTCATGCTGTACCCTGCATTTTTGTTGTTTTTTACTTCGAGGGTAAGAATCGAGGATTTGTACGAAAACTCACCTCTTCCAAAGCACTAAACAACTTGAGTTTAACCTTGATGCATTCTCCTACGCTACCAATCCCCTTCATAAGGTCAATTTTTACATCTTCTACTCGTAGCAGTGGCTCGGCACGTACAATGATAGCTTGAGCTGAAAAGTGATTCAAACCAAGCCATCAATACCTACTGACGTTGCGTTTGGGGTTCTACGGGGATTAAAATTCGTTTTGCACGACAGTGGAACCTCCATACAACGAATATCTGAATAACCAGCCTAGTCCCTAGGCGTTCTCTCTTGATCCGTTGTCCGCGCGAAGCCTGGGACAGAGCAGGCGAGTATCTCTCGATAACGTCACAGCTCATGCTAGAGTTCAGGAATGACCGAGCCGCCTGAGGACTAGGCTGCTTAATAACCACGTTCTGTGTACAACGAGCGACATTTTTCGCTCCAGTTATAGTAAAATATATGGAAAAGAACCTTGATATAACGAAACCTCTTTATAGCCAACAAATTTTGCCAGTCCCTTAGTCCACCGTTATATCAAGGTTCCACTGCACTTTCAAATGTTCCTAATATCCACACTGACTTGTCAATCAAGCTTTAGCCTGCGTAGCATGGTGGTTTTGGTCGGGCGAGCAAAAAAGCCAAGGAGGGCGAAGGTGGGAAAGAGCAGTGAAACTGCGAGGAGATTGGGCGCCCGCTAGTTCGCGCGCGCTTTGAGGCTTCGCCGCTCAGTAGTGGGCCCGATAAAATCGCCATGCTACGTAGGCTAATTAAGGTTTACAATCCTATTGTAAAAAAAGTTTCTAGAACAAAATAATGGATCCCTATTGGCGTATCTTTGCTGACTTCATTGTTTTCCTTTTTGCTCATTAGCATACGAAAGAAAGGCGTCACGGTGAATTTGAGCAATTTAATGCAAACAATAACAAAAGAAATTGCAGCAATCGAAAACAGCGAAATTGCTGTGGGTAAAAACGTTTCAACTACCCAGACGTATCTCTATGGCGTCAACTCATTTATTAGAGAGCTTTAGATTCGAGGACGAAAACGACTACGATTACGAGATTTGACTGAACGTTTTATCTCGTATTCTCAAAAAATGCACACTCCAGAAAGCTACATTGTCCTTTTGATTCACCATAAAAGTTAGCACTGTTATCTTTATTAAAGGAAATTAAGCCGTCTCCGGATCGCAAAATGATTAAACTTCTAACCTTTGACAACTTGTTTCCGCCACTACGACATTCACGCTAAAACTCGAAGTAGAATGACGAAGGCTATCTCGTTTTCCCGCCAAAACGACGCTGATTCACGAGCGTGCAATACTCAGTATTGAGAAAATCTCGTACTCGTAGTCGTTCTAGTCCTCGAATCTAAAGCTCTCTATTATGGGCACATGTTTCGACTCTATTCATATCACAGACCTTTAGATTCAAGGACGAGAATTAACTTAAAGTTTTCTCGCGTATTCTCAAAAAAAAGGCCGACCGGGAAGCTTGATTGTACTTCTTTGTACTACTACAGGGTTAATTTAAGAAAGTAAGTGCTTTCAGAGACTACGCTATATGCTTTATTCAAATTCAGGAAAATGGTGTTTAGATAAAAGCGTCTTGGGCAAACTGAAAATGGCTTAGAACCTGGTTTTGTTAAACACGGGCTAAAATATATAATAATATAATAATAAATAATTGACTCTAAAGATGTCTCCTAACTGTTTGCATGAAATAGATGACATTGCTGTTTGCATAATAAATGAACGAGGCTGTGTCTATTGTTTTTCTATCGCCCAATGAAAAGCTTTAAGGTATAGCAAGATCCCTATGTTTTCAGCTGTTCCTACCTGATTCCATTGTTTCTCGCATGACCTGTAACAGTTCCTGAGTGTAGTAAGATCTCTTATCAGGAGCCAAGTGCCTCTCACATGCCAGTACTGCGCATGACGCCGCGTATCTGGTGCCCATTAAGGTTCATTACCGGGATAGGAATAAATGATTTCTCTCATAAATAACCTCACCAGAAACGCAGGGTGTTCAAGGGAGTGTTATATAACAGTTAACAACAAGAAAGGACGCTTACCCAAAAATCAGAACTGGCGGTCGGACAGGTAAATTTGAAATGAAATAGACTTTTTTGGGAGTTTCACCTTGCCGTGTAAAGTATTGAAGAATAGACTGAGCTAGCCAGGCAGAAATTTCCTTTACACCGGTCTTGTCTGACCAGCCAGTTCGAATAGTAAGCGCCCTCAAATTACCCTGGGAGCCAGCCACTTTACATGCGCGGTCTTAGGTTTTGGTCAAGTCTTTATAGTGACCCGCGTGCTTCGGCGACTCGTGCTTACGCGTTCCGAAAAATTCGGAGGGAAAGAAGCGACGACCGGAAGTACGTACGTCTGCCGTTTGCAGGCTAGAGAAAAGAAAGCTCTGCCGTCTGAATCGCGTCAAGCCTTTGAAGGCGACGAAGCTCAACCTTCTGGACAGTGAGTCAATCTTGTCCTCTATCGTCAAACTGGTTTTCCAAACGCAAACATCGGTTTATTGATAAGCCGACGGTCATAACGGAGCCCGCTGTACCAAACACACGGCTATAGAGAGGAGAGGTGTGACGTCACGTTACCATGGTAGCAAATTTTCTGGATCACAACTGTAGGGAGTTTTTGCAACAGCACGTGCACGTGCACGTGCATCACGCTTTTTTGTACATTTCTTAGCCGTTGTTGCACGACTGCGACATAAACCTTCCTAATTTCACTCGCCCGCTTTATCAAGTAGATGAGCACAACACAAACATTTTCTTTTTCTTTTTCTAAACCTAGATACGGTCTTTCGGATTCAACCCAGAAAATTTCGCCAACATTTGAAAAATTAAATGAAATTGAATAAGATCGACGAAGTTTGAAACTGTGCAAATCCACCAGAAATTTTGCTACCATGGCAACGTGACATAACAAATTCTCCTCTCTATTACGCCTGGGTTCAAAACTGCATCCCAAAAACATGCATCGCATGCTCAACAAAGACCTTTCTCGATTCACGCGGAGTCTTTTTACAGTACGCTAAAATCGAGCAAGCAAAACAAAAGGCACTGCTAGCAGGGTATACCATTCATAACACCAACAAACAGTTTGTTGTCCTTCCTGTCTACATGTGAACCCAACTGTGAAAACTGGAAGTTGTGATTCTAATTTTTGCAAAAAAAGATACTTGTCCATGTGTTTTAACTGCTTCTGACATCTTGACAGGTTTACTAGGCACTGTGTCGCCAGAAGAGTCCATCTTTCATGCTTATACATCTTATAGGCATCAACTAACAGAGGCTCTGCGCGTTCAAATTCTCCTCGGGATCTACATCAATCATAACTCACATTAATAAGTAACAAACCAATAACAAATCATTACTTATAGGAGGCAGGTTTGGTCGAGCGGTTAGAGAGCTGGACTTGTAATTCAGAGGCCCCCGAGTTCAAGTCCCGCCCTGACCGCTAGCTGGATTTGTTCACGGTAGTCCCAAGTTCAAATCCTGGACCATGCTTGTAAATAGCCAGCTGGTTTGCCCCCGGCCAGTGGAATTCCCAACCCTTTTAAGTTTTATTTAAATTATTTTTTCAGGCATTTGCTCAGCCCCACCGGCATTGGTGCTACAAATACTGTCGAGGGTAAACAAAGGACCTTATTACTACAAAAATGTGGCAACTAAAAAAATATTTATGCCAAAGCTATCTTAAGGCGTGCCTCTTTGGGTTATCTGCCTTAAGAGTGAGGCAAAACGACTAACTAAAGCCAGATACCAACTATAGTTGTCTGTTTTGGGGAGCTGTCGGTCTTATAGGAGAGTCCCTTAAGAGAAAGACATGGGCCAGACTTCCACGACTTTTCCGGCATGAGACGAACCAAATTGTCATTTGAGTCGACCTTAATTGAGTTGAGTTCGACTGCTGGGTCAAACGCCGAAAATTACTCAGCAGCGAACATCGCCTGAGTTCAAAACAAAGATATTATATGGCGCGAAACAGTTTACGGTCGTACAGTGAAAACCCGCTTTGCGGAAACCCATTTTAAACGGACAGTTTTCCAGTTTGCCCGACGAACATTTCAAAATATTTTCTATTGAATAAACCGCATAATATGGAAACCCGGATGGAACAGACACATTGGCATGTCCCTTTCATGACTGTATGCTTCGTAATACTGCACAAGGTACTTTCCTTTTACAAAACCGACGACTAATTAACAATTATTCCTCGAGCCCTGAGGCAATAGCCCATGAGGCCGAAGGCCGAATGGGCTATTGACTAAGAGGCCATGAGGACGAGAGGAATAATTGTTTTAGTAAAATCCAACTAGTTGGTCAAAAATATCGAGACAAAACAACTTTAGCTAGCAAAACGCGATTCAGCCGCCACTGTTTTGGTTTTCAAAGCCGGCGCTTTTCGCTACTATTGGGCTATAACATATAGCCTAGTAGTAGCTCATCCAATCAGAATGCAGCATTTATAATAGACGACTAGCTGGATTTTATTAAAAACGATTGCCCACGTTTCCGCTTCGGTAGGCTGACTCGGAAGGAAACCGGGCAATAAAACGTACAAGTTGGCAGTGAATGATGAGTAAAAAATGTTTTTATAATGCGAATACATTTAAATTTTCCACACAAATGATCATACTTTATCAAAAAAAATGTTAAATGTATTTACAACTGAGTTTATCTCATGAGAAGGTTGACCTTCGTCCGGGAGACGATCTTTACAATGTTCCGTTCCTCTGAGGCGCATGGATAAAACATTTTGTCGATCCAAATTCAGTCAAACGAACTTTACTGAGACATATGTCGAACTCATCATGAACTTAACTCACTCAGTTTGGGTTGTCTCATAAAAACTTCGGCGTTACGCCTTGACCATAGTTAACCGTAAATTGATTTATAATGACTTCTTCCCCTGTAATCAAAGAATCGAACAATTTTGTTTGGTTTCAAGCTCAGTATATGTCACTCCACTGAGAACAGTAGAAAAATAAGTTGATTTGGTTGTGGGCCCCGCCTCAAGGCAGGGCAACGAAAAATTAGTCTACAGACTCATTGAAATGTTCTCCTCCACGGAAATCTTTAGTAAAAGGCGAAAGATTTATGCGTGTTTGAAGGAAAACCAGAGTTACCCATGATATTCTATACAGAGAGCTTGTTAAATGTGAGGCGGCGAGCCATGTGGGACGAAATAGAACCATGTAATTAATGAGAACGCATGCGCATTAAAGAGACTCTAATTGTCTAAACAATCAAGGTTTTACAGTTTTATGTTAAATTCTTCCCGGTCCTAATCTGGCTTCTTCATTTATCAATCTCTCGGTCTTCTTGCAGAGATAATTAAATTGGTTGAATTACTGAAGTTTTCGAAATAGCTGTCATCGCCTTCGTGGTTACGTTAACTCTGTAATAAAGTGAAACCTCTATTAAGCGGTCGGGACCTTCCCAAGTGTCCGCTTAGTGGAGGGTGTCCGCTAAATAAAGGTTTGTAAAAATTGTGCAATGTTTGTTAACGATCAACATTCAACGGTTACTCTGTACTGTGATAAAGTTCCATGAAGCTAAGGAAGCTGTGCTGTACTTTGCGTAAGACTTTTAGGTGAACTTTGGTCGCGCATGACAATTATACGGCCGAATATCGGTCTAACCTACAGTTTACAGTACGTATTTTAAGGAAGTAATCGAATGCTACTATTGTCAATTCAGTCCGGTGTCCGCTTAATAGAGATTTTTAACAATAAAAATTCGCCAAATACAATTTATGTTAGTGTCTGTGTACGCTTAATAGAGGTGTCCGCTGAATAGGGATTCGTCATAAAGGGAAATATAAGACGTTAATTTCGGGACCCGGCTTAGTGTCCGCTTAATGGAAATTTCACTGTATATAGTTGGTAATATGGATGTTTGATGGATTTGCTCTGTTACCTTTGCGGAAAGGAGCCCCGCCTCAAGGCAGGGCGATGAAAAATTGACCTATAGACTCATCCACTTGTTCTCCTCCACGGAAATCTTTAGTAAAAGGCGAAAGATTTATGCGCATTGAAGGAAAACCAGAGCAGGGAATTTTTGTTCACACAGGGAGTTTGTTCAATATGAGGCGACAAGCCAAGTGGGATGAAATGTAACCAATTAAAATATCAGAGGGGACGCATGCGCATCGAAAACACTTTCCGGTACACAAGGTAAATTAACTTCTACGTTAAATTCTATTTTATGCAGAGAAGTGGAGTGAAAGGGAGCGATAATTGACCACTCCAGAAAATACCACAACGTACCATAATGCTCTTTGTTTGTCACCCCAAAATTTTGCATAAGCATTGTTTTCAGTTTCTCTTGGGAGTTAAAATGGCCCCAAGAGACACTGAAAACAATGCTTATGCAAAATTTTGGGGTGACAAACAAAGAGCATTATGGTATGTTATGGTATTTCTGGAGTGGTCAATTATACATTTTAGGGACAAACAAAATCTCAAGAATTTTGTCCGTAAGTGAAGCTACTTGCTTAAACACAATACCACTGAATACTGATACTCTTCACTTGTTTTTCCCTGTTAGCGGCACATCTTATTTACAGTAGCAAGTTTTCCTTGAGAAGTCTGCTGAGACATCAATATACAGAACGGTGACGGCAGTGAAAATCGTACTTACAAATCGATTTCGCGGCGTTCTTTTCATTTTTATCGTCATTAATTCAACTCAACCAACTTGTTAAAAACAGCCGAATTCTCCCGGAATTGAATTATTATAATTGAAGGAGAAAGAAATGAAACGAGCCACTTTGCGATGTTACACGAGGTGGTTCGCAATGAGGATTTCCTGTGCATCACAGCGTTGCAACATTGCTGCGACGTTGTCTAAAACTGTTCCAACACTGTTCCAACATTGTTTCCCTACAGATCGTGGTTGAAAATCGTGTCATGTAACACCGACTAAAATGACGCACCAGGACACTTCAAAAGGAAGGTGTTAACCAAAAAGTATGACACACGTGCAAAATTAACGTTATATACTGCTTTTGACGTTCGCATCCCTGTGTCAGCAAGAAGGGAGATGTAAAATTGGGGATCAGCTTTCAACTATTACAGTTTTGTTTATAAGGAAAACTTGTTTAGATATGTAAACGATTTAACTTGATAAAACAGTCCAAGGAGTACAAAAGTTTGCTATCATGAAAGACACCTAAACTGAAGTACGGTCGAACCTCCGCCAACGGCCACCTCTCTACAACGGCCACTTTTTCTTGTCCCGGCGGATAAAAAATCCATACATTGACTCTTGTTTAAAATAGGGACCTTACGAACCTACGACAGCGACGGCAAGAAGAACGTCAAAAAAGCAATAGGTTTAATGAGCAAAACAACAACTCTGCTCGTGCATCACGCTTTTTTGTATATTCCTTTCCTGTCCCTGCACAACTACGACGTGAAATAACCAAATTTTAAGTTTACTTGAGAACGGGAACGGCGAGGCAATAAATTCTACCATCTCTGTCAGAATTCGGGCACGGTCCCCTCTCTTCAGCTCCAACCAAAATTCCCTTCTTTTAAGTTGCAGGGCGAATTGGGATAATCGCAAGAAAGTTTAAAAGGATGCAAGGTCTATTTTTCAGCGACGTTTTCATGGACGTCGCCGTTGTCGGATCGTAAGGTCCCTAATCTCTCTACAACGGCCATCCCTTTATAATGGCCACTTTCTGCTGTCCCCAAGGTAGCCGTTGTAGAGAGGTTCAACTGTATTAGCTAACTGATGCTAATAACGCATAAAAAACTCTTCAAACAGCTGTCCATGGGTGTTAACAGTACGGGGCCTCAGTGTCTCTTCCTCAGTGATTTCAGCTACCAGTATGACCTTAACCCTTTCACTGCCAGAGTGTTTGATGGAGTCTTGTAAAGGGACTCTAACTTTTGAGACTGTGAACCAAATCCTATGATGTGACCATTCAAATGAAAGCTCTCTGCCTGTATTTACACATGGTGCTATTTGTTTTTCAAAATTTCACAACATAAAATTTGGAAATTTGGTCGAAATTTGCTTTCGGCTAAATTTGGCAGTGAAAAGAGTTCAAGACCTACTCCCCAAACTGATCACGTGGTACTTACGAGTAAAACTGAGCTAGATCCATCCCTAGATACTTGGCAGCTCTGTATCGTCCGATGTTCTTATAGATTGAAATTGCTAACTCTGTTAATTCCTGCCGTAAAACAAATCAAACAGCAATGTGATTAATTTCAATGAAAAATATGTCCTCAAATCGTGAAAAACTTGAGAGAAGAGTACTGAGCAATATCAAAGGGAGTCATATTTAATATTCCAAAACGGTGGCAACATAACTTTGCTTAATTGTACTACGATAACCAGCTCTCTTTACGTCAACTGAATCCACAGATTTTAAACTAGCTTTTACCTTGAAAAGAGGCATTTCTCTTGAAGTCAAAACGATAACGCAATTTTAGGACAAGGTTTATGACTTATTATGAGAACATTGGTTGAATGATTTCACCACGCGGGATATCAAAGGACTAGTCTTCCACGCAGACGTTGTTACGGTTTTGCCACGCGTTCCTTCCGGTTAGGGTCGATTGCCGCCGCACTCTCGGGTCGGGTCTTGTTCCGTGCCGAGAAGAGTCTTTTCGGGACGGAGCGCGGGGTCATTTCCCAAACAGCAGCTGTTAATCGGGCCTACTTCCGAGACGCTATCAAAAGAAATGGCGAGCTACGCCAGACAGGTAGCAGGGATCACGTGTGCAGGGTGTTCTGCCTAAAACTTTCTGAGTGTTTGTAGACTTTACTATAAAAGTGATTTTGTTACCTCTGCGTACTGCGTCCCGGACGCATAAAAAACCTTAGCCTTGGTTGTGCTTTAAAGCAGAAGGACAATATTTTAATTTCAGTATTCTGTAGTAAAGAGTTTTGGAGTTCTCTGCAGATTAACTGTCTGGTTACATAAAGGCCAAAGCGTTTTCAATGTCGGATTTTTTTTTTTTTTTTTTTTAACTGGGACTCACTGATTCTAGACTGGGACTCACGATTTTTCACAAAATGAGTCCCAGGACTCACCATAACTATTTGTAACAAAATCACTGCTGTAATGTTAACTTCCTTTTCTTTCACCAACTCTGGTAAAATAGAATAATACCATGCTGAACAACTCACCAAATAAAGTGACTCAAAGGCACGCCTTGATGATAGAGCCTCTTGAAGTCTCTTAGCTGGGCTCCTGGGCTCAAGTTCTTCTACAAAACAACAAACTGGAAATTAAATTTTATCAACAACGACCAGACAATACTGGAAATAACTAAACCACATAGATTAATTAATTGACTTATACACTTGTCAGAATGACCATCAATACAAAAAACAACAGCTATTTGGGCTCTTACAGCGAAAAATTCTGTTTTATACGTTTGTCAGTAGAACAAAGAATTCATGTTTGTATGGTAAACTGTCAACCATTTTCAACGGTCCAACCACCAGCACCTTGATAGCAGCTATAGCTACAACGACTGAAAAGCGTTACAATTGGCTGTAATGTGCAAGCAGCCCCTTTTGGGTGGGGCGAGTGAAAGTTTAGTAGAGCTGGGGAGAGCCAAGAAAAATAGTGGGAACTAGAGAGAGAGGAATGAGAGAGAGGTGCCTTGTCCAAAGTTTCCTTTTTAAAAATGAGGAAAAACACCGAAACACAAAAAGGCAGGAAGAGAGCTGCGATTAAGCTAGGAACAGTGTTTTAAGGCCTGACACTAGTGTACAGGGTTAGGGTTATAGGAATGATTTGATGGTTAGGAATGGCTTCAGTTTTTACTGTTTTCGTAACTCTAAGACTATAAAACAACCATGAAAATTACGATTGTCGGCAGCCATTCCTGTATCCAGAGTAATGGATATGGTTGAAGTTGTAAAAGTTAAGTGTTCAGCTTTCAGGCTTACTCCCTTGCGTTACGTTTTCCTTGAAAGAAAGTAAGCCTTCATTTATCAGTAATTTTAAATGAAAATGAAAAGGGGTTTAGGCCAAAAGGATCTATAATGCTAATCCCTTGTCTGCTGTCATAGGTTCTCCGTTTCTTATAGCTCGCTTAAACTTGACAATAGACCATTCCACGGTTTTTACAGCTTCAGATATGGGCCAGATAGTGAAAATCCATCCCCACCGCTGAAAAGAGAGCCTAAAATACCGTAAAAGTCCGAAAATAAGCCCCTCCATGTATAAGCCCCTCCAAATATAAGCCGCCCAAACTCGTAACGCAAAACACCCTCCGTTAAATCGCCCCTCCGAATATAAGACTCCCGGGGGGCTTGTACTTGGAATTTACCCTCGAATACAAAGTAAAACAAAGCAAAAATGGTAAATTTCCTTCCCACTACAAGCTAGCCCAATCGATTGTGAAACGCAAATTTTGCTCAGTAGATAAGCCCTTCTGAATATAAGCCCCTCCAAAAGGGTCTTTGAAAAATATACGCCCCGGGCCATATTTTCGGAATTTTACGGTAGTCAAGTTTTTAGAGTGATTTGTTGAAAAATAACGAAGATATAACTCCGCAAACTCGCAAAAATTTACAGAAGTTTGTAAGTCTGTAAAATTTCGCGACTTTGGGGAACCACATCTTCGTTCGCTTTAGACCTATCACTTTTAAACTTGGCAAGTTTACTAAGGATACCTTCCATTTTGCCAAATCAAACAGTCAGAAACCAGTGGAATTATCAAAAGAAAATGAAAGGACGTTGTTTGATTGAAACTACCCATTAGGGTTTCGACCGAAATTTTGATTACTGCTTCGCAAAGTTGTACTGAAAACGATAAATTTTTGGAAATGGAACGGCAAGTTTCGGTTGGATCCAACCGACCCGTCGAAGAGGACTACCCTGAAGGTGGACCTCTTTGCCCGGCAAATTTCCACGCGGACAGACGTGCTTCATTTATTTATCGAACGAAATTTCCGAAAATTTTGACATAAGGAAAGCACCCAATGTTAACTAAATGCGCTATTTTCAGCCGCATGAGTTGACGGAATTTCACCAAATGACCCTTGGAAGGGTCTATTGGGAACCGTTAGTAGTCTGTCTACTGACCTTCGCCTTGTGTTTTACCAATTCCTGACAGCAGAATACAAACAGTCTGTAGTTCAGTCTCAGATGGTGTCATATCAGGCAACAGACCGCACAGGGCACCCAGGTCATCCAACTGAAAACAAGCATTCATACCAGTGTATAAAAACCATGGTGACGTGACAGAGTTTCAGTTTCAGAGGCGTCACTACCTGCATGCCAGGACGCACGTGCGTACCCCCGAAAATGATGAAGATTCATAAAAACAATAGAATAACAGAGCAAAAGGATTATAAGCAATCACCTGGGCAGCTAAGTCCGCTTTAATTGCTTTCAAATAATCCAGGCGTAGTCGATCAATAAACCAATAATCGATAACAATCGTTAGTAATCGATATCAATCTTCGATGGGTATCGATTTCCGATAAAAAATATCGTTTGATTTCAATATTCTTCTTCCCCTCTCGACAGCCCTGCCTACCCCCGTCAGTCCAAATAAGTTGTTCACCATATCAATCTAGCTACACCACGTTATGCTGAGTTGATTTGCTATTCTAACTTCTAAATCTGTGAATGAAATCCTACGGTACTACCTTTCAAATGAAACCTCTTCAGCAGTACTTTCACAACATAATATATATTTACTTTTTCGGATCTGTGGATGAAATCCTTTGGTGCTACCATCTCCTTGGCAGATTGTTGCATAGTACTATTTACTTCTTAAGACTTTACAAAACCAAACATGAACTTTTATGCTATCTTTTCTTCATTTTTACCACTATTACAATAGGCTTGATTACCAGCCGTTTCATGCACCAGTGTTCCTTCCCAGAGGAGGATACAAACCAGACTCTGAGACTTTCCAAACGCCTGCCCGGCCGAGGTTCCTGGAGTGCCCTCCATTAGCGGTTAAGCCACCATTTAATTTTTCCCGGATAACTAATCATGGGTTAAAAGGAGTTCTTAGTGCTAAAATAAACCTGTTTAACTAGTTTTTCGAATGCCTACTTTTAAAAAGATGACACAAGAAGTGTCATGCGCGGGTCGCGGCACAAGTGAAGTAAAAAAAAGTCAAGAAGGAGAAGAGTAAATAATTTGCAGAAAACTGCTGCTAGCACTACGCAGGCTAGATCTCTACCAGATATTTACTAAATCTCGGCCAACCTAAATCTACTGCGAAGTTCCTTGTCAGTGAAATGGTGGAGATCAACTTCGCGCTGCTAGAACATTTTTTCGCCTCTTTATGGACCAATTCTAATTAAAGGGAACAGTAAGTCCGCCAGCTTGGTTGTTTTGACAAACTTTTTACCCTATAATGATTTAATCGACCTCGCTCGGTGGGTTAAATTTAACACGCAGTTTATTCCTGGATTCGGGGAAATCGTGGGATAAAATTTAGCACGCTGTCAGCGATATTTAATCCTGGATTAGAACTTATCGGCTTCCCAAGAACCGGGGCCTGAAGTCTAGAAAAATGACTTCTACTGTAGGGACAAACCAGAGATTTACAGTACACCATAGTTATACACCATAGTGGAAGGGTTATGAAACCCGTTAGACTCCTTGTTATATGTTTATGTCAGCTTTTTTGGACCTGACTGTGCACAACTTTCAATAGCATTCCTATCATTCTGAACTTACAGACCAATAGAAACATCGCATTAATTTATTCAGTCACAATTTGCGAACAAAACGCAAAGGATTATGTAAGGTCAGGGAGCTTCCAACATAAACTACAGCACTGTTGTTTTCAGCTTTGATGTTTGCCAGCTTTCCTAACCAGTTTCCTTTACTAACTATGAGTACACTAAATGATCTTCATACCTTTTGCCTTGCATACTGGTAAAGAAGAGCAAAGTGCAGACTGTAGGCGATGCCATTTTCACTGTTTTGTTTTTCACACGCTTGTAGCACCTCCAGGCATGTTAGGATGACAGAGCAGGATGCTCCACCAGTAGGCATGGAGATCTAGAGCAATATAAGTCAATCTGGTATAAACATGTTGTTGGAAAGAAATTGCCTAAGCCAGATACCAACTCTAGTTGTCTGTTTTGGGGAGCTGTCGGTCTTATAGGAGAGTCCCTTAAGAGATAGACATGGGCCAGAGTTCGAACTTTCGCAGAATGAGACGAACCAAATTGTGAGGCCCTGCCAGGGTAAATTCTGACAAGCGACATAGCCCAAAAAGTAGCGAACAGCGCGTAAAATGAAATCGCGACAAGAGACAACCTCCCTCGGCCAAATTGCGACAGTGACGGCAAAGCCGACAATAAGCGACAAGCGTTTATAAACACCGACACGAGACGTTTTAAAATTCAGACGGGCGACATGGGACCCCCGTGCTGGGTCAAACGCCGGACATTACCCCCTCCCCTTCGCCTCCCCGACTCAGCATCGAACATCACCTGAGTTCAAAACAAAGATATTTTATGGCGCGAAACATTTTACAGTCGTACAGTGGAAGCCCGCTTTGCGGGAACCCATTTTTAAACGGACAGTTTTCCAGTTTGCCCGACGAAAAACTCAAAATATTTCCTATTAAATAAACCGCATAACACGGAGACCCGGATGAAACAGACACATTGGCATGTCCCTTTCATGACTGTATGCTTCGTAATACTGCACAAGGTACTTTCCTTTTACAAAACCGACGACTAAAAACGATTGCCCATGTTTCGGCTTCCGTAGACTGACTCGAAAGGACTGGCAATAAAACGTACAAGTTGGCAGTGAATGATCAGTAAAAAATGTTTTTATGATGCCAGTACATTTAAATTTTCCATACAAATTATCACACTTTATCACAAAAAAATTGTAATCTATTTATTGAGTTCATCTTATGAGAAGGTCGACCTTCGTCCCGAAGACGATCTTTACAATGTTCCCTTCCCCTGAGGCGCATGGATAGAACATATTTGACGATCCAGATTCAGTCAGACGAACTTTACAGAGACAGACGTCGAACTCATCATGAACTTAACTCGCTCAGTTTGGGTTGTCGCATAAAAACTTCGGCGTTAGGGCTTCACCCCCTGTAATCAAAGAATCGAACTATTTTGATTGGTTTTAAGCTCAATATTTGTCGCTGCGATGAGAACAGTAGAGACAAGGTATCTCGTTGATTTATTGTGGGCCCCGCCTCAAGGCAGGGCAACGAAAAATTGGTCTATAGACTCATTTAATTGTTCTCCTCCACGGAAATCTTTAGTAAAAGGCGAAAGATTTATGCGTGTTTGAAGGAAAACCAGAGTTGTCCATCGTTTTCCAGACAGATAGCTTGTTCAATGTGAGGCGGCGAGCCATGTGGGACGAAATAGAACCTTACATTTAAAAATGTTAATTAATGAGAACTCATGCGCGTCGAAGAGACTTTAAGTATCTAAACAATCAAGGATTTACAGTTCTATGTTGAATTCTTCCCGATCCTAATCTGGCTTCTTCATTTTTTTCGTTTTCATCCACTTTCAAGAGCGTTTCAAATCGATGCGTTTGTGACGAAAACTCTCAGCGTATTGGTGTGGACGCAAGGCCTAAACGCATCGAGATGTATGCGTTGTCAAAGGAAAACGCATTGGTGTTGAAGCGGCCTCAACTGAATTCAATTCTGCAAAATAATTAAAGACTATTGTATGGTGGCGGGTGGGGGAGAGCAAATTTGTGTACCGTAAATTAAATTTTTAAATTTCTCATTTTTTTGTTTCAATTACTTTGTTAGTTTTCACTCTTACTCTCAAAATGGCCAGCTTCACCGGTTTTAAGTCTTTTGAGGCATTTTTCCAAAGCTGTTGATAGATTTCCAATAGCCCATGTCAAAAGATAAGAAAAACGGAAGAGTCTAATGGCAATTAGACTCAGTCTAACATTAAATGTTCGGCGTTTGACCCAGCAGTCGAACTCAACTCAATTAAGGTCGACTCAAATGACAATGTGTTTCGTCTCATACCGGTAAAGTTCGAACTCTATACTCAGCATCGAACATCGCCTGACTTCAAAACAAAGATATATGGCGCGAAACAGTTTACAGTCGTACAGTGGAAGCCGGCTTTGCGGAAACCCATTTTAAACGGACAGTTTTCCAGTTTGCCCGACGAAAATCTCAAAATATTTTCTATTGAGTAAACCGTCCATAACACGGAAACCCGGATGGAACAGACACATTGTCATGTCCCTTTCATGACTGTATGCTTCGTAATACTGCACAACGTACTTTCCTTTTACAAAACCGACGACTAAAAACGATTGCCCATGTTTCGGCTTCGGTAGGCTGACTCGGAAGGACTGGAAATAAAACGTACAAGTTGGCAGTGAATGGTCAGTAAAAAATGTTTTTAGAATGCGAGTACATTTAAATTTTCCATACAAATTATCACACTTTATCACAAAAAAATTTTGATCTATTTATTGAGTTCGTCTCACGAGAAGGTCGATCTTCGTCCCAGAGACGATCTTTACAATGTTCCCTTCCTCTGAGGCGCATGGATAGAAAATATTTGTCGATCCAAATTTAGTCAGACGAACTTTATTGAGACAGACGTCGAACTCATCATGAACTTAACTCACTCAGTTTAAATTTTCGCATAAAAACGTTGGCGTTAGGGCTTGACCCCCTGTAATCAAAGAATCGAAATATTTTGATTGGTTTTAAGCTCAATACCTGCCGCTCCACTGAGAACAGTAGGAACAAGGTATCTCGTTGATTTATTGTGGGCCCCGCCTCAAGGCAGGGCAACGAAAAATTGGTCTATAGACTCATTTAATTGTTCTCCTCCACGGAAATCTTTAGTAAAAGGCGAAAGATTTATGCGTGTTTGAAGGAAAACCAGAGTTGTCCATCATATTCCAGACAGAGAGCTTGTTCAATGTGAGGCGGCGAGCCATGTGGGACGAAATAGAACCTTACATTTAAAAATGTTAATTAATGAGAACTCATGCGCGTCGAAGAGACTCTAAGTACCTAAACAACTAAGGTTTTACGGTTCTATGCTGAATTCTTCCCGATCCTAATCTGGCTTCTGCATTTTTTTCATTTTGATCCACTTTCAAGAGCGTTTTCAAATCGATGCGTTTGTGATGAAAACGCTCAGCTTATTGGTGTAAGCGGAAGGCCTAAACGCATCGAGACTTATGCGTTTTCAAAGGAAAACGCCTTGGTCTAGAAGCGGCCTCAATTTAATTCAATTCTGCAAAATAATTAAAGACTATTGAATGGTGGCGGGGTGGGGGAGAGAAAATTTGTGTACCGTAAATTAAATTTTTAAAGTTTTCATTTTTTTTTTTTTCAATGACTTTGTTAGTTTTCACTCTTACTCTCAAAATGGCCAGCTTCACTGGTTTTAAGTCTTTTGAGGCATTTTTCCAGAGCTGTTGATAGATTTCCAACGGCCCATGTCAAAAGATAAGAAAAACGGAAGAGTCTAATGGCAATGAAGCTTGAATGATAAAAAGGCCATAAGTGTTTATAGTCAGCTTTCTAAAATTTTCACCAGAGACAACCAAAACGTACCAAGGTATAGCAAACAATTATACATGTGACAACATTTTAAACACAACATCTAACAACACAACTACATGTAAACATAACAACATCTCAAAAACAAAGCAGCTGAGCTTGTCACTCTCTCCTCCACAGAGGTCTCTTTGTGTCCTAGGGAGGCTGGGGAGGGAAAAAAAGAAAGTGCACAAGGGACGATGGCAAGGGGAAAGGAAGAAGAGAGACCTCAAGGATCCTGCCTTTTCCCTCTTCTCTTAGTCCACTGCACACTTCCTGTATTTTAATTGCTGCTTTGTTTTGATACCACTTTGGAGGAGAGAAGGCATCTCATACAAACCTTCAATGTCTCCATGGACAGTTCATGAATTAGATTGTGAAGGAAATCTAGTGTTCGCTGAGCAACTTCCCATGGAGAAGGTCGGTTCAGTTTCAGAAGCAAGTTGCATTGCCGGGAAAAAAGGTAATTTCTAAGGTCAATATAGCTTGCTTCCTGGGTCTTAATCAGCCCGCCTAAAAACTCCTGGGGACCTTTGTCTAATGAAACTCCATCACAGCATTTGCAGTCCCGCATGAAGACATCGATGCAGTCTAAGGGTTCTAAAAAGATATGGTAAAACTATATTTCATTATAATTCCTGGTAAGCTTCCCCCTTTTTCAGAAAACCTGAACAGACCTTGCCGATTTCTCGAAAGTTGGCAAATACTGAGCTCAGAAAAAAAAATTGTGTTTGTGGGAATCTGATGATAAAACAATTTTCACAAAATGTTGACTTCCAAAAGCAGATACTTTTGGAACTGGCACTATGTGTTCATCTTTAGAGAGGGTCCAGTAAAAGGAGTAAAGAAAGGCAGGGATCAACTCTATGTGCCATCTTAGAGAAGTCTACATCTTACAGACAGTAAACTATAAAAATAGAAGGAGTAAATGGAGGCAGGGGCCAACTCTAGGTGTCCATTTTATAAAGGTGCATGTTAAGAGAGAACGGACTTTATACTATATGTTTTGTGACCCCAAGGGGCCAGGGTACCCATGCAGGTATAACAGTGATGAAGAGGTGCAAGTGAGCCCAAACTGTTATACCTCAAAAAAAAGTCCTGTTATGAACCAATGACATTTTTGGTTCCATGACAGGATTGGCTAACCTGCTCTGATCAGGCACCTGGTCCCCCTTTGTTTTTTGCACTCTCCCAGAAAAAAAGAACACCTGATCACAGGTTAATGACTACCAGCTAGAGCTCAATCCCTGATTACAGGTCAGTGACAGGTCAAGGACTGACTGGTTAGAGCTAAAAAAAACAACTACTCACACATTACACACATGCAAAACAGGACTTACCTCCAAAGTTTGAGTTGATGACAAGTTGAGTTAGCAGAGCATCAATCTCATCATACTGAATAAGTGCTTCCTCAAAAAGTCCCAGCATCTCAAACACAAATGCAAGTTCTTCCTGAAAACAAACAACAAAATGGATGTTCCATTTTATCTTATAATGTTAGGCTGGAAAACATTAACAAAAATCCATTGACATAAAATATACTACATTGATTGTGTACAATAACATGTTCTTGTTCCCTTTTTTTAACATCAAACTATGCAGGTCTTTACATGCATCATTGAATTCAGAGGTAAAGTAAGTCATTACTCTGAGCAAACTGTAACCACTTGCACTCCCGAAAGACCCATTACAAAAAATGCAAGGACCATAAGGGGTTCATACTCTCTTGAGCCCTTAAAATTCTATGACCTTTCATGACTTTTTCCATGACCTTCTCCAGTTTTTCGCGACCATAGCGGCTAGCTTTAGCTGTCACTTTCAAAAAGTTTCAAAACTACATGTATCTTTCTCTAAGGGAATTTTTTGAAGCAACTCAGTTCAACAGGCACAAACCCTGGACTCCAACATAAAAATTGTGTGGCATTTGCACCATTTAATGACTGTTGTCTTTGTCTTATTTTTCTTTGCTTTGACATCAACAGTTACTAGTCAACCAAACATGGCATTAACAATTAAAGCCAATGAAAAATATTTTCCATGACTAAAGCTCCATGACCAACAACTAAATTCCATGACTTTAATTTCCAGGCCTGAAAAATTAGATTCTTAAGTTAAGGATAGATATGCTGACCTAAACACGATAATCTCCGATTTTAAAAAATATTAGTTCCGCTTATCTAAATAGCTGCCTCGATTTTCTTATCTCAATTTCTCTCGTGACTGACCTTTTTTATTATAAATATGGTACTTTTTCACTTCAACTATTCATAATAAATCTTAAGCCGTCTACACACCACCTGCCTCGATTAGCCTTGCTATTTGCAGGTGGTGTGATATTTGTATATTTAATGTAAGAAATAAAGATGGTGTTGTTGTATTTCATGACTTTCCAGGTTTTCCAAGACCTGTTATATTTTTAGGGTGTATGTTTAGAAATCTATGAAAGACACAGGTTTATATGAGATCAGAGCTCTATTTTGAATTTTTCATTCCCCAGATAAATATAATTCCAGTCAGCACAGCTTGCACGGGCCAGATAGAAAAACAACTGTTAACAAAAGGGTGTCTCTTGGGTTACATGCATTTATTTACTTTATCAGACAAGATTGCTAACTTACATGCAGAGAAAAATATGTTGTGAAACTCCAGCGTGGCTCTGTTCTTTTCTCCCTCAAAGCCCTAACTTGGTCTTCAAACTTGCCCAAGTGACGATTGAAAGAAACCAACAGCAGCTGACACAGCTTGGTGACCAAGTTCTGCCAGGATTCAACAGAGCGAGTTAACTGATTCTCTTTGAAGGGTTCCCATAGCTGGATAATTCTGAAATGAATAGAAATATATTTATGATAAAGGAATGAAGGCACAGTAAGTAATTCATACGTACCAGAACCAGCTATTACAGCATGCAAAGAAACTAGTGTCCGATAGCCCGGGGCTAGTGGATTCGCTATTGGGCTAGTGAATTCTGTTTTTAACTTGCCCAACAGGCAAAGGATGTTTTTTGAGGAATTCGATTAACAGAAGAACTGTGAAAGCAATTCTGCTAGTCAAAACGTTTTTGGGGCTAGTTGAAATGACGTCAGGGCTAGTAAATGATAGCTTCAGCTTGCCCAAATGGTTAGCTGTAAAAATGATTTTCTTTGCACCCTGCTATTAGTTGAACTGGTTGCTTGCATCTGGCCCTAAGTTATTTCAGATAAACTGCTAAGCCTTCTAATTTTTCTATTTTTATCATTCATTTTACTTAAATTGTATGGAAGAAGGGCTTTAACCCATTCACCACTGAACAACCCATAACCCACACCCATACAGACCTCTTGTACTGCTTGGAACATAATTATAACTTTCAGCTTTAACTGTGACAAGGAAAACTTTGCCATCTAACTTGTGAACAGGGAAGGGATCTTTCGAACCATATCAGAATGAACACAATTCAATCAGGGTGGCAAGAGAAAAAGGCAAAAAACATGCAAAGTTAAAACAGCAATATCTGAAGAAATTCATGTTTCACAGTGTACAAAGAAAATCATTTTTACAGCTTGCCAATCAGGCAAGCTGAAGCTAGCATCTACTACCCTAGACCTCATTTCAACTAACCCCAAAAGCTTTTTGACGAGCAGAATTGATTTCACAGTTCTTCCTTGATTTGAATTGCTCAAAAAACATCACTTACCCATCAGGCAAGTTAAAAGTAGAATTCGCTAGCCCTATAGCAAAATCCACTAGCCCCAGGCTACTGGATGCTACTTTCTTTGCATGCTGTTTCACTGATGATGCAACAAGTGGTGGCAGGGTGCTGGATCCGCGTGAGCAGTTACAGTGTATGGGCACTTTAGGGGCAAATGGATTGAAGTACCTTTTGCCCAACAGAATATCACATTTTAGCTACTATGAGATACTAGCTAGGCTCTGGTTTTACCTATCACTGTTCTTGTTACCAAAGTCACTCTTAATCTTGTCAAATACTGTGCTGCGAGGAAGCTGAATCTTTGGCTTACTTCCCTTGAAAGAATCCTGAGATATGACATGAATAATCATCCAGTCCACAATATTCCTGTCTCTTAGCTTTCTCATCCAATCTGTAATTCCATCTTTCACTGAACTCTTGAACTCATCAGGATCCTATATAATTATAAATTCCAAAAGGGACACACTTAGCATTTGTTGCAGGCCCTAATTTTTACCATCATGGTGGTTGCATTTTGGCCCGGGTTCATCGCTATAATGTTTTGATTTTTCATTCATCTTGTCTGTTCACCCATTGACAGTTTTGATAGACGAGTGACATGTGAAAAGTAAAAGTAGTACCTTGTCTTTTCTGGTTTGTTCTGACCAAATTATGTCAGGGAGATTCATTGAGATCTTATGGGCATTTTTAATAAAACAATAATAATTATTATTATTCCACTCTTGCTTGTTGGATATGAGATGATTATAGCCAACTCAGCGCTACGTGCTTCATTGGCTACATGTATCTATCATCTCATATCCAGCACGCACTTGTGGAATAATTGTTAATTATCATATGGTGAGTTGTTAATTATTACAGTGTGATAACCAAACATGCAAAGAGAGTTGACACCAAGTGTCAAGTGTTCACTTACCTAGGAGGTTAAAAACAATGGAAAAAAGTGATTTTGGTCTCTTACCAGAGGTACTTGTTTTTGAGAGGGTCCAACTTTGTCTAGGAAAGTGTCAGGGTGTGTAAGAAAGGCGGCCAGTTAAGTGAGATACTTATCACACATGACAGTTACTGTTACTCTATTTCTGTTAATTCAAAATTCCCTTATTTGAGTCATGCTTTAACAGCGTGGATGATAAAAAAATATAGAACATTCCTTAGTTGCCCTTACCTGACAGTCTGTCCAGTAAATATGAAAGAATGGTTGTTTGTGAAGATTTGACGCAGACTGGTATGTTTCTATACTGCTAACATCAACTAGCATATCCTGTGATAACCGCACAAAGTTTGCCTTTAGCTTGACAGTCTTGGGAGGTCTTCCATAGGATCTGTGGTGGGAAAAAAATCAACTGCTGACAACTCTATAAAGAAACAAATCTGATCCAAATATCATTGGGGTTGACAATAACTGAAATAATTTTCTCACTTACAAATTTGTGTTTACAGACAGACATAAACACCACACTGTAGTTCCAGCAATTTCACCACCAAATCCTGAAGGATTAACCTCCTATAAGTGGAAAACTTTTGCAAGGAGACACATGGAATACCTTCCATTCAGCCCAAAATTCCAGAAATGTATGGACCATTTCAGTTTGGTTTCAACTAGAATATTTGGGACCACCTTTGAAGGTGGTCCACTTTGACTGGTTCTACAGGTCATACCAAATGCCTTTTCCATTTGCCAAATTGCGAAAACAAGCAAAGAATTAAGTGTACGCAAGTGAAGGTTGGTTTTGTTGCATCGGATGAAATTCAAGTCGCTAATTAGGTAGGAACCAACTCTAAATTTAATATTGTTCATGTAAGTGTCTATTAAAGAAGGATTAAAAATCTTTCATATGTTGCTTTGGAGGAAATTCAGATCTCCATTAATTTTTTGGAAAAAAATTGAGCTGGCAGAATTTTTAAATACCTGGTGTATGAATTCACTGCTCATTAAGAAAGAAAATTATCAAACTACAAGGCTGTACTCTAGTAGTGCCCGCCTGTGGCCCATGGCACCTAACTTTTGCTCCCAATTAACAAAATCTTAGTTTTTCATAGAAATCCTATGCTGGGCACCCTGGATTTCACAGATTCAAAGCTCTTCCTACAGTGTACATGTAGATCCTTAAAATGTTTCTTCGAGCACAGCCTTAAACAAGGTCGAGTACTGGTTTATACTGAGAATGGATTTTACCTACAACGTAAATAATTATACACTTGACCTGTTTTTACTGTAAGAGACAAGACCAACCTTCTCCACTCTGTGTATTCTCTGGGAAGCCTCTTCTCCAATTCTGGGTTAAGTTTGCTATAAACATCCTTATCACCAAAACCTACAAATATTCATCATGTAGTTGACAAAGAGATCTTCACCTGTAGTAAAAAGATCTATAGCAACAAGCAATACTGTATTATTCAAGAAAATATATATATATATTTACAAGCTTCTTGCACAAAAACTGTCCTAATACCTCTAGAGCAAAAAAAGCAAAGTTGGTTTGTGACAGTGTTACAGTGCAACTACTGTAACCAAGTCCACCTTGACAAAGTTGACCAATTGTATTGCACAAAAATAACAAAACATTCGGAGAAAGTTGGTTGCCAATCATAATTACCACGAAACAAAACAAGATTATAAGCTGGTCAGTTAAGCCAAAATAAGGTATAGTGACCCAATTATTTTTGCAACTGGTTGTAGCATACAAAAGTACTTAAGCTAGTAAAAGGAAGCTGAAATGGACTGACTAGATGGTTTCCTCTACGATGCAAGATATTCAAAGGAAAATCAAACCATACTTAATTTTATTGGGCCACTTGGTGACATTTGTGATACGCCTATCTTTCTTAAATCACTAATCCAACAAAATTTGTTAGATTTCAATATTTAGTGATCCCAGTGAGTGATTATCACTTAATTAACTTAAGCTTATTTAAAGTATTCCAAGTCCAAGTCAACTGAAGCAAGTCTAAACTAGTGACATCATTTTGTACTTACAGGTGACCTTTGGTTTTAAATCCATGATCTCTTGAAATAGTCTTCATTCATTCGATTCCCTGCATGAGGTCAGGAAATCATTTTCCACTGGTATCTCTCGCAATGTACATGAAGCGAACCCTCATTCATCTCAAGGGAATCGCCATCTTGAAAACAAGATTCCTTCGCGATATATGAAGTATCTGCCTCCTACGAGGAAACGTCCGCTGACCAATGCATAATAAGGCTCTCTTAATAAATTCGATTTTTTTCATGTCATCTGGTCCGGTTTTCCTCCAAATCTGTGGAGGAAAATGCTTCCTCTTCGCTTCCTGAGAAAACGACGAATTTTGTTTTTTGTAGTCTTGACTTTATTTATTTTGGGATGTCTTGCGGCCTTAAAAGTTATTTCATCTTCGGAAAAAGACAAGTTGGAACCAAAGATATTCAATAAAGAAGCAATTTTAAATCACAGGTTTCAAGATGCAAGTGAACAAAAAGTCAGTAGGGAAGAGAGAGAAAAAAGAGAAAACAAGTTTGTCCAAGAAGCTAACGGGAGGGATAGTACAAGACCCAGCCTTTCGCAGAGACCAACCATAAAAGATGCCGTCACAGTAAAAGGAAGTAATTCTGACAAAGGGGATTTTTTGTTACCTCAACCAAATTATAACGTTCACATTTTTTACTACGCGTGGTATGGAAATCCTGAACACGATAGGAAATATGTTCACTGGAATCACCGATTCCTTCCACACTGGGATCCTGAAGTAGCTAAGAAATACAAGAAAGGATCTCACTCTCCTCCAAATGATGTTGGTTCCAATTTTTATCCAGAGCTTGGGCCTTACAGTTCAAGAGACCCTAAAGTAATTGATGATCACATGATGCAAATGAGAACTGCAAGGGTGGGTGTGGTCGTGCTCTCATGGTACCCCCCTGGTAAGGCTGATGAGGAGGGGATACCAAGTGACTCACTGGTGCCTCTCCTTCTAGATGCTGCAGCTAAGTACAATCTTAAACTCACATTTCACATTGAGCCCTATGAAGGCAGGAATGATCATACAGTCCATGATGACGTAAAGTATATTATAGACACTTACAGCAAACACAAGGCTTTCTATACGTACAGGACCACTGATGGAAGAAATCTACCTATGCTGTATATTTATGACTCGTATCATACCCCACCAGAAGCTTGGGCACAGTTATTGAGACCTGATGGGTCACATTCAGTACGTAACACACCATATGACTGTATATTTATAGCGCTGATGGTTGAAATGAGTCACAGGAAGTACATAGATGAGGGTGGTTTTGATGGCTTCTACACTTACTTTGCTACTGATAAGTTCACCTATGGGTCAACATGGCGATCGTGGCCTCAACTCAAAGCTGTCGCCAAACAGACAAACAGTTTATTTATTCCAAGCGTGGGACCAGGGTATATTGACACGAGTGTCCGGCCATGGAATAACATGAACACAAGATTAAGAAGTAATGGAGAGTATTATAAAAATAGCTGGAAGGCAGCTCTTCAAACTGAGCCAGATGTTGTCTCAATTACGTCATTTAATGAATGGCATGAAGGAACACAAATAGAAAAAGCTGTTCCAAGATCGTTTCCTGGACTGCTTTACAAAGATTATCGCCCTAATTCTCCTGACTTTTATCTCAAGCTAACTAAGAAGTTTGCGGATACATTTGGAAGAACAAAAAAATAAAATTTTGCTAGCACAAAGTTGCTACAGGTTTAATTCCAGGTGTCCAAAACTCTCGTTTGTAAATTGAAAAGCTGCTCCCTACTCTCGTTATTTATATGGCTAACTATCGCTAAAACGGACGCCTTTTGAACCGGCATTAAGTGTCCATCATAAAGAGATGTCCCTCTTATTGAGAGTCAAATAAAGGGAGTAAAGAAAGAAAGGAACTAACTCTAGACGTCTGTCTTACAGAGGTGTCCATAAAGAGAGAGCTGACTGTATTCGTATTTTTCTTTAAGGCTGGATGAGCAGCGGTTTACAGGGGAATGAATAATAATGCAGGTGGAACAGGGATAGACACTAGTATAGGAGGAAGGGTAAATACAGTCAAACCTCAGGGGGGATACTTCCTATGATGGCCTGTATGGGAAGGCTCCGCCCAAAAGGGGTACCCTTTTCAGGCTCCCACCCTTCTGGGAGTTGAACCTCTGCATCCAGTTTTTCATCCGTTTTGGTTATTCCTTGGTCAGGCAGGTGATAATATAACCTTCTTGCCACTTCGTTGTTCATTCACACAACTTCGTCACTCCTTTTGCACCTTTTTCACCCAAAACGTTTTTCCTTAGGGGCAAGTTTATTTGTAAATGCCTCCATGACATAAAACGTTCTCCATTAGGGACAGTTCCCTTAGTCCCAAAGATACCAGACTTTGTTCATACGTGAGTGTCGGACACCTCTGAAATGCAGACACTTCGCAACATCACTCTGGTGTCTATATGGACCATTTGATTGAGGCCACTTGGATATTTCAAAGATCATGCTTATGGGAATAAAAGTAAACAAAAAAACAAAATAGGTCAATGCTCAGCTTAAATATATTATGATTTCTAAGTTTTATTCCCCAAAGCTTCAGAGCCAAGAATGAATTTTAAAGTACCAAGTTTGGCCTATTGAAAAAGTCTGAAAAACTAGAAGTATCATAAGTGACTCTTACCCGGGAAGGGGGCGGGGGGGAAAGAGGTGTACTCCCTAATAAGGGCTTAATGGGGACAGGTGGTCAGCCAGGGTATGTTTTGCGGGATTTTTGTCTTAAACATGGTGTCCATTTTATCATTTTTCGTCTTAATCAGGGTATTGATTTCATCAATTTTTGTCTTAAACAGGGTATCTTTTTAAATAGTTTTGTGATTGCCAATGGATTGAATAAGAGGTTAAATGTCTTAAACAAGGTATCAAAAATCGGAATTCTGTCTTAAACAGGGCAGGAAAATCAGCAATTTTTGTCAAACAGGGTCAGGATATGAGGGGCCGGGCCACACCTCCCCACCCAAGGATATATTGAGTACCCTCCCCCCCCCCCACCCTCCGAGCTCTTACCTAATTTTAAATTCTCTCTTTTACCCACTATCACATACATGCACACAGCAAATCAGGAGTAGAATCAAGCAGTTTATCACAAGCGACTCAAGGTTCAATTTGACAAGAACTTTTCCATGGAGAAGCATTAAAGCAGAAGTCGTGAAGTTGTGACTTGTGTGAACACAAAGATATCCGTGTACCTTCACATTTCACACATGGTTTCCCGCATCTCTCCCTAACATTTCGAAAATAGAAAAGTTGTGATAAGGTAAGATAAAAAATCAGAAGATTTTGGATGCAGCCTCACTCATAGGAAGCATGAATGAGTGAAAAGCCAGCAAATCAAGGACATCAGGAAAACAGTATCAGAACAAGTAAAACAGACTGGCAAATATAAAAGACTTACAATATGTTCTGAAGGTGCATCATTTTTATTATCATTATAAGGAAGACACAAACTTATTTTACACATAATAAAACTACTGGATGTGTCCGCTGATGTGTAGTTTCATGGTCCAATATATTAACCCTATTAGTCCCAATATCAACATACAGTTTCTCCAGACCAATCTCCAAATAATTTTCCTTACAGGACTGGCACCAGTTGTTCAAAAGGTGGATAGTGCTATCCACCCATAAATCACTATCCAGTGGATATAATACTTAGAAATTTATCCACTGGTTAGCACTGTCCACCTTTTCAACAACTGGGGCCTAGTTGAGAAAATTGGATAACAGCTCGAATACTTTCTCTTTGGTTATATGAATAATAATTATAATTATTATTCATATTATTATTTAGATTGATATTTCATGATATTTTGTCTTTATTGGTTTTTTTTATGTTGTTAGATAGAAGAAAATTGATGTTTGTCACCGTTAAGACTTGAAGGGAAAACTGTATTTCCCACTTGACAGCTTAAATAATCTTCTTTATGTCAAACTATGGAATAAAGCAGGACCAAAAAAAGCTCTGTTTAGTTGTGTGGGACAAGTAGATTTTCTTGCGGGGCATTAAGCTCAATTGCCTAAGGTACATGCAACTAAATAATTCACTAAGACAAGCATGCAAAATTTGAGAGCTGCTCGTTTAAAGGCCAAGCTGGAATTCTACTTTATTTTTTTTTTATTTTGAATTCTATTTTTTTTTTCAGCCCTGAGAAAGGGAAAAGGTTTGCATGAAATAAATTGTCAAAACTTTGACTTTTCATGACCTCATTCTCATCAAAAATCAATTTCATCTAAAATTAATAAGATGCAATACACTGTCACTTACCCAGCAAACCTACTAATAAGTAATAATATCACTGGGCTGAAAAAAGGAATGAGGCTAATATTCAGCCATCTTGACCAAAAAAGCTTATTAATAAATGATTAAATATATTATGACGTGGAGAACTTACTTCTTGCAGGACTTAAAGCAGGAAAGACACGCCGATCTTTCCTGCTCAGCTAACTAATCAGTACACAGGACTCACTTCATCTTTCCCCCTCGAATAACTAGCCATAATAATAAATTACATCACTACCTCTGCACAATAAAAAAAAAACAGGAGGGTTCATTTGAGGTAAAATTGAAAAAATAGAACAAAATAAAAAGACAAACAAACAAGCAAGAAATCATTATGTCAACACATTAGGACTGTAAAGAAAACGGATCATTTTTCACTCTCCAGGATTACAAGAGTTGCATCAAATGAACTACATAACATGTAGAAAGCCATGACACTGCTCCTTTATCATGAAACAGACAATAATTTTCTACAGATTTACAATACAGATATATATGCTTGATATTTTTTGTTTTAATTTCTAAAACAAAATGTTTTTAAAACAGATAATTTGTTAACACTTGACTCTGCATCTATTGAGTAAAACCAAATCTACTAAATGTTTGAAGAAAATGCTTTTGAGTAGACTTTTGAAGGCATAAGAAATCAAAAAAGTCATTATTTTTCTCAGAAGAATATCAATTTCCTAGAGTGTAAGCGTTACACTGTAACTAGTTAATGGTGATCTTTCCCTGAATGGTGTATTTTAAATGAAAAATAACAAAGTAATGAACTAAATCACAAGAACATAGCAGACACTTTCTTTAGAAAATGTACTCCTTTGATGTAGACAAGGGTGTTTTCAGCACACACTTTGATATAATAATAGTAAATATGATTTAACAAAGTTTCTGGTATCCTTGGGGCAACTGCTATGCAAGTAAGCAGCAAGTCTCATGTATCATGTTGCCAAGTTTCAGTCTTTGCCGGCTTGTGGTTCCATTCCTTTCTTTTATATCTACATGGAAAAAGGGAAAATAGTTTACAACTTTAAGAAAACCTTCCAGACAGAAAAGGCCTTTCCAAATATCCAATCTTTATTGGCAAGACAAGTGACACAAGCATGGGTCTATAATGAAGAAACCTGTGACACAAGCATAAGCAAAAACATCATTTCATTTTGAATAATTTTCTCTTCTCCTACAGATGGTTATGTCCATCTTGTTCCTGGTGAGGATGTGTATTTTTCCCACAGGCAGTGAGTGTTTCCCAGGGGAAGAATAATAGCAACCAGATGTAAAATATTAGCTTGAGAGGTTCAGCCATGCACAGGAAGCACAATCTTGAGATTGGGTTAAAAAGTGACATAGCAGTCTTGAATTTTCTTTTCACTTTCTCTCCTCCCCTTCTTTTTCGCTTTTCTTGCCTCATTTCTTTTCTTTTGCTGGGCATTTAGTAGGCTTCATTTTGGTGGGAAAAATTTTTCAGAAAGCTTTTAGGATCTTAGAATTTGATGAAAGGAAAGGCAGGTGGGTAGTGGGACAAGATTTTCATGGACATTTTCAGGTCAATGTTACATGGATTGTTGCCTTTTTTCTCTGGTGTTCTTGACTGGATTGTGCTCATTCTGGTATGGTTTGAAAGATCTCTTCACTTTGCACAAGTTATTGGACAAAGTTGGCCTTGACAATTAAAACTGATGATGTCACAAGAAGTAGAAGGGACGTGGATCTGCCAAGCGGTTACGGGCAGCTCAAAGGTGAATGGGTTAAGCAAACGGATTTTCAGTGACGCACATCAACTAGAAATGAGTCCCTTTCCCTTTTAGTTGCCACAACGCTTCCAAATTTGTATTGCTGAGTGTCTTTAATTTCACAAAGACGATTTGACTAAAAATTTTGGGCAAAATGATTGCCCAAGAGAGAAAACATTCCACTTCCGGTCAATGAGTGTCACTCAAAAACATCTTTGCGTAAGCTCACTATTGTTAATCAACAGACTTAGAAATTCTATCATCTGTGACTCTTCTTGGGCATTAGACTTGGTTGCAGACTTTCTTTCAGGGTAGGGGTAGTGTTGACAAAAAGAAAAATAAAGGGTTGTGGTTAAAAACAGATGAACTATGTCCAAACAACTTGCAGCTTTCTAAACGTATAACAATTTGGCTTCATTTGCACCTCCCCATCAATATAACACATGAATGCCCCCCTGCCCCATCCCCCCTCATTAGCAGCACCCAACTTCAGTTTCCACAGTTTTAAGCTTTCCAGGGCTCTTCACTGAGATGAGATTTGAACGTAATCGATCATGATAAGCAAAACACTTACAGCATCAATATCAGCATCTTCTTCTTCAACATCGTCACCTTCCTCAAACGTCACTTCTTCTCCGTCTCCATCACCTCCCATTGTTGGATTTTCGTTGACTTTGACTGCAAGGCAAAATGAGGAAAAGTAAATTGAAGCCAACATCTTTTTACACAGCTCTTAATCATGTCTTTCCATTCCCTTTTTCTTAGCATAATTTTCTTGGTGTTTGATTCTTTGTCTCACAGCCAAAAATAGAGCCTGAAACAGAGTTGTAAAAAATTTTTGTCAAAGTACCCTTAAGTGAGTATATTCCCATTTAGTAGAGTTTCAATGCACTGAAAAAGATTTTGTTTTCAAAAACTCTTGGCTATAAGCCAAAGCCCACTCTTGACCTCAAATTTCACTTAACTTTAGCTTTAATTTGTGTAAAAATCACTTGGCTTATAGCCAAATAAAAACAGTAGGTGGCTTTACTGTTGATTAAAGTATAAGGGTGTAACGATTCATATTCCTTGAAATTCGATTCAATTCAATTATTGCCTTTCAATCATTTTGATTTGATTATGTATACAATTCTCAATTCTTAAAACATAATGCGTAATGTAAACAACATGCAACCCTAAACCCTCAATTTGAGAATAGTAACAGGACAGGAGGATTCACAGTTGTTTGGTCATTCGTTGCCACGTTTGAGAACCTGACAAAGAGTGTGTCACACATGGTTTGCCTTATTTGGAAATTCCCTGGGGGTGGTTGAAGGACAGCATTTTTACCAGGCAACACAAAAAGGCGCACAAACTGCAATCATCTTTGCTTGTCAGTCAAACACACACATTTTAAAGAGTTCTGTATTCTGACTTTACAATAAAATAACTCACTGAGGGCACCTTAGGAAAGATATGCAAAAATCGAACCAAAATGTCGAAATGTGGAAGCAAAGAATCATGAAATGAACCAAACCGTCATAATCATGATTAACTAAGAATCTGATTAATCGTTACACCACTATTAAAGTAGGTGACTGATTTTGCCATTTTAATCAAAGGAATAGCCCAGCAGAGTACTTAGCCAGCCAAAAAAACACTGACTGCCAGCTATTATTTTTTGACAACTCCCTGAAAAATTGAGAATACAGTTTACAACCTCCCTCCTTTTTAATTTTAAACACAAACTGGAATTTTTTTGTAACTTTTGGTATTTTGTTTACCCATGGAGCACTTACAAGTTCTTAAGAACTCAATGAAAACTGTCCGTGCATTCCAGATCGAATTGGAATTTGGAAGTGTTGGTATTTAAGGAGAGGGGAAAACTGAAATACACAGAGAAAAACCTCACAGAGCATGGGACAGAACCAACAATAACCTCAACAAACATATAGCACCAACACCAGGATTCCAACCCGGGCCACTCTGGTGAGAGGCGAGTGCCCTCATCACTGTACCACCCTTGCTCCTCAAGCATAGATAGAAGAGAGTAACCAAAAATTTCTGGAGTCAAAGTGACTCCCTCCATAACCTCAGTGGAGTCATCTTAAAAATTTTGACATATTGGCAAACCTTGCTGACAACTGTGAGACATCCACATTCTTGTCACTTAAGCTAGCAAATAATATCAGAAGGTCCCCTTTATATAGAAAAAATATTTTCCAACAGCTAATGAATGCACTGTACCATTATCTGGGAGTTCACCATATGCCTTTAAATTTCTGGCTTCATCAGGATTATATCGCAAAATAACATCTGCTTTACCATCCTGGTGATCACAACAAAACAACACACAAATTACTGGTATATCCAGATGTGGGCCTTGAGTTACATACATGAGGCTTACTGTGGTACAATGAGATTTCACTAAAGGGTTTACAAGAATGCCATATTTGGAAAAATAAGCAATTCCACTTGATAGTTGTGCTGTAACGGCAAAGAAATAAACAAAAATGTGAGCACCGCACATGTATGCAAAAATAACATTTTGATGTTCTCAAATTGTCATGTCATGCATGTGACATCTTAAGCTCCCTACTATTTATCACAAAAATCTTTTAACAAAAAAATACGCCTGGTATCATCTATAACCAATACCTGATAGTCTCGAAGTCCTAACAGAATAATATCACCTTGATTGATCCAAACCTAGGGCAAAAAAATTCCACAATGATTTCATGTGAATATTACAACCATTGACTGAGTGAGTGAGGTCCTGAACGACACTGCTGCTGTAGGTGTCCAAAAAATCTGCCAGGTCAACTTAATGCAGTACTTACTTAAGTTCTAAATCCATAATACAGTAAACTCCCTCTAAGACCGACACCTTTAGGACTGGCCCTGACTGTCCATCTTAGAGGGTTGTTGGGCTTATGGAGAATCAAGGTGAAGTGACACCAGCAATAATATAAGAGAATAAGGTTGAACCTATTTGCAATGCTTACATACCTGTTTCACTTGTGCAAAATAGTGAGAACTGGAACAAGTATGTAATATGAAAGTTGAATCATTTTCTCATTCCATTTCCTTCCTCTAATTGCAATTTACTGTTATGCAGAGCAACTACATTTCTGTTACATGTATGTGGTATTTTTACTTCATAAACCACTTGTAGTGGCCGCTGACAGTTTCAAAAGTGTCCGTGGTCTATCTTAGAGAGGTGTTAGACTTATAGAGAGTATATTTACACTAAAATGACTGAAAAACAGCAGGGACCAACCCCAGGTGTCCATCTTAGAGAGGTGTCCATTAAAAGAGAGTTGCCAGTAAAAACATTGTCTAGTGTGTACAGTGGTTCAGCAAGGCATACAATCAATCATAGACAATCGTGACTTGCCTGAATCCTAGCCCATCGGTCAAGTTAAAAAGTTACAATGTATTACTAACCTCAAAATCTACCTGTCCTAGACAACCAGACGGTACGTTTTTTGAGCACTTTCTATTGTTTTTTTCTTAAAAGGCACCAGCAAACACTTAAGGACTTGGGAGTCCAGATAGAAATAAAAAAATCAAAAAACGTTTTAAGAAAATGCCAATCACATAGCCTGAAACACTTGACCGTTAACATAGCACTGGGCAAATCAATAGAGCTTGTATATTACGTTCATGTTTTTTCGGTGTTGCAGATGACACACTAATGACATAATACAAAATATTAACATCAGACAGAACCCACACCACTATAAAATGGTGAACTTTGAGTAATTTCCACACTATGAACACCCAGCTTTCTTGTTGGAAATAAAAAAAAACCTTTATTGACCATGCATTTTCAGCCAAGATGACTGGATATTGGCCTCATTCTTTTTTGAGTTTTCATTGATGACCCAAACAGAGTGGACTCATGGATGAGGCCCTTTTAGGAGGGGAGGGGGGGTTGGGCACCTAGGTCATTCTTTCTAAGTTGTTTTGCATTTAATTAGTGACAAGGTTTCTTTTTATCAAAACAGTTCCTTTCAAATCAGAGCCTCAGTTTATAAAAGCCAATCTGTCATTCTTTCTAAAGGCATTTAATGGACAAGGTTTGCCTTTCAAATCAGACTGCCAAATGGGCAAGATAAAGCAAATCTTGAGTTCTGATTGGCTCTCCAAGTAGGTAAGAAAGGCCTGTCTTGTGGTAGGAATTTCCCGCATTGGTCCCACAAGAAAAAGTTTGCTGGAAATATAGTCAATTCTTTATTGACCAACATTTTTCAGTCAAGATGGCTGGATATTGCCCTGCAATCGTTTTTTCCAGAGATTCCAACCCCTTTTCAAAGAAAATAGGGAGTATATTCTAGCATTCAAGGCACTCACACAAGTACCTTAGGTGTGAGCCTCTAGCGGGGATCTGGGGTATGCCCAACCAGGAAATTTGGCAAATTTAATTCGTCTCAAGCAGCATTTACTACATTTTGACACTATGGCGGCGTTCAATGGAGAGACTTGGAGAGAAATTATAGGATAGGAAAGTGTAATACATAAGGTTTCACACTCACATCACAAAAAAATACGTAAGATAAGCAATTGTTTTCCTTGTTTTCAGAATAAATCAGGAGAGTCTAATACAAATCAGGAGAGCAGAAGGACACATGTTAAATCAGGAGGGTTGGAATCTCTGTTTTTTCATAAAGGTCGACATTTCAGAAATATATATTTCTTTTGTTTTTTTTTCTGCGAAACAAAAGAAAAAACAAACAATATATGTATTTCCAATACGTCAACCTTTTTGAATGTAATATATTATCTGTATATGAGGGGTAATAATCATAAATTACAAAACATGCACACATAGGAAGGTGCTGGACACGTTGTGGCTCAATTTTATCCCTGAATAAAATAACATTTTTCTTTGTTTTAAATTCATTGTCAGACACTACTATAGCCAAAAAACGACAAGGGTAAACCAAGATAAAATTAAGCTTAACCACACAATATTGCTTATTTAAAAATCGAAAGAACACTACAGTTTTTCGACATTAATGTTTCTTAGTAACCCTTAGTATACTTGTACAACACCTATGTTATATATAATGGATAGCAACTAGTGTGTATTGGACAGACATCAGAGCATACCAAAGAGCACTAAACTTGGCTTGATTTTAACAAACCTTTTTCCGAAGTTTTCCACGAATGTGACAAAGCCGTTTGATGCCATCGAAACACATCGCGTCCAGCCTTCCGTTTCCTAACATCTTCACAACTTGGCCATACTCTTAAAAGAGAAGATGATTAAGGAGAGGAATATTATTATGAGGAAACTTTGAGATCACCAGGAAGACAAACTTATTATCACCTACCTTGGCCATCTTCCTTGAACACGAGTTCACGTTTCTCTGATTCGTTTTCATTCTTTCCCCTTCGTCGGTTTTTACCTCCCTTTCCTGAAGGAAAACAACTCAGTTAGAGGGTTCGACACCATATCACATGGTGACAGAACTTTTCTTAGTTCAAACCTTTGTTCTTCGGCATCCTGTACTTAATTTAACACTGTTTCTCCTTCGAGATCTTCTCCCACGTTATCGTAAAATGGCGTCAAATGAGTCTGTAGTCTTTATGGTCAGCGGTATCAGCGACGAAGATAGAATGACGGAAGAAATATTTCGGTTGTGCAATGCGCGGATAATTCTGGGAGATACTAGAAAGTCTTTCTATTATCCATGGTGCAGCTGAGTATGGGGAGTAACATCGTATTTTTGCCCAGCGAACAGCTGAACCGAAGTCAAACGAGAAAACGATGGGGGAGGGGGCGACAAAAAGAATGCAGAGAGAAAAAAAAAGAACATTGGTGGCTGCGATGGGGTACATGTAAAAGACCAGCGAATTATCATCTTCTTGTATATCATGTTCTACTCCAATGGATACCAAGGAAGAAGAAGATTTATACTATTGCCAAAGACAAAGATAAGAACTTTATTTTAGCACGATAAGAAGATCAGCATTGCTGGTGGGGTCGTGCATACAACAATTACCAGAAAAATAAGTACTGAAAGCAAATGTACAATTAAAAATTGGCACTAAAAGGGGTTCTAAAAGGGGGATATTTCATTCTTGGGAAGAAGCGAAGTGAGAGGGCTTGTGAACGTAAAACCTAATCAAATATACAAAAGCTTCTTCAGTCGAAAGAGGGAATTGAATTCTTACAACAGGGGCACCCAACGACAATTTTAGGAAGAATATCTGTTCGGAAGACGATTTGAGATCTAGAATTTTCGAAACATTTTTGTAAAATTTCTTGCTTGCCTGCCTCTCCTAGGATTTTCGAACATGTAAAGAATGGTATAATTGCCTATTTTTAACGGATTTTTACACTAAAAAGGTCACCTAGAATTTTCGGGAGCCTTTTTTCTGGCTGAAATTTTCGAAAAAGTAAGTTTTGACCCCTATTATTTTCGGATCACTAGATTTTCAGCTAGGAAATCCGAACAGATGAAAAATTTTTAGGGGATAAAAATATGCCTATATCTACCGTTTAAATACTAAAATACGTTTAACAATGCTATGTTTAAGTGGTTTTGAACTATATTCCCGTTGGGTGCCCCTGTTACAACAGCATGGTATTCAGACGTCGACCCGTCCCTGAGGAAACAGAAGAGAGACAATTAAGCCAAGACGTTCGATATTCCGAAACAGACAAAGAAGATCTATTTTTTCATGCTTTAGAGAGCCTTTGTAAACAAAAAAGTGACATAGATGCGGTTTATTTATTACATGATTTAATGGCAAAAAGACTAAGGTCACTAAGAAACAAACATGAATGAACGAATAAAAAGAGCAAAAAAACCGCCATAAGGATGGTCAACAAAGGAGTCATAGACCCTATACGAGACCGACCACCTTAAACTTAAGAAAAAAGAAAGAAAAGGGAATTATTGAGTATATTAAAAAAGTAAAAATGGCAATTGGCATATAAATATCTACAGAATTATTCGAGAGATTATCGAGTAGCCAAGAAATACGCCACTTGCTGCTTGAAACTACAGTGATACTTGGAGCACAACGAGTTGACGGTGGTAACGCATTCCACATATCAACAATCCTATTAAAAAAGCTAACTTTAAAAATGTCTGTCCTAGCATGGTTCTTCTCAAGTACACAATCATCTCTACCCCTCATAGCCGGAGTATCTATCAGAATCCGAGTTAAAGTGAATAAAAGGAGAAATGTCTATATTAATGTACCCATTTAGAACTTTATAAACAAAAAACGTCTGTCCTGTATACAAGTTTCATCACCAGTTTTAGAAATAAACTTAGTGGCTCTTCGCTGAATTCTTTCTAATTTGTTGATTTTCCTTGCCGTGTGTGGTGACCAGATAACGGTACAGTCAAGACTCCAGTTGGGATCTTACCAGGGCACAATATACAGCGTCCTTGGGGTAGCAACATCATTTAGACCTTAGCAAGTCCTTTTAAGCTCTTTTAATAAGACAAAGAATCTTGTTTGCTGTATTAGATGTTTTATCAACATGAGCATTCCAGGACAGTTTGTTACTAGTGACTAAGCCAAGATCATCGAATACGGAAGTTTCGTCCAGAGTGTTGTTATTAAGCTTAAGGTGGCGCGTTCCTATTTATATGCATGTTGGTTATTTTTTTGATTCGCGTTTTTCAGAATGAAAGACTCAACTGATTTCTACGATATTTTGCATCCTTAATAAATAATAATGGAACTCTAAGGAAATGTTATTTATTTTCTTGTAGGTATAAAAACTGTTGAGATATCGGCATATATTTAAAACCTCATTTTTACGAAAAATGAAAATAACTTCGAAATCCCACGACAAATTTTTCCCTAACGTCAGCAAATAAGCCTCAGAGCTCTCTAGTTTCATGTCTGTAAGTTTGAAGGCAATCGTGACCGTAGAAATCGCCCCACAAAATGTTGGTCAAATTTAATGCTAAAATGATAGGCTAACACATCTGTGAACGTAAACGCACAAATAGCGGAAGAAAGCTGACAAACTACCTCTTAACTGAAACGTTGTTCTTACCGAAAGCATTGTTGGAAGAAAATGAGTAATCGGACAGCTACGGCGAAGACAGTTAGCGCTTTAATACAACCAACTTTCTGCTACATGCACGTTGGAATTAAATATATTCTATTTATCCAACTTACTCTGCATTTGTCCGTTCATTTTTGACAAAAATATTAAGAAAACAAAACACAGCATCTGCAGAAACCGCTTGGCAGTTTTTAGCTTCAAAGGTTCTCATTCTGAGCCGAAATAAGCCCGCTAGTTCTAAAACACCTCGCCATCCAATTTTCAACTGCAATGAAAACCCTCTGGCACGATAATATATTCAAGATCTCTGACTTTCCTATCACATAATAACAGGGAGATAGATCGATAATTATCCACCTCGTCTGTAGCATGCCATGTAAAAAGAAAAACAAGAAAAGTCACTAAATTGAAAAAACACGGTTTGCAAACTAAATGTTTAATTATGTTTTATACACATTGTTAAAGGACTAACAGGAGCAAAAAAAGGTTTTGTTAATGACTGATATAATCATCGGAAAAAGCTTATAAGGCCCCTAACAAAACAAGGGCAAATTATGCCATAAATTTGATAGTAAAAAGATTTCCATATGTAAATAACAACTATTGTCCCCAACGATTTTATGGAGTTTAATTGTTCATATTTTACTCCTTGTGTTAGGCTAATTTTCGTAGAAAAAGGAAACCTAAAATTTACGGATTCAAAAATGTGATGGCGAGAGGAATAAGAAAAATTCTCACATTCCTAAAACGTTCAAGTACATCTAAAATTTTCGGGAAAATAACACTGAAGCCCTTGTAATTTCGAAAAGCCTCAAGTTCCCCTCGGATGACCGAACAGATACAAATTTTATAGCGCTTCTTAGAATGCATTTCTAGAGATCTAAAAGTACTCTGGATAGCCTAAAAAGACTTTTCAATGCATTTCTGAGGAAACCGTCGTTGGGTGCCCCTGTTTGCTGAAGTTAGGGAAAAATCTGTCGTGGGATTTCGAAGTTATTTTCATTTTTCGTAAAAATGAGGTTTTAAATATATGCCGATATCTCAAAAGTTTTTATACCTACAAGAAAGCAAATGACATTTTCTTAAAGTTCCATCATTATTTATTAAGGATGCAAAAAATCGTAGAAATCGGTTGAATCTTTCATTCTGAAAAACGCGAATCAAAAACATAACCAACACGCATATAAATAGGAGCGAGCCACCTTAATGTCAGAGAGAAGAGGCATACTTTTCTTGGTGATACGCATCAATTTGCATTTCTTAACATCATAATCCATTAGATTTTGCTGACTCCAGGCACATAGATTGTCTAGATACGGCGGAAACTCACATTGGTCAGACGGACAGTTTATTACTCTAGATCTTTTACAGTCGTCAACAAAGACTAATATTTAAGGGGGGTTATCTACAAACGGCATAATGTGAACAAAGGAACAACCCAGGGAAGTGTAAGGGAAGTGTAAGTGGGCCGCATCTTTTTCATTTGCTTATTAACGATTTGGCCATTAGGGATAATAACGCCTGCCACTTAGGCTAATGCTGACGACACCACCTTGCTAGTCAAAGTATGTCAAAATGAAACAGATCTTTCTCAAGAGGTTGTCAATCAGTTTTTTCAGTTAGACTCAAGATAATGCCATGACATGTAATGCCAAAAAATGCAATGAACTGATACTTTGCAAGATGGTTGCTCATGATATAGACCCTGTGTTAGGGGTTACCTTACAAAGTAATCACAGATTTAACGAGCATATAAAAGGTTAAGCTGCAGGAGGCCAGTAAGTGTCATTATGTTATAAGATGTTTACGTGAAGAGGGATACCAACAACCAGATGTAGATTACGCTTTTAGATCAACTGTTTTACCGAAACTAACGTACGGTCTTCCTGTATACGCCTCCGCAATACCTGAATTAACAACGGTCCAGAATTTTCTGCAGCGCTGCCTTAAAAAAAATTATATTTCGCACCAAATTGACATATATAATAACGTATTAGAAGAGATAGAACGCTCACTATTCAAGAAGATCTCCAGTATGCCCGATCACCTTCTGTACCCTTTCGTCCCCTAAACGAAACAAAGTTCAGCGCGCCTCCGAGTTCCCAGTATTCAACTCCCGAGGGTTAATACCCAGCGTTTTGAAAATAAGTTTTTAACAGGTTATTTTTCAAAAAAAAGAGTAGCTATTTAATGAAATGTGGATATTGAATGTTAAATTCAATGCTTCCACATGGAATTTTTTAAGCCTTGTAATTCTTTCTTCTATTTTTAATGTAATGTAAGTGTTCTTGGTTTTATCATGTATTTTTGCTTAAAAAAATAAAGAACTTTTACTTTACTTTATTTTTATTCATTTTATTCTGTTCCCGGGCATAACTTCATCAGG